TTTCTTTGAAGCATACCTTTTTTTTACGTTGCGTGGATGTGCCTATCGCTGAAGCTCAACAAGACTCTATCCGAGGCTAGGAGGTGGATAGGCTGCCTCCACTTGGTTATCGCTACTTACTTTAGTGATGATTGAGGGTCTCAATGCCAGTATTTAAAGCTAGGTGGTGTAAGTAAGGCATGCTCTAGCATCTGAGGGAAGTTTGATGATAGCAGCGGCTATATTGCTATTATAACGGCGCTTAAAATTTTGCCTCACATCAAAACCGGGGGAAACCCTCGCAATTTTTTTTTTAGGTCAGCGGAGTTTTCAAGCAATTTGATTGGCTCGGAGGATGAGGCACCAAAGGGTTTTAGTTAGTTGATCTTCTATTGATCTGTCATTTAACACTATATTGTTTTTGTAATAAAAGGGTATCTAAACTGTTACAATTTAAGTTCTTTTATATATTCTAAGGCAAGACAAGGTGCAACCATTTGATCTAGCATCCATTAAACACTTTCATATGAGGGATGTATCTTAAATTTATTTTATAGTAAAAAAAAAAAAAAAAAAAAAAGCTTGTGTAATAGTGTGTGCTATACAGCAATATACTAGGCACAGGGTTCTCCCAGCAGTATCAAATGCCCCAACAAACACGCATTGTTTATCATCAATTTCCTACAAGCTTCAGTTTCGTGGGTTGCTCTCTTTTACCTCATACCAAAGATTTTGGACATAGCACAATAGTATTTTTGGCTTCAAGATTTGGGCCATATAAATTCAAGTTTTGAAATACTAGTGCTAGAGCATTGAAAGTAGCATGTTGCTATAACCAAATGTTGATAAAAAGAAAATAATAATAATAATAATAGTAATAGTAATAGTAATAGTAATAGTAATAGTAATAGTAATGGTGCAATTGAATGTTAGATAATAGGATGGCAGGCTATTGTTGAGAGATTATGTATTATATAAACGAACGCCGTGTTTTATAAATCTCCCAACTCAATCAACTTAATCCATTCATTGTATCTTGTTCCCCTTTGTTTATTCTACAAGATAAGGCGTCATATAACTATCTATGATACTTTTCTTCCAAAATGGAGTTTTCAGCCCCCTCCCCCTCTCCCCCCAAGATTGGGGTTGATAGTGGCAAAAGCACATTTTTCTTCATTGACAACAGCACGGAAACACCTATAGAGTACTCAAGTTTATAAAATAAACACAGGGCACATGCATGGACTAGTGCTGACGAATGCTGGTGCGCAAAAGAAAGGTTGTATGCGCCACTGTAGCAAATGCTACCTTTGAGCGATCCATTTTCGACAGTTTGGCTGGAGTTGACCTTTTTGGTAGTGTAGCTCTTCTATTAAAACTGAGGGTACCGCTTTAAATGTAAGGCTTTAAACGATAGTCTTTTTCCTTGATTTAGGCCTTAAACGATAGTTCCTTCTTTTTGGTCTACACATTGAAGAACAGTATAGATGATAAAGTAGTGCAGATTCGATACATACTCCTCCCCTTAGAGAATCTCCAAGACAGACGAAAAATAAGCTTATTTGTGTACAAGATACATAACATTATCTATGTGTGGTATTATTCGATGCGCATTTCAGTTCTGCACCAAGTTCCGTGGCTAATATAACTCTATTTAGAACTGTTCGACAATGTTTTTGCCTAAAGATCGTAAAATACAGAGTTTTTAAGTAAAATCATGAAGGGAGCGTATATTTGTAACTTGAACTGTTTACATAAAAGTAGATCCAACGTAGAGCTATTCAATGGTTTTTGTTTTATTCAAATACTACACGTCTTTCCTGAGATATGACAAAAAAATGTAATCTTGCAAAATCATCGATCTTTATGCAAACTTTGCCTGTGATAGCAAGGCAAAAATCTGGATAGCAATTTCTTTCGATGTACAAAATTGGCGATATCTCGTGATAGAACCATACTAGAGCTTTGAATCAGGGCTTGTTCGATAGGCTCTTGTCTGTTCTACACTATGATGAGTATTGCAAGTAAAGCTCTGATGACAGAAACCTGGTAATCTGTCAAAAACAGCCAAAAAATCGCAAAAACTATTCTATCAAAAACCAGCCTAATAACGTCGGCCAAAACACTTAAAATTGGTATCATTAGATTTTCCTTTAAATTCTACTCCAAGCTTTATTTAGCTGGAAAGCAATGTTATTATCAGAATCGCATGATATTAAGGTTGAACGATTTCAGAAATCCATGAATCCTCATTTTGAGTATTATGGAGGTTGGGCTATTGATAGTTTAAAATACCGCTTTTTTTTTTTTTGGTATGTAGCTCAATTCAAACGTAAATTCGCTACCCTTGTCAAATACAACCTCTTAATTACATGTAACGGATTAATAGGTAAGGTGTTGGCGAACCTCATGGTGAAAATTGCTAATTCATATCTTGCTTTGCTGCCTTGTAGCAAGCTATCAAATTCTAGTACTTACCTTGCGGTACATTGATAACAGTGACGTCTTTTAGCCTCAACCTTTTATTAGCATTTTTTTCCTTTTTTCGTTTATATATATACATATACTATACTTCGCAAGCTCTCTACTCATGAAACAACGCTACCTTTGTGAATAGAATTGAAGCAAGTATAACTGACAGTTATGCAATAGACGTAAGATACAATGTTAACGCGTTTTATACCGTGGTTTTACTTGCAATAACTCTACTAGGGATCTATTTCTGATCTTTTGCTGTGCACTGGCTGCACACTTGGCGGTGGCTGCTTTGATGTTATATCGTTGCTTCGGTGGTTCTTCTCTGATGTTTGCTTATCCTGTGGTCTGTTGTCTCTGATGTATGCTGGTTCTCTGGTCTGTCTCTGGTCGTGATGCTGTGGTAAGAAGTGGTAAGTATCTTTTTTTTTCTTGCGGTCGCAATGATATAAACTTCTTTGAACGTTTGTACTACTGCTTCCTTTCCCGCGATAATGCATTCATGCTGTTTGCTTTATTGCCTTTTTTTTCTTTTTTGCTGGCTGTGATATGATCAGCTCAACAAATACTTGCAATGTTGTTGCTTTGTATTTACGAACAACAAGCATGACACACTGCTATATAATTGTATTACCCTTCTTGTGATACTATGTTATATAGCTGTGGATTGTTGTTTGTGTTGCCTCTGTCGCTTCACATGAAAACAACATTGGTCTTCATGTTGTATTACAACACTTATACTGCTGCTACTGTTGCTCCTGCAATTGTGCGCAATTGTGTTCTTTTACATCATCAGACTGTTATCATGCACATTGCTCATGTATATATTTTTGTTGCAATAACAAGAATATAATAACGTGAACATTCTTAATTTTTTATTCATAACGTACTATACTTCTATAGTATTATTATGTTCGCTTCTTTTATTATTATGTTTCTTTGAAGCATACCTTTTTTTTACGTTGCGTGGATGTGCCTATCGCTGAAGCTCAACAAGACTCTATCCGAGGCTAGGAGGTGGATAGGCTGCCTCCACTTGGTTATCGCTACTTACTTTAGTGATGATTGAGGGTCTCAATGCCAGTATTTAAAGCTAGGTGGTGTAAGTAAGGCATGCTCTAGCACCTGAGGGAAGTTTGATGATAGCAGCGGCTATATTGCTATTATAACGGCGCTTAAAATTTTGCCTCACATCAAAACCGGGGGAAACCCTCGCAATTTTTTTTTTAGGTCAGCGGAGTTTTCAAGCAATTTGATTGGCTCGGAGGATGAGGCACCAAAGGGTTTTAGTTAGTTGATCTTCTATTGATCTGTCATTTAACACTATATTGTTTTTGTAATAAAAGGGTATCTAAACTGTTACAATTTAAGTTCTTTTATATATTCTAAGGCAAGACAAGGTGCAACCATTTGATCTAGCATCCATTAAACACTTTCATATGAGGGATGTATCTTAAATTTATTTTATAGTAAAAAAAAAAAAAAAAAAAAAGCTTGTGTAATAGTGTGTGCTATACAGCAATATACTAGGCACAGGGTTCTCCCAGCAGTATCAAATGCCCCAACAAACACGCATTGTTTATCATCAATTTCCTACAAGCTTCAGTTTCGTGGGTTGCTCTCTTTTACCTCATACCAAAGATTTTGGACATAGCACAATAGTATTTTTGGCTTCAAGATTTGGGCCATATAAATTCAAGTTTTGAAATACTAGTGCTAGAGCATTGAAAGTAGCATGTTGCTATAACCAAATGTTGATAAAAAGAAAATAATAATAATAATAGTAATAGTAATGGTGCAATTGAATGTTAGATAATAGAATGGCGGGCTGTTGTTGAGAGATGGATGAATTTTGAAAGAAAAAAAAGACAATTTTGAGCAAAGAATTATGTATAAAAGCTATTGAAAGCTATTGAAAGCTATTGATCATAAGTGGCTACGAGTTAAAGATGAATGGATTAAGTGTTGGGAAACGTTGTAGTTAAAATCGGTTGGTAATATCTTGCTTTGCTGTGGTTTGTCAAAGATTTGAAGCAGTGCTGTAGATGCTAGTTCCTTTGAATACGCTGTATTTTACCATACAGATATTAATCAATGTCATTTGATTTATTACAATACACTCTCTCGCTTTGGTGTTGCTAATTGATCTAAAGCTCAAGTATGTTGTGTGAAACATTGTTGAATGCAAATCGAGTTCATTCGTTCGCTATTCAATATCTTGAATATACACATCATCAACCGTGAGCAATGTTTAACAGATTTGTTTTACTTGCATACATAAATGAGCTCTGCTGGCTAGCTTATAAAAACACCACTAACAAAGCCATATATTAGCTTTTTCGCATGTTAGACTCACTGCTTTGTTGTTAGATCAACAATCATGCTCGTGTCGTGTAGGATTACAGCTGTTGATGCAAACTAGAAAGTAGTAATGTCGCTAATGCTGACCCAGTCACGAATTCGATTGGTTTATCTCTTCTTCTTTGTGCGAAATAAACTTACATTTAACCTCTTTCACTTTCTTTTTTATATTGTCTCAACACATCATGTCCTCTGAGCAACAAGCAAGAGATTTAATCAACCAAGCGCAAAAGAAGCTTAACTCTTGGTCCTTTTTTGGTCCATCTAACAAATACGAAGATGCAGCTGAACTCTATGAAAAGGCCGGAAATATGTTCAAGCTCGCTCAACAATGTAAAAAGAAGTAAAATAGTAGATGATAGGCAAGAAACTGAATGATTGCGCAATGAAATTAGGGAATAATGCTGGCGATGCCTTTATCGAAGCTGCCAAGTTATTTCAAAAGGGTAACAGTGCCAAATTTGAAGGATCTAGAGCATATGAAAATGCCTCTAAAAGTTATAAGCGAAGTGACCCAGCAGGTAAGAAGGGATGTGGTTGTGTTGATATCAAGATTAATTAACGATTGGGTGGGTGATATAGCTGCTGTGAATGCTTTGCGTGAGGCTGTTGTGCTTGATCAAGAAGGTGGTAATTTCAGAGCTGCTGCTAGACATTATCAAGATATTGCAGAATTATGTGAATCCAGTGAACTCGATCGTCCCAAAGAAGCATACGAAGCCTATGGAAAAGCAGCTGAACTCTATAATGCTGACGACTCTCCTGCGTAAGTGCGCCATGATGCGATTTGCGAATGTGTAAATCTAATTTGATTCGCTTAAAAATATCTAGTCTCTCCAACAAGTGCTTACTCAAAGTAGCTCAAATTGCAGCCGATTTGGAAATGTATGATGTTGCCATTGAGAAGTACGAGCAGGTTGCGGCAGCTTCGATTGATGATCCACTATTGAAATGGTCATTGAAGGATTATTGCTTTAAAGCAGGCTTATGTCATTTATGCACTGGAGATATGGTCAAGACAAGTCAAGCATTGGCTACGTACTGTAATATGGACATGTCATTCGAATCAACTCGTGAATATGGCTTATTGAAGGGGATCATTGACTGCATTGACCAAGGAGATATCGACCACTTCACTCAATTAGTGTACGATTATGACAAGTTGACCAGATTAGATGCATGGAAGACAGCAGTGTTATTAAAGATTAAAAAAGGCATGGATTCTGATGAATTACGTTAAGCCTTTATACATTATTACATTCCCTTTTTTGGGTGCCATAAAACAACAAATATCATGTTATTTCATTTTTTTCTAATTTTTGCTTTTCTCTCTTGTTTTTATTTTTCGATTTTGTTTGGTACCTGAAATTTCATATCTACATACACAAAAAGAGGGCGTTGATCTTTCTCATGTACACTGCCAATTTAAACGTGAATGCATTGCTTGAAGACGATGAATCAATCATGCCAGGTGAATACAGAAAACGGATTGAAATCGTTGCTCAACATCTACTCATCGGTATAACCTAAATTAGCTAGTCCTCCATCAGTTACACTGAGAGGATTTGTAGCTTATCACATCTTCAACAAACAAACGCATGTTAAATCTAGACTTCCATCTTCATACAGCATATTCAAGCGAGCCACTGTGCAATATCAGCAAGTCATTGAATTGATAAACCCAGCATTCAGAACAGATCAGATATACATCCCAAGAAGAACACTCACAAATCCCAGAGAACCATCAAAGAACAGTGGATACGACAACATACATGATGATTACATTTTGAGAGTCAAGGGCATCTTGGGAGACGCTGAAAAGTACGACTATTCATTGACTTGTGTTGAGTTCAGGTCGCTAATGCATTCTACGATTTCAGGTACGAAATTTTGGATTTGATGGGCCAGGGTACATTTGGGCAAGTGGTGATGTGCAAGACATTGAGGACAGGGGAACTGGTTGCCATCAAGGTCATCAAGAATCAGTTTTCATACCATGCACAAGGAGAGAAAGAAGTGGCAATACTGCGACAGGTACATAGCAACAATGCATTCTTACCAAGAAAGTCAATTAACACGCTGCGTTGAAGCTTAAAAGTCATCCTGAGAATAGAGATAGGTTTCTCCAACTACGGCACTCGTTTCTTTTCAGAGGTCATTTGTGTGCAGTGTTCGAGTTGTTATCGATCAGTTTACACAAAGTATTAAGCCAACGACCGGGAAGGCCCAATTTAGCGATCAAGGATATTCAAAGAATTTCGCTCAACATTCTGGAAACGCTAGCGTTGCTGAAAGAGATGAGGATTATTCACACTGATTTGAAGCCTGATAACATCCTATTAAAGAGGTTTGTTCGTTATGGTTGATCCATCATGCGTTTCTAATCATCACATGCTTCATAGATTTGATGATATTCATAACGTCAAACTCATCGATTATGGATCAGCAATGATGGAGTATGGCGAGCTGAATTACTGCATTCAAACAGCATTTTATCGCTCTCCAGAAGTAATTTTGCAAGCAGGCATTACTTGTGCTATAGATATGTGGTCATTTGGATGCTTTGTAGCTGAATTATACACTGGAAGACCACTATTTCCAAGCGGGAATGAGGCTACTTTACTGCATATGATGACTACTAGCTTACAGTAAGTTGCATTGTTATCAGCAGAAATTCAAAAAAGTAAAAGCACTGAATTTTGATCTAGATGCCTACCCCCAGACGACATGCTGGTAATGGGAAACAAGTCCAGTAACTTTTTCGACATAAAGAACGCACACAATAGCCAAACAAGGCTCAAGAAACTCGTCAATGCGCCTCATGACATGCCTGTAAGTAGTACTACACTTAAGGATAGGATCATGGGGTTGATATCAAATGACGAAGATGATGATGATGATTCGCTCATTGATAATCATCAGGGTAACTTGGCAATAGTACTGCATACGAGACACATACCAACACCTTTCTGATTTAGAGATAACTGACAAGGAGAATTTGTATGATTTCTTAAAGAGCATTCTGGTGTTTGATCCAAGGATAAGATTTACACCTGTGAAGGCTTTGCAGCATCCGTTCATTACATCAGCCATGGGCAACATGCCAGTGCGACCGTTACTGCACCACAGCATCACAACCGGGCCTCAGGTTCAGAAGCCTGTGATGCCGCCGATATCCAAAAGTACTGGATCCATCCCATCTGAAATGATATACGCTTCACTTGCAAAAGCGGTGGCATCATCTTCTTCTCTGAACACATCTCGTACCACAGAGGATAGCATCGACATTCTGACACCCAACAACTCACAGATAAATTTACAACATCAAAAGCAGGGTAGTTTATCTCCACAGCATGTAACAACAGTAGCATCGGACTCAGCTATCAAGCTGATCGCTTCACCAGGTCTCAAATCCATCCTCAAAACCAAAAAAGGCCCGTCCAAGAGCAACACACCTATTGCGCTGATTCCGTCGTTATCTTCTCCAATACGAGGACAGCAAGAGAATACACTGGATCGAAAGGTCGCCTTCCTTCATCAATCAAGGCCAAATTCTACGTCTCAGTTGAGCGACCAGAGTGCAAAACAGCTATCAGCCATGGCAGATGATCCGATACCTGACGTAGTCAATGTGAATAATAATACCAACACGTACAATCAAAGCTATATCGCACAACAGCATCCCTACATGACACAGTATGGACAGCAGCAGCAGCAGCAATGGATGGCTTATCTTGCCCAGCAAAATGCAACCAATGCAACGACTACTCAAACAATTACAGCACCCTCAACGTACGCATTGAGCCCATCCTACACTACAAATGCCAATTTGCCCTACATCTATCAGCAGGCACAAGCATTGCAACAACAAATCTTGCACCCCACTTATTCTACATATCCATATCAACATCCTCAACAGCAGCCATATCTGCTCCCACAACAAAAACAGCCCCAACCTCAACAACATCCATCACCTTTGTTGATGTATTCTATCAACGATCTTCACCAAAATTCTTAAACCATCATCCATGTAAATATTTAGTAACAGTATAAACAGTTTCTTTAATTCTAGTGTCAATAAAAAGGTATATATAAGTGTATGTAAATTATTTAGAAAAAAAAATAAAAGGTTGCAAGTAGTTGAGGGTGCAATGCGATGGGGGCTGCGCTATCACGGCAGCTCGCCTTCTTCCATTTCGACTTTTCTCTTTTTTGCAATATTAGGTGTGTTTGTACTTTGCATCTCTTCATCATCATCCACAATGAAAATAAAGCCATTTTCGTCCATCGTTTCTTCCTTGTTTTTATCCACCTGGATGCTGGAGATGTGTGTAGTGTCCTGGTCCAGTCGACGTCTTCTTGAACTGGATCCTTCATCAAATCCAAACTTAAACCACCGCACATAGGTATTTTCAATTCGTTTCGATTTCTTTGCATTGAACAGACTCAAGCTGATGGGCGCATCGTTGTCATGAGGGGGCTCACTCACATAATCTTCAAGCCACTCCCATGGTTTGCTCTGCTCTAGGCACGTCTCTAAATGCTGCTGTTGTTGTTGAGGATCGTTGGTAGGAGGTAATCCAAGCATGGAAGATGCCAGTCTCGTGTTGGCCAAGTAGAGGTTGTGTGTCAAGAAGGGCATGATGCGCTTGACTCGGCTATGGAACATGGCAGGCACGGATGTCAGTTCGTTATGCATCGATCCCAGCAGAATCAAGCTCTTTTTCTTTAAATCTTTTGGCACCTCTGCTTAATGTGTTAGATTGTTGACATACAACGATAATAGAGAATGTTTACCATCAATCAATAATGACACAAAGTCTAGCACAAACTCAAAGAATCGCTCTTGGCTACCATTGCCGTGTACAATGGGGTTCTACAGCAGGAAATTAGCTCCTTGAATCAATTAATACTGCTCTAAACTTACCCCTAGCAACGGAACAAGAACCTTGATCCATTCCATAATATCGCATTCATCCACCTTGGGATGTTCCCAGATAAGTGAAGCAAATGGCACCACAAGCCTCAGTCGAACCAAAAGGCTGTAAAAAAAAAGCATTAGTAAAGACTATGGCGACATAGGAGATGAATACTTGCCTGTTTCTGATATCTTGAATAGAGAGCTTCAGATCCTTCTCTGTCTCCTCGCCTGTATATTCAGCGGGTCCTTCTGTCACAAGCAACGCAATCGCCATATCCACATTGTTCTTGACCAACTGAAGCGCATTTGCCGCATCAGCATAGCAGACATTGGCGCCTTGCATCACACGGTAGATGGAGAGGCTGTTCTTAAAGCGAGTGATCTGGCCAAACACAGTCTTGACCAGCTCAATCTTCTTTTCGTTGGACCACACATTTTCAGCGAGCATATGTTGCGTGATATTGAGGAAGGCTTGACTACGGTACGCGTATTTGACAGAATCAAAGTGATGGCCGGGATCTGTCGCTTGCATCAAAAGCACGTTTTCAGGAAAGCTTTGAGATGGATCGCCCTCCAGCAATCGAGCTCCATGATGCAAGAGTTCCAGCAACACGGGTTCTCGCAATTCGTGTATCAGATTTTTGAAGAACTGGAATCTGCGTTGAGCCTTGACAGGGTCCGATTCTTCTTTACCGTCTGCCAGCACCACATCGTAAAAGAAATAGACAAACGACTGCAAGTCCTTGTTGGAGGAAGACACGGATTCTGTTGGTGGCATGTCCATGGATATATCGTCGCCCAAGATATGCGGGTTGTTGGGGTTCTGTGAATGGCCATCCGATAGCGAGATGTTGTCCAGCAGCAGGTTGACTTGCACACGGCATTGAGCTTCATTCCACTGACTCACGTTCAAAAAGACTCTATGAAGTTTATCTACAAAATCAGGCGTGGTATCCTGCACAACAGCGCCCTGTCTTTCACCACCCACCAGGCTGTTTCCTCCAATCAGCTCGTCGACAATATCCAACATCTTCTTCTTCATGCGTTTCTCCATGGCTGCCTCTGCTTCTCTGGCGGCGAATCGTTGATACACACCGTTCAAATCACGAAGACATGCCTGTCTAAACCAGGTGATTTGCAACAGATCAGCACGCAGCATCACTAAATCCTGCAACAGATTTGAGCTGAGCGGAAGGCTGGTCGCGATCATCACCAGTCGCTCCATCAGTCCAAACATGGGCTCAATGCGGTCCAGGCTACTTGCCAGTTGAGATTGTCGCTGCACTTGGAGTCGGTAAAAGTCTTCTACGCGCAACTGCCAGTGCACCGTATGGGCCGTTACCTCTTCCTCTGATTTAGACTGGTTGCTGGTCTGAATGATCAGTAACCGGATCAAGGCGATCAGATTCTGACAAAACACGATGAGCTTGCTCTCTTCTGCTCCGTAATGCTGCTGACAATCATAGTTCACCTGCTCAAACCAGGGCAGTGCGAATTCCTTGACTACAGTGCTGAGACTAATGACATTGTAAGCGACCAGAATGGCGACAAAGAACGGCACCCAAGAGCACTCCTGGTTCATGTCTTGAAGAACAATCTCGTTGTTGCACAGCCAGTGTATGACGACCTCGTCTGCTTGCCCTGTCAGTGTGGTGTGGTTGGCCACATCCTTGAGCACATTGGCAAAAGCGCGCACGATGCGATGGAAGTCATACAAGGCAGAAGAGAATGGCAGTTGATGTAATTTCGCTTGTTCCGTGATGTGCTTCTCCTTGGCCACCATACGCAGCACTTCGCCCGCACTTTCCAAGATGGCACCGATCCAGCCGGCTGCATTTTGAGAAGGTACACTGAGGGATTCAGAAACCAGCTGCAGTGATGAAGCCGCAGGTTCCTTGGCTAACTGTGTTAATTCATCCTTGACAGACACACTGTTGCTGTATCGCCCCCTTAGTTTGGACTTGACCTGTAAATCTTGCTTTAGTTGTGTTCTCACAAGATCGTCCATTTGGTATCCTTCTTGCACCAATTGCACCATGTACATCATGATGCATCGTTCTCTGTTTCCACGGCTGGATAGGTTGAGGTGCTGCAGTTAACAGGAGTGAGTGTAAAGATTATTGATATAACGACATGCTCAGATTACCTTTGCCCAGACTACATTGGCCACTCGGGTGCCACTGTTTGTTAGCTTCCAGTAGTTAGAATACTTGCGAAGTGTATCGATAATGTAGGGATACAGCACTGGATCATTGGACTTTTCCAACGCCCACAACGCTACTTCTGTGATGGTTAGATAGTCTTTGGCACATTCCATGATTCGAACGATGGTAACAAATTGTCGTGTGTTCAATAGGCAAGACCCTGGCGATGTCATGACTCTCCAGTTATCCTCGCCAATTCTAATATCCATTGGGATCAATACACATCATCAGCCACCATATTCAAGACAACAACTTACTGTATGCTCTTGACAACAAATCGTTTCACTTCGTTCAGTAACCAGCTAGTGAAATTCAAAATAGAGTAGCGGCTGGTGGCATCCATTGCACTGGTCAAGTCGCTCTTGATCTCTTCTGTCAGCGACAATTCGTAAGACTGCACTGAATCTGTCGGCACTGGCTGTGTCATCTCCTTGGCCTCTGCACCAAACAAGCAGTCGGTATCACGATGATCAAATCCAGCTACTGCCAGCCGTGCCAAATGCTTTAAGCGTTCTAGCGACTCTACTTCCTCTTTACTATCGCTGTCGCTTCGAGTACCGTACAAGGCAACACGTCTCTGGTTGATCAGATACGGCGGTGCAGGACTGAGTAAAGGAAACGATGCCAAATGGTGCAGGCATTGCTGGATTTGTTTGACATGTCGACGCTTGGGTTCTAGATCACCACGAGCAATGAGTCTAAGAAGGTACTTTTGGTAGGAGAACAGCTGTAATCGTATCAATACATCAAATAAATATATGACAGGTGTGTTAGTTTTCTCTATGGAATCTTAAATAATGTCAATGCCTAGCCATCATTCAGTGCACTCTGGAAGCTTACCTTGGTCTATCGTGTCTAGTGTCTGTGCGTCTATGGTGGTTTCGCTTGCTTTAGGACAAGCCTCGTCGTCTAAAAATCGAATCAATGCTTCTTGCAAAAGCACCTTGTTGTCATTGTTCTTGTCTTGTTCTCTCCAAGAAAGCAGTATGGAAGCAACGAGGTACGGCTTCCAATCGCCGTAGCGCGACTCGCTTGTTGCCCAGCGACACATGATGTTGATTAGCTTGATCAGTGCCTGAGACTGAAGACGTGTGGTACCAAAAATAGATTTGGATGCTGATTTGGCAGTGTGTCCCTTGATGTCCACCCAAGTATCGTTATCCAGCAATAATCCAGTGATACTATCCACATGTCTTCCAATGCTATCCAAGACATGCACGACACGCTCCTCATACACAGCGTCCGAGATGTGGGTGGACGCCAATGGTGATGATGAGCCAACAGTGGCAGCAGCAGCAGCAGCGTCAGAGGGTATCGAGTCATTGGGTTGTGCTTTACTGTCCATGTCTACGGAATGCTGGTCTGACTTCATTTTGTTTTCCTCCAAGGTACCACAAAATACTTCATTGCGTGCCTTAATCATGGTCCAGTACTCCTTCATGACACGACACACATCAGGCAAGCTTTTGGATGGCTTTTGTCGGCTCTCGTCGCCCAGAATCGAGTTGAATAAATAGCGGTATTGGTGGTAGAGTTTGGGCACAACAAACATGTCGGGTGTAGATAGGAACAATGACTGCAGCAAGTGCTCAATGTCCTTTTGTAAGCCGTAGTGCACTGCCAATGCGTTTGTGTCTGGCGGTGTTTGACGAATAAACTGTGTTAGCTAAAAAACAAGCAGCACGGTTAGTATCACATTCTGCTTAGCAGAGTAAGCTGCCTTACCGCACTGTATGATTTGATCAACGTCTCAATCAGCAGTTTTGTCAGTGTTCTGTTACGCTTGTACTCATCCACATAATCTTGAATAATGCCTGTCAAAACCAACCACATAATTTCAAATGATCCGCTTCCTGCCAACGTGTCCAACGTCCATTTCAAAAATGTGCGCTGATCCAGCAATCCTTCAAAATACTGCCATCGTGCTAATTTGACACTATACGACCATCTGTGCTCAAATCGAGCTCTGTTTTCAGGTGATGCCCATGGTTTGGGCGCATTGTTGTCATGGTGGTTGGATGCATTGTAACCCTTGTAGCCACGGCCAGGTGTTCCTGCATTTGGGTGTGGACTTGCTACGTTGTTAGGGTTGTTGGCGAGTGGTGGCATAAGCTCGCTCAATTGCTTTTTGAGATGACTGGTGACAGTGACCGTCCATTGCACGGGTTGAGGCACTACAGAGGTAGCTGCATTGCTGGCACTGCGTTGACTCATTTCAGATAATCCCACAATCTTAATGTACCATGTAGCTCGTAAAAATGGCACTTGCTTCGCTGCCAATGTCTCTAGTAATTTCTCGCCCTTGAATCCATGAGGTACGTTGCGCGCAAGTTTTTTCAATGGCACAATGCCGCCTGCCAATTCTTGCATCCACTGCTCTCGCTTTGAGTCTATTAATGTCGTTCGAATAGGTGGTTTGAAAGAAGACGATCTGTAGTGAGAAGCATCATTTTAGTACACTTGAGATGGGCGTAGATCAGATCAGAAAAAAGAGGGGGGGGGGGAACTCACCCAGTAATGCAACCAGCTCTGCTTTGTCTTTGTAAAACGTCAACCATAAAACTTCCCAATTCGTTCAGCAGTCGTTGATCATCTTGCAGTTTTCCATACACAATATCATGCGCACACGTATGTTCATTCTATATAGACACTAGTCAGCACCACTTGCAATTGCACTGCTGCAACACAACATACCGAAACGACGGGCCGATCGACAAATCCATGGCGCACATTGGATTCTGTCAAGATATCTTCGTCTTGTCCTGGACGTTGAGGAAACATCCCGGGGAAGCCCAAGCAAGACATTGCTTTACTGAGAGGTAATATACGAGTAGGTGGCTGCAATGTGTACTTTTTCAGAGGCGTGTTTTGGTTGTTTCTTGAAATAATGTTGGGGGAGTGATAGCCGCCGGGAGAAGACGATGAATTGGTAGAGTAAGGAGATGCCATAGACGAAGCATTGCCATAAGCCTGTTGCTGCTGCTGTTGTTGTTGTAGATGCTGTTGTTGATGCTGCTGTTGTTGGTGCTGCTGTTGCTGTTGGTTATATTGTGCATTGTTATTCTGGGATGGAGGATACGGGATATTCAAGTTGTTGTTGTTGTTGTTGTTGCTATTGTTGCTGTTGTTACCTCCTGTATTTGGATATGATGGATTCGACGAACTATAACGCGCGTATTGTGCTGTTTGATGACAAGGTGAATAAAAAGACATGTCATTTAGTTGACAAGTGATACTGTAGATTTGCTTACCTTGATGTCTACCTGCCATCGTTTGTGTGTGTGTGTGTGTGTGTGTGTGTGTGTGTGTGTGTGTGCTTATGTATATACGATATTTGGACACAAGAAAAAAATGAGTAAAAGGTGAGAGAATGTGCTTCCTTTTTGTTTGCTTTTTTTTCTCTAGTATATATAGAAGCTCTATATATGAAATATCGTTATTGTATATATGGATTCTGAAGGCAAATGCAGAATATTGGTTTCAAGATTACAAGGTATTTTTGAAAGAGGGAAAAAAAATAGAAAATATAAAAAGGGAAATGTAAGGTTAATGTGTGTGTGCGCTGTCTATCTTTCTGGGTCAATCAGCCTCTGTGTGTGTGTGTGTGTGTGTGTGTGTGTGTGTGTTAAGCTGCTTTTCATAATTGCAGTGCCACCAAAAATACAGACAGACCAAAGTATAATAATGTCATCTTCATTTGCCAAACTTACCAAGTAGTTTAATACAGAAATAGTCTGCCTGCTCGCATTCTTTGTAGATCTACATGGATCTACGTGATCCATCTGACATCTCGGTTACATTTCGAAAATGTTTCTAAACTTTGCCAAATGTATATGCCATATTCTAGCACAAGATATGTATACTTTTTCTAGCGTCTATAATGTATATTGGTTCGCAATCTCTACTTTATTAGCTCTGGAACTACCGATTATTGCTGCACATCATCTTGTGAGCAACATCAAAGCTCTTGATTCAAAAATATCCTTGTAGGATTGCTCGAGTCTTTAATTCACTCAAACAAGCAAAGTTACACTTATGGAATTACTGCAGATGAATCAATGTTCTGGGTGAGACCCAATTTATTTTATAGGTTCGCTATATCTACACTGTCATTGTCGCCATTGTTTATAGCATTGGGTGTAGAAGCCATATCATCATCCTTATCCGCTTTGGTCGAATCTGCCTCTGCTGCTGCTGCCTCTGCTGCTGCTGCTGCCTCCATTTTCGCTTTTCTAGCAGCACGATAATGGACCATTTTTCGATGCTTTGTCATTTGACCCGATGTAACAAAACTCTTATGACAACCGTCGATATTACAGACCAATTTCTTTGCGCCATGCATGTTGGTTTCGTGTGTTTGAAGTTGGTCGAATGTGGTAAACGACTTGGAACATCCAGGCTGTGTACACAAAAACGGACGGAAATCCTTCTCGCCTGCTGTGGATGAGAACAATTGATCGATTTCTGCTACGGAAATGGGCTCTGTTGTGTTGTCATTGATGGCCATTTTCTCCTCTGCTTTAAGGTGAGTCATACTACGCTCTTTAATCACCTTCGGCGATGTTTCTTACCTGATTGCCATGTTGGTATTTGTAATTCGAACCCTTTCAATGTGTGAAATACAAGTGGCTTCGTGCTCCATTTTCTCACTTTGATGTCCTTGTGTTTCAGTAAATCTTTCCGAGAAATAAGTGTAGTGTTTTGTCCTGCTGCTCCTGATCCAGCTCCATTGCCGCCTCCACCTCCACCTCCTCCACGCCTGCTATTCTGACTAGGAGCTATTGAATCCATGTCAGCTTTTGATATGAAGTGCAAGTGTTACATCAGGATCCTACCTTCTTCTGTATTGTCATCATCAACAGTAATAGGACTGCAAGGTCAACTAGGCGTGAATACAAGATACAAGCAACTACCACACTCATACTTACGTGTCTGGTACAGGCGTACCCTCTGTTTTGGGCTTGCGGTTTCGATTTGCGTTTGGTTTAGCTTTCTTGCGAGGACTTTCTGTTGAAGACGAAGGCTCGCTGTCCTCTCTTTTATTTACACTCTTGATGGAAGCAGCTGGAGAAGACGGTTGTGGTGATGATGTACCAACAACTCGGGGTCCAGATAGCTTTAATTTAATCTTTAAAGAAGGTGAAGCAGCCATCTTTTATGTGTATATGAATATAGGCAAGGAAAAAAAGTGGATTGTGCTACTGGCAAGAAGAAGCTTCAAGGATGGACTATGAAAAGCATGCTTCGTCGTAGTCATGTACGCGGTACACCATGTTTAATTAAATCCCAACTTGTTTTACGTATCATCATCATTGCCAGTCATCCTTCCCCTATAATTTTAGGTCGATGAAACTTGGATAAAAGCCGATTTACATGTATGCGTCTCGTTGAGCGATTGATTTGTTCCTCACACGCTCATATATTGGGGGGGGTGCTGAATCAGGCAAATGCAGATGCCAGAGAGCAGCTAACAACATGTTTCGAAATGGGCATTTTTGACATTCACGAAAAGTACATCAACCCACTCCCTCGAACATTAAAGTCGTTGCTTTATCAAATCGTTTTTCATAAGATCTTGAAAAAAGGTTTTGATTAATTTTCGATATCTCATACCTGAGTTGGGGGTTTCTGAATACCAGCATTTTTAATTGCACTACATCCTGATTTCTTGGTGTACCCATTGCGCCTTATATTGTTGGAACCGAGATTAACATCCAAGCCCAAGTAGCATTGAAAGCAAACAGAATTTAAATTTTGATGTTTCCTCCATCCCTATAATACAGATCACCATGTCTTTTGGGAATCATAATGGTACACTCCAGATATATTGAGCCAAATGTTGCTAGTTGTTTTAATGATTGGAAATCCGGTTGTCATTGCAGAAGATCTATCCAATCACCTCGCTTTTTAGACAAGCTTGCATTCTGGCTTACCGTCATGAAATTCACTTGACTGTAGCCAAACACATATACTACAAGCTCAAATGGACTCATTATATATACTGTAAAACATTCGAAAAAAGTATATCCTTCCAAAAATTTAAGGAATTATGCGCCGTACAAGGTGAATAAACCCACCAGCAAAGCTGGTAATGGGGAGGGGGTTTGGGGGAAGAACATAACGCATCTAATCCAACACTTGGTAACATTGATCTATATGAGGGCTTGATCGCAGCGAAACAAAGGTGCAAGCCTAAGACAACTAAGCATCCAATCCAGCATTTGATAGCATTGATCTATTCGAGGGCTTGATAGTAGCGAAGCGAAGGTGCAAAACCATAGTATTCAACAAGCAGTAAATTCGGCTTTTCATCTCCATTATTAGTAAGCTTATCAGCAACATATCGCGTCAAAATTTGCTTGAATCAGCTTTACCGAAACCAATATGCCTCCTGTTCGAATTAGAAGTTGCACAGACTGCAGAACTGCCCTCTTCAAGAATTTCAGCTATCCATCCACCAAGATGTGATTCACGCTGTGTAAATAAAAGCTGTAAAGCAAAAACATTACCAATTTTGACAGCTTTCAAGCCTTCATATCTTGACATGTAGACCTTTCTGAGCCACCGGAACGACACCAAATTGTTGTATTCGAGTAGTAGTAACTTCCTGACACCGTTACTCAACTTTTTGGGACCAAAAAAAAAAACATGGCCAAAATTCCACTGAAAGCCATGAGGGGTAGGTTTTTTTTACGAAAATCAAACGATCGCATTTTTCACCTTGAAAATAGAGACTTTTACTATGGTATGTATTAATTCAAAACATTTCTCTCGATTCAAAGCAACATCTAAAACCACTTTTATGAGGATTTCATATGCAAAATATGGCTATTTTCGCTTAAAACCTTATTTCAAATTTTATTAAATTGCTTGATAAGTTCAGTCAAAGTATTTATTACAGTTAGCACCATTGGAAGCGCCTTGAAAAGTACTCCAAGGATGTATTAGGAAGCGTAGGGTGATCATCACAGTTTATATAGTCGAATATTTCAAAAAAGATTAAAGAGGTCGAAATTTTTTTTTATTTGTAAGTATGAAGATTTATTAGATAAACTCTAAGAAGTATTTAGATAAATATGAAAAGGGAGCGGATGTAGTATAAAGTGACCCGTCCCGGAAGGACAAAGAAATTATTTGAATAGATTTAGAGACGATATTTGTCTCAAGTTGGTCGTGGCACGGTCCACTACAGACTGGTTGTCAAAGCCAACGTTATCATAATGATCACGCCACTTGGCACGCCAGATGGCTATTAAAACACATGTTACTGCTTCAAAGATGGAGACCTTGAGAGGCGAGTCCAAGAGACAGTACGAGGAGAGGTTGAGGGACAGGACATCATGGGCAACTTGGCTCATGTCGAGTGACCCCAGAGGCACGAAGATCAGAGCAAAGTAATTGGACCAAATTTCCAAGTTGGCAGAACAGGTAAACAGCATGTGAGTTGTTGTCTCTCGATAGCCACAGTACACACATAAGTCATCTGGGAGCTTAAAGATGGGACTAACATTAACTTTGGATGAGACCTTATTATGGATCAACCGGAACCAAAGATTACGAGCTGCACTAGGCATTTTCGTTTGAAGAAAAGAGGCCATAGTGAGTCGATTTACATCCACCCGAGGGTCGGTTATTGGAGGGTGATCGCGCATGTACATTGCACGAAGCTCGGTATTAGACATGGACAGAATCTGAATACCTTGGTAGAAGAGCTTGTGACAATAGTAGGGCGACAGATCAACACCTCCACCGGTGACAAGTAATGGCTCAGGGCCAGCAGGAGGAGCAAGGAAAACAGGGCACAAGGTAGGCAAAAATTGGATGGTGGTGGCACGGACGGCCGTGGTCATTCTGGAAAGAAGACCAGGGCTGGAACTAGTAGTTCTTGGTTTGAACACCAACGCATCCGGGAGACGACTAGGCTCTAAGAAGACATGGGCAGGCAGCATACGAATCTGTTTGTGGTATAGGAAACCGATATCGGTAGCTGTCGGGCCGAACAATACATTAATCGGTAGCTGCAACATGGTATCCACCGACAAAGTGCAGTCGGTCCAAGACGGTTCCACAGCGAAAGCATCAACCGAACGGAAGATCAGGAGCAGGCAGTGGAAGCCAGTCAAGGAGAAGCCATATCGCATGTTGCGAAACAACAAAGGTAAGTGAGGGTGGGCAACCCCATACGTAACCTGTATGAACGTGCCGAGCAGTTGCAAAAGGAAAGCAGGAATTGTGCGAGAGGCCTGGTTATCCGAGAGCAAGACACGAACATATCGTTGTTGCAGGATGTGTTGCTGGACCGTGATGTCAATGACTCCGAGGCCACCAACTTGCTTGGGCAGGTAAATGACAGTTTTCTTCAAGGGAGGGACAATTTTGTGGCAAACAAATTGATACGCCAAAGAAGAGATCTTCCTGACGAAAGCGAGAAGCAGAGTAGTGACACGCAGCATATGCCAGAAGCGAGCAAGGACGAGCGTGTTGACCATTTTGGCACGACCATACACCGAAATGCTTCGTGTTCTGTGCCTGTCCAAGGAGACCTGCAGCTTCAGGATAGTTTCCTGGCAGAAATCATCACGTTGGGCGTTGCTAAACCAAATTGGATAGCCAAGGTATTTGATATAGGATGGGCTGTCCGAATCATACCATTGGAATCGAAGTCGGCCAGCGAGACGAAACAGCTCCAGACGTACTGGGGACCGATCACCTGCAAGAGGGAAGGCGACTGACTTGTGGTAGTTCACCCGCGCATTGGAAGCTCGGCCGTAGCTAGGGAGGTGGTCTTGGATTGCCTGCATCTCCTCATGGTTGTTGACTATGACCAGCAGATCATCAGCATACGCTAATAACTTGAGAGGAGGGGGAGCCACCATTTGCAGAGAAGAAGTTTTTGCAGCCTTGGTATGCACGACATAACCTTTGATCTTTTCATCATTCAGAATAGCCAAGAGAAGGGGTTCCAGCGCAAAGTTGAAGAGAACCGGAGAGATGGAGTCCCCTTGTCTTAAACCACGCTTTTGAGAAACAGATTTGGTCATGAAGCCATTGACGTTGATGGCAATCTTGTTCTGGAAGAAGAGATTGCGGATGATGGTGATAAAGGTTGAAGGAAAACCAAACTTCTGTAGCACCTTACAGATATAGTGTTCGTTCACATAGTCGCAAGCCTTGGCGCTGTCAATGGCAACACCCACTGCACGATTTGAGTGCAATTGAGCGTCCTCCATGAGAATTCGCAGAGCTAGACCATGATCACCAATGAATCTCGTAGGCATGAAGCCGGCTTGATGTCGAGAGATGACTTTGTTGGCCGCGCCAATGACCCGTGAGTTTAGAATCCTGGTAAAGACTTTGCAGTCAGTGTTGATCAGTGAGATCGGACGCCAGTTCGCTAGATTCCACAAATCTCCCTTCTTTGGTAAGAGCACTATACAAGTTTCCTGCCAAGAGGGTGGGAACACACCAAGATTGAGAGCGTCATTGTACACAGCAAGCACGAGATCCTTGCAGTCAGGGTGAGCCAATATCAGACGAAGAATGGGATAAGGGAGTCCATCTCTGCCTGGGCTACTGACCTTGGGGCAACGAGTAGCAGATCTCAGAATATCATCCATGTCAATAGATGAGATAATGAATTCAGCATCGTCCACGGAAATTGTATTCTGGATACCTCTGAGCAACTTGTCCATAGAGTAACGATGAGTTGGCTCGGGAGAGTACAGCACATCATAGTAAGCATGAACCGCCTCCAGCTTATCCGCAGTGGTAGAGCAAGGGACTTCAGATGTGGGATGCGTGATGGTTTCCATATTCCTTTGTGCAAGACACCGTTCACCAGTCTGCTTCAAGAAGCCTACCGAGTTCTCATTGTTGTCTAACCAGAGCCTACCAGCCTTGAGTGTGGCATTGAGAGCCATCTCGTGCTCCAGACGGGCTATAGGTTGTTCAATCTTGGGTAGTTCCTTCTGCAAAGCCTCCTGATCATCTTTCAACTGGCGGATGAGCTGAATCCGAGAGCTTTGAAGATCCTTGAGACGCTGTTTCCTCCAGGAGGCACGGTTGCTGCAGTAAGCTTTGGTCAATTTCCGGATGTAGCCCTTCAAACGATCCCATTTGATCTGGTTGCTATCTGAGGAGTTAGCAAGGATGGTCTGCATGAAGTGGCTGATACCAGTGTTGATCTTCTTCACATAGGACTTGTAGTGCACCAGGTTGGGATTGGCCCGCTATAACCCTTTGTCCGCGTTGTTGAGTTGAAGACGCAGTTTGATGGTCAGTAAAGCATGGTCAGTCCACACCGAAGAGACGTGCTCAATGTTATTGTCAAAGTAGAGATCCTTCAGCTGGCGGCCCACCATGATGTAGTCAAGCGTTTTAATGACCTTGCCCCGTCGAAAGGTTGGAAGAGTTTCAAAGAGGGAGTCACTGTAGTTGTTGTTACAATCATGAAGGAAGGTATCCGTAAACAAGACAAATGCTGCTGGTCGTTTGTTGGGTGCGTTGTTGGGCAAACGAAGGTCGTATTGAAAGTTGAAATCGCCCGCCAAAATCAATCGCTCCAAGATGTCACCGTATGAATCAAGAGACTTGATGTAGTTCATAAGGCTGTTGTAAAAAATGGCCCTGTTCTGAGATGAATCCGCAGGCGCATAGATGTTGAGCACATAGATGGGCAACAGGTCTGGTTCCGCGGGTATCGTCAATTTTGCAAATATAATTCTATCATCATCAGAAATGTGTATCTTCTCCATGTGAATGTTTCGATTGAAGTTGAAGATGCCGCATTTCGATGTCCAAATACTTTGAACGGATTGAAATTTCAGCTCGAGCATTGCAATCCGGTCGTCAAAGTTGAGTGAGGGTATGTTGGTTTCCTGACAAGCAAAAACATCTAAATCTTGCCCCCTTAAGTATCGAATGAAGGAATCTGAGGATTGAGGATTGTTGACTTTGAGTAGATATCGACAATTCAGAGATCCAAATTTGATATTTAAGGATTTCCTATAATTAATATGATTACTCATAATAATTTTTGACGTGATGAGGGGTTGGTAGAAGCCTTCTTCTTTGAAGCCGTTCCACCGTAACGAGGGCGTAATGCCTTGTCCTTGTTGTCCTTGTGCAGTTGCTTTGCCTTGCGACGTTGGAGTCTGAGTTGGCGTCTCATCTTCTGGAGAACCTCATCCAGAGGTATAGAGCTGCTTGCCGCCTCCTTGGCCGCTTCCGCCATGTTGATATCGCCATCATCGAAGTCGTCGTCACCATCCATCTCATCCTCAAGATCATCTTCCGGAGTGTCACCCTGTTGCTCCTGAATAACCTTTGAACGCTCTTGTTCAGATTCACCCGCTTCAACCTCCTTGGTGAGCTGCTCCTCCCCAGTGGCAGCGACGTCCTTTCCATCCTCATAAAGAGGTCGAAATTTGTCTAATCTTGAACAGAAAAAACCACTGAGTTTGAATCAGTTTTGGCGGTGGTTATTGCTGCTAGCTGACCTAAATGCCTTTCTGTTGATGACAATGATGATTGCGATGCTGATTAAATGGGAATCATGGAATTGAAAGGGCAATTGCTTAACGCAAATACTTTTTTTTTGAGGAGGTTTGCCTCATGGAGATGTCTTTTGCGATGAGACTACCTCAAAAAAGTCGCTGTAGATCTTACACAAGCCCTGTATTTACTTATGGTCAGCTTTATGTCGCCATCTTATTAAGAACATCAGCAGCAGTGAATCATATGACAGTTCTATTATCAGAAAATGGCAATTGTGATGTACAAATGCTGCATAAAATTTGAATTTTCTTTCACATTGTCCCAATAATAGGCTTTGTTTGATATCAGTGTAAGCAAAAAGGATGCTGAGGGAGATACCTCCTCCTGGCTCTGACATGACCTTTCTTTTACTAACCAATAATTAGTTGTTTCCAATCTACTTGATATACCAAATGTTATAATATCTGATTTAAAATGTCTTTGGCGAGAGCCCACAGGGGGGGGGGGGACGCTGTCATCGAGCGTAGCGAGATTGACCAGCTAGTAGTATGCATGTAGTAAATGAACTTCCACACTGGCCACATGACGTGAATTTGTAACAAACATTTGGGGGGAAATTATACAAGTCAGCAGAGGTGTGTAACAAGCTCGAAACTACATGATAATTTCGATTTCTTTCTTTTTTCCTTTATTATCTAATGATTATACGGAATATTTTGCTCGCTACCTTATTCATCGCCAACTCGCTATGCAAACCACAAGCTTACCTGGGGAGATCTCTTCCACTGAATGACATGTCACTCAAATCCATCTATCACCATTTCCCAAACTACGGACCTACACCCAACCGCTTTCAGATGATGCAAGTGGACACACTTACCCAGCCATATTATGTGCAATCCGAGATAGGCACTGCATACAGACCTACTCCTGCCTACATGGAGCAGCTGCTGGCCATGCGAGATACCAGTCGACTCTTTAGAGTAAATCAAGCATCAGCTGAACTCATCCCATCGCCCTATTTGTTACCAGATGTTACTGATCAGGCATCAGTGCTGTCATTAGCAGAGATGAGCTTCAATGCCTACACAGAGCTCGGCAAGGATGGGCAATGGTATGATTTGGGGTCGAAATGGCGAATCGTAAGTAAAGCTTATGTATGGAGCAACCAAGAGGGCTAAATCATCAAGGCTAGAATTCGACATTTGGTTGGGAATCAGATGGTATGCGAGGTCATGTATTCGGGAATACAGATAATTCACACCTGATTATCAGTTTTAAAGGTACCAGTGCTGGATTATTCAACGGCGAACCTACTGGAGAGAAAGATAAGCTGAATGTAAGTGTATGATTGTAGGCGATGATTTTTTTTTTGGATTTTTTGCTTATTGTGCGTAGGATAATCTGCTGTTTTCTTGCTGCTGTGGCAAAGTGAACCGAGGATGGACCGCTGTCTGCGACTGCAATGATAGCAAAAATCAGTACCAATGCGATCAGCAATGTTTGGACAAGACTATTACTAAAGCAGAGCTTTATTTTGATTATGCAGCAGTAAGTTGGGATTTGCTCCAGTTTGATGAGAGATGACTCATGTCGATCCGTATAGCACATGTACATGGATGTAGCAGACAAGTATCCAGGAGCAACCATATGGCTTACTGGCCATTCTTTGGGAGGCGCTATTGCAGCACTATTAGGTCAAACATTTGGTGTTCCAGCCGTCAGTTTCGAAAGTCCAGGAGATCGGTTGGCTTCAGAAAGACTGCATTTGCCTCGTGCACCTGGTGCAAAGAATATGCCCATTTGGCATTTTGGACACACTGCAGATCCCATCTTTATTGGTGTTTGTACTGTAAGAATCGCATTAGCTTGTTGCGTAAATTAGCTTGTTGAGCTGTTTTTGTGTAGGGGCCTACCAGCGGTTGCTTTTATGGTGGATTTGCCATGGAAGCCAGATGTCATACAGGCAAGGTGTGTGTCTGGGACACTGTCAAGGACAATGGCTGGCGAGTGAATGTGGCTACACATCGCATTGCTACTGTGATTGAAGACATTTTAAAGAAACCAGACAAGTTTCCTTTGCCAAAGTGTAGGGTGGAGGAAAATTGTCAAGATTGTGGACTATGGAAGTTCACAGATGGTCGAGATGGATTGACAGCAGCTGGTTCAGCTGGTTGTATGTAACATACGATGCATAGTTATACCTTAATTTATATACATTTAGACATGTATTTTGCAAATATACTACTACTTTACTCTTCTTGTGTCGTGCAGCAATGTAATGTGTGTGAGATGTGATGATGAGCTTTATTAGTTTTGTGATAATTTTAATGAGGTTTGGAAGGATGAAAGTTTGGCATCCACTAGAGTGGCGATAGTTCTGCTGTGGTAACGCTGTAACCATGGTTATGCTCTTTAGCAAACGCCATTTTGCCAGTAGTAGGATCCAAAAATGCCTCTTGATTCACAGTTTTTCCGTTGATGCCATCCACAAACAGATTTGCTGAATTACTGATGATCTGAGGCACCATTCTGCCGGTTCTTGCCAATTGCGACCACGTTTCTTCAGAGTATCCGATCAAATAAGCGCCAATCAGCCAAATAATGATGTATCCCAGTACCCACAACATACTTAGAAGATTCCATCTTGCAGCAGAGTAAGGGTACATTCTATTTCCCAGAGTAGGAATTTCGACTGCTTGAGGACAATTGGGATTGGTATAAAGAGCATCTGCTAGTAGACCTTTGTCACGTAGGTTGTCATGGTTCAAGATGTTGCCAACGAGTCCTTGAGTGCCATAAAAGCCGGTACCATCTCTCATCGCCTCGGCCAGCGCATCAGCGACGACCTTGTTGTTTGCTGCACTGTCGCCTACGGGGTTGCATAATTGGGATTGGCAAGTGTAGTTGGCAGCGGTTGCAGATACGTAAACGCCTGCTGCAAATCCATCTGAAGCGGGCGAATAAATGATAATGACCTGCTTATCGTCGGAGGTGGTGTGCCGAAGTACATTGAGCTTGATTTCAGATGCTGCAGTGTTATTATTAGATCCACTGGTGCTATTATAAGGCACTGCAAGGTTGTTTGCGCCCTTGGAAATGAATATTCTGCTGGCATCAAAGCTGTAGAAAGCAGCTGCTGTCGTGTTTAGCACAGATTGCTCGCCGTCCAGGGTAAGTATGATGGTGTCTCCTACTGCCAAATTGTTTTGCTGCTGTTGTGCTGGTGTGTCGGATGGAATAGAAGAAGCAATGGAAGCATTTGTTGTCGCTGTGGGCGCAATTTCAGATGAGGAAGTTGTCTCTGTAATTGCCGTTTGTTGTTGCTGTGTATTACCCGCACTTTCACATGTTTTGGAGCGGTAATGTCTTCTCCTTAATTTGGCAGATCCTGTTGCTGCTGTTGTTGTGCTACCAAGAGTAATATTCTGGACAGGCTCGAGAGACGTCTTGATCAGGGAAACTGTATATGGCTTTATTGAAGGTTGATATGCATAGTTTTTCAGGAGAGCAGAAGCGTCAGATATCGTATGTGATATGTGTCCAGATGAGTAAGCCAAAGAAGCTGCTTGATAGTCATTTGCGTTCGTGTGCTGACACTCAGCTAAATTCACATCGGTGGTAGCACCCAATTTGTAATAGATGCTCATGGATGATTGCAGTTCGCCCTCTAGTGCATTTCCCAAAAGAGTGGCTGCTGTAACCAGAAAAGCCAATAGAAAGTACCTGATTCCAGATTTATACCTGATACAGCTCCACATGGCTCCAAACCCGCCTGTAGCACCAAAAGCGACCACTGAATCAGGATTTATACCTTCTTCAAACGGTTTGACTAGAGCAACAGTAATGGATCGAGTGGCTAATGAACAAGCAAAGCCCAGGAACAATGTATTGAAGAAATTGGCTGGATAGGTTCTGTAGGTAGGCAGCAATGTGTCTCCAGGCAATGGCACTAGCCACCACAATCGAGCTAATATAAAGCAGACAATGGCCAGAGTCCAATACAGGTGCGATTTCCAATCAATGTGGTATACACCTTTGTAATTGACCAGTAGATTGTTGTTTCGGTCATGTAGATGAGTGTCCAAGGCAGACTCCAAGGTAGGAAACAGCCCTTGCTTCTCCTGCTGCTGTTGCGTAGTCGTATTGGCGGGCTGCTGCATTGATGTGTGTGTGTGTGTGTGTGTGTGTGTGTGTTAAGAGAGGGCGAAAGGGAGATGAAAGAGGAAAGAAAAGGATGTCTGTCTGATCTGCTCAACGTAGTGCCAGCCATCTGTATTTATTTTTATTCAGCCATTTGTTGATTCTGTTTGGTGTGTAACCACCAATCAGATCGAAAAAGGTACTTGAACACACTTACTACATTCACTAGTTTCTATTGTGCATGATCTCTTTTTATTAAATGCTTGCTTTGGTAATTACGAGAAAAGAAGCAAAGCAGTTTGTACTCTTTATCTATAAAGCGAGAAAAACTACCAGCTGTACTATATAATATGAATATGGTATAATATAATGGGTTGAAAACTGACTACCAGGCCAACTTTGCAATGATACTATTGGGGAAGGTGCGAACAAGCAATTTACGAATTTCATCCATGGAGAGAATGCCAATAGCCAAGGGAATGGGAATCAGCCAATGCTTGATGGGTACAGAATTCGTTTGCAATGTTTGCTGGATCCAAGGCACTTCAGTAACGATAATAGCCACGATGAGAGCGCAGAGCATACCACCAAAGATCCAGAGATTGCGACGCTTTGGTCTAATGGGATCAGCTTGGAGAATAGACAGTCTTCTGTTACGAATCGAGAGAATATTGCCCCATTGCAGGATGACCAGAGTGACAAAGGTGACACATTGGCCAGTGTACAGGATCTGGGTGAATTGATCAGACGTAATAGGAGTTCCAGTGGAAGGATCAGTACCCCAAGTAGGGTTCTCGGGTGGACCCCAGGGACCGCTGCTGTATGTGCCGACAAAGTCGTACCATCCCAAGCCAGTTGCAGATTTCATATAGAAGAAGAACATGCTCAGAGAAACCATGGTTTGCATGGAACCCATAAAGATATAGGACTGAAGGTAGATCTTGATATTGATGAGATGGTCTGTTTTGGGATTACGAGGCTTCATGGAGAGGAGATCAAACTCTTCCTGTTCCATGATCAGAGTCAAGCAAGGAAACAAGTCAGTGAAGCAGCAAATCATAATCATGAGGAAAGAACTAAGAGGCAGAGGTGTGCCAGCAAAGGCGTTGACCAAGACAGGCCAAATTTCAGACCAAGAACCTGCTGGCAGGAGATAGCCAATGACCTTTTGCAAGTTTTGGAATACAAGACGGCCGAGACGAATGGCCTCAGTAATAGAATCAAATTCACCCATCAGAACCAAATCAGCAGCTTCGATGGCAACATCACTGCCGCTGACTACAGCCACACCCACATCAGCAGCCTTCAAAGCAGGAGCATCATTGACACCATCGCCAGTAACAGCCACAATGTTATCGCGCTTTTGCAGTTCTTTAACAATCTTGAGCTTCTGTTCAGGTGTTGTTCTGGCAAACACAATCTCATCGTAAGTGCAGACATTTTCCCATTCAACATCGCCAAACTTTTGCAAATCAGAGCCGGTCAAGAGAAGACTTGTAATATCACCCTCGCCGCAAGGACCAAAGTGCTTTTCAGGGTTCACAATGTCAATATAAGTGTCAGGGCTGCGTGTGGAAGAAAAGATACCAATCTCGCGAGCAATAGCAGCAGCAGTTAGGCCAAAGTCACCGGTAATCATAAAGAAACGAGATCCAGAGCGACGACAATCAGCAACGGTCTGCTTGATTTCAGTGCGAGGAGGGTCCATGATGCCTACTAAGCCAATGACAGTGAGGTCCTGGACAGCATGATTCACAATTTCTTCTTGGAGTGCGTTGGAGTTGAGGCTGCTCGTAGGCGTGTAGAAGCGACGGCAAAGAACCAGAACACGTTGACCATTGTTGGCCCATTTCTCTTGAAGCGTATTGAGGGTATCGAGAGTTTCTCCAGTCAATGGGACCACCGTGTTGGTTTTGGCAGACAAGACAGACGTACATTTGGGAAGGATAATATCTGGAGCACCTTTGACAAAAATCAAGGATTGATTGTTGGTGGCATCGTTACCATGGCCATAGATGCTTTCCATGGCAGTGGTATTTTCATCGGCTTGATACATGGTCAGCATCCACTTGTTCTTGGAGTTAAAGGGGATTTCAAAGGTTCTGTTGAATTGAGAGAGGTCTTTTTGAGCATCACCGAGTTCAGCAGCAAAACGCAAGATGGCAGAATCAGTAGCATCACCATTGACTAAACGTTCTTGAATAGGTTGGTCCATGGTTGTGGAATCGAACGCAGCATTGTTACAGAGGTAGGAAGCCAAATGAAGCTGCTTGTAAGCTTGAGAAGTAGTGTCGGTAGGAGCATTATTGAAAGCGTTTACACAGTCATTTGGAGTACATTCAGAGTCTGCAAAGCCCACAGAGGTAACAAACATTTTGTTTTGGGTGAGAGTACCAGTCTTATCAGAGCAGATGACAGTGACACAGCCAAGAGTTTCCACAGTAGTCAACGCCTTGGGCAAAATGTTGTTTTGTTTCATACGACGAGCAATCATCATCATGGTCATAGCGACACCGACTGGCATACCTTCAGGGATAAAAGCAACAACACAGCCCATCAAGTTCATCAGCAGAGCAACTATGTTTTGGAAATCAGGGTGCTTGGGGTGCAAGAATCTAGATAGAGTTGAGTCGGTGAGCAATAATGTCTTTATCAACTGGTAGAGTAGACTACTTACGCTAGCCATTCAATCAGCAGAATCAAGACAAGTGTGATGGTCAGCATAACAATTATACGAACAAAACGACTGATTTCTAGCTGAATCAAAGTGACCTTTTCCTTGGCAGAAGTAGTAAGCTTGTTGATTCTACCCATGACAGTATTGTTGCCTGTATTGTCATATTGTGAGTGAGACTGTGCTGTGTATCTGTATGTAGCAGACAACTTACCGGTGAGAATAACGATACCAACACCGTTGCCATTGACAACGTGTGTACCCATCAAAGCAATGTTCTTGGACTCGAGGATATTTGGGTCAGTGCAAGCGATAGATCCTTCGATAGCCTCACTTTCACCAGTCAGAACAGCACGGTCAAACTTGAGGTCATTGGAAACTTGAATGAGACGAAGATCAGCGGGCACCTTGTTGCCGAGCTTAATTTGCACAACATCACCAATAACAAGTTTGCTAGCAGGCATCTTCTTAACATCACCATCGCGAAGAACAAAGCATTCAGAGGGAAGCAGGTTGAGGATAGATTTCATCACACGAGATGTAGACCAGTCTTGAAAAGCAGAAAACGACGCTTGAAAGAAGATGACAATAATCTAGAAACACATGAGTCAATCAGGTTGATACGTAGCAAGGATAAAGGACTTACAACAAGGATAGCAAGGGCAAGATTAACGACACTAGGAGTTCCTCCAGGCGCAATTGGAGGAGTACTCAAAGGCATCCAGCAGAGAAAGAAAGTAATCACACCGATCCAGAGGACAGAACAGAAGCCACCAAAGACATAACCAAGGATCTTGAAGAGATAGTTGGGTTTACGTTGAACCAGGATGTTCTCACCGTTTCTTTTGAGTCTTGTATCGGAAGCAGCGCTATCCAGACCAACTGCATCCGATGTATTGAATCTTAGATTGAGTTCATGTGTGGAGAGCTTGTGAAAGTCCATGGCAGCAAAGTACTCGGAATCGTCCATTTCCTTCTTGCTATCATTGGGCACTTTGATAGACTCTGTTACATTGAGCGAAAGTGTTCGAAATTTGACAGGAATATTGGCATAACCCTCGACGACTTGTGTGGAGCCGGAATGCTTGGTATTCTCTTCAAACTGCAATTGAATGTGCTTTTCACCCGATTCAGATGTCATGACAAAAAGTAAAAGAGAGAGAAAGAGATTGCAATAGAAAAAACAAAGGCTTTGGGATGGGGATCAGCATGATATATATAGTCAATATCCTGAAATGGCAAGATATCGAAAAAGGCCTCATTCTGTCTTCCAATAGCTACTGCTCTCGTCTGCCATCAGACTATCATAGAGAGAGCACAAACTTAATGCAATATTACAAACAGGTGTAACGAATGATAATTCACAACTGTGTCAGCAAATATGGCGCAGATGTGGAGGGGCAAAGATCTCTTCCTTTTTTAAGTTGATGGTATGGTACACAGATAAAACTGGCCCAATGAACTAGTGCGTGATAAAAATTTAAGCTTTGATAGTCTCCATACTGCTTCTTGACGATCTCTTTACTAGCGATCGTCTTGTTCATCTCATAGTGTGTACGATTAAATCAAAAGACGAGTTCTATCTTCTGTTTTTGATTTATAGATAGGTGCGTTGTGTACGATGAATCGTTGCATTTTGTTTGAATCACCATACAACATATACACACACGCAATCAAGTGGATGTTACACGTCGACTGGCATATATCGCTCAGGCTGAAAGACTCGCTTTTTAACGAGAGCTATTTTAGCCACAGGCGATAATGTCTGTCAATAATAGCTCAATCTACAAAGCTTTTGTCAATGTGATGTAGCACAGCTCAAGACAACAACGCAATGCTACGCTCTGATTTTACATATATTTAATTTAGTATACAATAACACACATGTAATCTGTTTCCATGCTTTCCAAGATATTGGATTTAGATGATGATTTGTCTTCTTGTTATGTTGTTCTTGATAATGCTCAAGTGGGCGACGATAGGATATGGATTATATATCGGCTTATCTTTAGCTTGATTCTAAAGACATCAGCATTCCTCTCTCTCTATCTGACATTAATATCTCTATAGATTTGATTTTCTTCTGTCAAGAGGGAGATTTTGAGAGATTTGAGTACAAGATGCCATTGACAAATCAGTACCAGCCTTCCTCTCTGGTGTAATGAACATGCGAAATAGAGGCATATTTGAGGCTTTATCTGCATACTCTATCCACCCTCGCTCCTACTCATGGCTGGCACACTGATAGTTTGTAGCAGGGCTTGCCTTTTTCTTCCAGATACCGAGTACTTTATTGAGTGCTTTTTCAATATGCCAGAGTAACAGCAATTGAAATATGCAATTATTACCATAGCTTAATATAAACTTGCAATTTGAACATATAGTGGCCGGAAGAGAGAATGCTTCCTTGCACACCTCAACTTGGTTTTGTTTCTCATTCAATTCCTTCTGTATACTACTGTTCAAAAGCAATCTGTAGCCATGGATTTGGCTCTTTCCGTGTGCTTTACGTCTGTACCCATGAAAACAATTCATTTACGGACAGACAATATACTAACATTATTTCTTACTACTGAATAATAAGCAAGACAAAGCGTAATTTGGATGTATTTGAGCCGTAATTTCTCGTGCTAGAAGCCGTTTTAGACCACCAGAATAGCGCCAAACCATCTCTCTGATCTAGGACTAACTTGCTGATACTTTTACTCAATTTTTTTGAGACCAAAAAAAATATCATCAAAAATCGGCCAAAAAGCATGAGTTATCCCGGGATGGCTAACGTACCAACAAAAAATTTCCTTTTTTGCTTAACGTACCAACAAAATATGATTTCCTATGGACACACTTTGGTCCGGCAGCGCTTGTTTTGCCTGCCATTCTCTTTTTTTTTTGGATAACGTACCAACAAAATAGCATTTCCTACTACAGACACACTTTGGCTAACGTACCAACAAAATATCCTCTTCATTCGCCATACATTTTTTTTTTTCGATCCTGACATGTCAACTAAATCTAACAATGTATTTGATCTCTTGTATAAGACAAGTAGCCGATCGATCTTGCTACGCTGGATGAAGGCGTTGCCCTGCGGGCTCTCGACGAAGACATCTCAATTCAGAGATATCACATAAATTTTAGACATTCAATTAATAGTGAGAGATTATTGTCATTGCAAAAGACACTTTTACAGGGAAAAACTTTGAACAAAAGTAAATATATATACATATATTTGGACTAAGTAACTGTTCTTTCAAATATATGGTCTCCATTGGGTCAGTATCATAATTACCATTGTCATCATCAGAAAGGCATTCAGGTAAGCCAGCATCAGCGAAGCCTGCCAAAATTGATTCAAGCTTAGACAGTTTTTTTGTTCAAGATTGGTCAGATATCGTCCTTCTTCGACTTGATCGAACTCTTTTGCGAGATTCGACTATATCGATTGTGAAGATCACCCTACGCTTCCTAATACATTCTTGGAGTACTTTTCAAGGCGCTTCCAATGGCACTAATTATAATATGTGCTTTGAATGAAACTATTGAGCAATTTGACAGAACATGAAATGAGGTTTTTAGCGAAAATAGCCATATTTTGCATATGAAATCCTCATAAAAGTGGTTTCAGAGGTTGCTTTGAATCGAGAGAAATGTTTTGAATTAATATCATAACATAATAAATGTTCAGTCCTTTTGCACTTTACAATCCTAATATGGAACCTGAGTTTCAAGGCATCTATCAGACCTGGCTCATATGAGAATAATGATTTTACAATCAATCAACAAAAACCACTGTTGTTTCTACCCTCTTTCCTCTGCTCAATGCTGTCAATGTTTTATTTCAGCGACGTCTCAGAGCCTCAGAGATTTCATTACTTACTGCAGACATTTTATGCAACCCATGCATTGTCAATGTCCAGACTAACGTTATTAAATATAGAATGCAATAAAATGTCATTATGAACGATATAGAAGGCAATAAAATATCATTTTAAACGATAGTGCTATGACCTTCCACCTACTTTCTATACGCTTCAAGGGCATTTACTACTGTATTGCCTTATGAAAAGGGCATGAGTTTTCCAGCTGGCCCTACCAACCAAAATTAATTCAAACCCAGAATCATAGTCTGTTCTAGATTGGACAAATTTTGATGATTCTGGACTCGATCGAGCTATTTTTGCAGATTCGACTAAGTGAAGTATAATAATCACCCCATGCTTCCTTAAACTTTCCTGGAGTACTTTTCAAGGCGCTTCCAATGGTACTAAGTAAAATAGATGTTTTGAATTCACTTATTGAATGATTTGTAAAAATATGAAAAGAGATTTATGGCCAAAATGTCGAAATTTTACATATCAAAGTCCCACAAAGATAATTTCAGAGGTTGCTTTGGATTGATAGAAACATTTTGATTCAAGATATACCATAGTAAAAGTCTCCATTATCAAGATGAAAAATGCGATCGTTTGATTTTCGATGAAAACCATGAGGGATACCTCATGCTTTTTGGTCGATTTTTGACCATGTTTTTTTTGGTCCCCAAAAAGTCGAGCAAAAGTGTCAGAAAGTAACTGCCAGATGAAAGCAACCATTTGGGGCTATTCTGACGATCTAAAACGGCCTTGAACGCAAGAAAATTCAGCTCAAATGCATTCAAATTTTGCTGTATTAGGGACACTAAGGACTAAAAAGTGGGAATACCAGTATGCTGCTTGCCCGTATATGAAGTAGCTACGTGTATATGGATGTAGAACATCACATAAGAATCAGATCCACAGATAATATGAAGGGTTACTATGTGTAAGTGGAGGGTCAAAATGAAAGTAGCAGTATTTTGATAAAATACGCAAGAGCAATCAGTAGCACGAGCTGCCGCTGCGCAGGTTGGTTCTCTACCTTCGCTACGCTTCGGTGAGAACCATCCGAAGCATAAACACTCATATGATTAGTGATTATATATCAATCAACAATCAGGGTTCCTCTTCTAACATTTTAGCTATATTAATTTTGGGATATTAGCCAAAGGCCCGCGGCAGCGCGAGCCGTTTGAACGTAGGTTGGTTTCCACCGAAGCGAAGCGTAGGTCAGGAAACCACCCGAAGTGCTGAAAGGCTCGTATACCATAGTAAAAGTCTCTATTTTCAAGGTGAAAAATGCGATCGTTTGATTTTCGTAAAAAAACCTACCCCTCATGGCTTTCAGTGGAATTTTGGCCATGTTTTTTTTTTGGTCCCAAAAAGTTGAGTAACGGTGTCAGGAAGTTACTACTACTCGAATACAACAATTTGGTGTCGTTCCGGTGGCTCAGAAAGGTCTACATGTCAAGATATGAAGGCTTGAAAGCTGTCAAAATTGGTAATGTTTTTGCTTTACAGCTTTTATTTACACAGCGTGAATCACATCTTGGTGGATGGATAGCTGAAATTCTTGAAGAGGGCAGTTCTGCAGTCTGTGCAACTTCTAATTTGAATAGGAGGCATATTAATTTTGGTAAAGCTCAAAATCATTCTCTGGACTGCACAAATTTGCAACTATTCCTCAGTAATGTAAAGCAATAAATTACACCACAACCCAAACTGAAAGCCTATATTGACAAATTTATACCTAATAGGAATCAGAAACTTGCATTTTTGTCATTCGTCGTCTTGTATTTATATTACTTGCAATACGAGAAGTTTGCAAGTCTATCAATATCTAGAGACAATTTGTTGGTACGTTAGCCCAAGGAAAAAATAGCAGACAAAGCAAGTGCTGCTACAGCACTGCCGGACAGGGTGTGCATTTATGAGCTTTAATATTTTGTTGGTACGTTAAGAAAAAAAGGAAATTCTTTGCTTATTACGCCGATTTTTGTTTAGTTTAGCTACCTCTTTCTTTGAGCGCTCCTCACCTCTTGCCTTATAAACAGGAGCAATACAACCATGATGGCGCTTGATACACCTCGAGTGCTGCTCATACATTTAAAACATATTTTTGGAGCAAGGTGATCATCGATAGAAACAGCTGTCAAACCGCCGTCCCTCTCTCTCCTCTTCAAAGCTTTGTAAAAGATCTCAGCGACTCCACATTTCTATCCCTTCAAGCGGATCGAATCTTTGCCAAACATATCGGCTCGAAATAATACCAAAGACTTGCCTTTGGCTTGCATTTCGTATAGTTTCTCTCTCTATCAAATACATTAATATGCATATATATATATTTTTGCAATAAATGATACCCGGTCTACTGTTTTACAAAAGCAAACATCTTGGCATTTTCTTCTCTTCTTTTGTTCCTGGCTTTCTGTTTCTGCTTGCTTCTTGATTTCTACTGTATTTTTTTCTTAGTACCACCATCAGTTTAGGTGTCCTTTCTTTTCCTTGAGACAAGAAGGAACGGCTCTTTGCTTTAATACATGCTGAAGATCTGGCCATCATCAATTGTAGAAAGTTGCTTTCTTTTAACTGTTAAATTAGTAGTGGTTTATTGATCTGTTGTGTCAGAATTAAACTTATACGTATGATGTGTGATGAACCGATTGATATTTTTCTTCCTTTCTCTTTCTCTTTCTATCGCAATATTCTGTTATCAAAGTTTCTAAGTTTATGTAAAGTCTCTTTATGTACAAAGCAACAATTTTGAATAAGATTCGGTCTGTGAAAGAACAAAGACGCTTAGAAGAAGGTATAAATATTGCAGAAAATATTGCATAGCGTTTCTGTTAAACAGTTTTCAAGAAGGAGTTGGCTCTGCTAATAGTACTAGTGTATGCAAAGACTGCAAAGAAACTGGTCATTTTTCAAAGGCTTATTTCAAATGCAAACTTTATAAACAAATCAATGCCGATGATGGTAAGTATACATGTTTTGAAAGAGTACTATACCCTTATACCCTGTTTGTTTCTGATGTTACTATATCAAAGTTGGGACGTTCAGCAAAAAACGCAAACAGAGTGACAGTGTGAAAGCCGACAAAAGGCATGCAAAGAAGCTTAGAGCTTCTTCTAGCAATGAAGGCAGCCAAGATATATGCAAGAAATGCCACAAGGCTGGCCATAAATTAGCAAGATCACCAAAATGTGAAGCTCATATCGCCTCCAAGCAAGCCACACTCAAAGAAAATTTTGACCAGGGATATCAAGCTTTCACCAGAAAGCTGCCTCTCAACAACTGTGTCCATCAACAATATATAAACCACCTGAAGCCAGCAATCATTTCTGTTAGCAGAGATATACGGGAGATAGTATTCCGTGCCAACCTCTTTATAAACTATTACATTACACTTCGCTCCCAATAACAACAGAACAATGATATCCCTCACTGTATCTTTACTCAACAATTTTGGTATTCCGTCTGTCAAATGGTGAATGCAAAAAGAGTTACAAGCAGTACAAACATACCATCAGATATACTAGTAGTCTGGAATAGACTTAGATCTACTCACAGGACTATTGTTTATGAAAAAAAGATTGAAGGAGGAGCCTCCCAATGTATAGCCGAGGTGTGCACTGAGATATCTACTAGCTACCAGAACAATATAGTAGAGAATTTTGATGCGCATCTTCTGAAATATCTATATTACCAGCTGCAAAACATTTTCAAGGTAAAGCAAAAATATAAAGCACTCCTTCTAAAATATATAACTCACATATATATATAACATATAGCAAATGGATCCTAACACTGTGAAAAAGATTGCCAAAGATTAATCCTACCAATACGTGTGCCAAGGAGATCCAATATGGCCAAACGATTTGACTTTACCCTCAGGCTTCTTAGAAGATGCTATAAAAACCCGTGTAGACCAAGAATGTGAGTCGATAAGAGCTCTCATTGATCAAAGGGTGACCCTGATTACTCTATCCTCTGCCCCCGAAAAGGTGTACAAATGTCTCGAGCACATCTTGAATCAATATGAAGGAGAACACGAGCTTCACCATGTCTTTGATGTTCGGCGGCATCCTATACCAATATTATTCAGTATCTTACCAAAACTTTCAGTGCACTGGAGATCTTTGGCTATCAGTGCGAGCGCGTTGTCTGTCTTTGTCAAGAATCCATTGCCTAGAGGCTATGTCAATCAACTTCAACTGTTTTACAAAGTATTCAATTTCAAATTACTAGGCTATAGCAGGTAAATACAATATCTCGAAATCTAAAACCAAGGAAAGACACCAACTTGACTTTAACCATAGTATTGAAGAATTGATGTCTGATGGAGAGAATGACGTGCTGTTTGGCAATATCGTCAGGTCTGATGGCTTCTGTGTTGATTTTCTCTTTTATAAAAGAACTTCTGGTACAACGGACGAGATATCAACAGTAAATCACGATTTGGGTATAAAGGACTTTATTATAGAAGAGGCCACCCAAATGTATAGACCAAGTTTCCTTGATCCTGGCAGAAAGACAGTGTTTACTGCAGCTATTGGACTAGATCCTGTTGTACATCAAGTGAGACGGTGCACAACAAAAGAGTACTACCATTTGACAGGCTCCACAGTGCATGCAAAGAAGTTTCAACAAGAAAAGGACATTACCGGAATCACCGCAATTGAGTCTGCTATACCTTCAGCGAAAACTGCCAGAAATACCCAATTTTTACGATATGTAGATTACATACTTGCAAACATGGACACGTTATTCACCTTTTATGGCTTCAGTACTGCTAAACATCAGTTTGACTTATACCAAGGAAAGCAAAGAGCTCCTGACATGACGGCCAACATGTTGTTAAACGGCGGTGCTAAATACAATAGGAAGAAGCGTTTTAAAAAGAAGAACAAAAAACAAAAACGACATAACAAGAAAACGAAGCGGTTGCACAAGAACGGAAATAAGAAAGGAAAGAATAAGCAACAACAGTACAGAAAGTAAGTTCATCAATTCAGTTTCATGCGTCCGTATAAGCCTACCCATTTTATGCACTTTACTAGGCGAAATAAGCGGAAACCTTTAAAACATCAAGAAGACAAATCCAAAGTTCCACATGTTGTATTTGGAAACGGAATGCTCGGAAAGGATTTAGTAAAATTGAAAGGCTTATGCTGTGGTGTTGCTGGGGTCATGTGGTGATGTCTCAAGAAACGAGAAGCTGCTGGTGATCTTCTAGTTATAACTATTGACGAATTTCTGACCTCCCAAATTTGCAATATATGCAAAAGTAGGACACTGATAGGCCTTTCAAATGTCAAAGATCAAAGTGTACTTGTCTGTACAACATGTAATACACTTTGGCAAAGAGATGTAAACGCTGCAAAAAACATAATGTCCATTTCTCTTTCTGTCTGGATCGACAATGCAATACCCGAAATCTTCAGAAGAAACAATTGATAAACGTTACGTTCTCCCATCGCCGTAATCAACACGGTTTCCCTCTTTGGGATATAGATTATTACAGGTAAAAAGAAAAAAAAAAGTCTGAAAGATCATCTCCATTAGTCTCAAAACTGACTCTTTTCTGCCTCGACTTCATTTTCCTCTTTGTCTAAAAACGGTAAACATATTGTCTAAATATTAATTTTGATTCGTCCAGAATAAAACCAACATTGTCTGAATTTGAAGTGTAAAAGCTGTAAACGAATCAGACAAGAAAAAAGTATGTCTGAGTTTGAACCATTTTTGGCCCACCGTTTTGCAACTTTATCCGAACACGGCTATCACTTTGTAACATCATCTCCTAAATATAAAATGAATCGCATGATTGCTTTGTTGGTCATCGATGATGCGACATTTTATGATGCCTTTGCATAGTGCCCTCACATATACCAAAAGAAGATCAACTGCTCATAGACAAAGCTACCTGCAAAGACCTAGTGTAACATCTAAAACTGTCTATTCTTCCAAGTCAGTTCTAAATTCAAGGTGATTTGTACTATTGGATCTGGCTCATGTAAAACATTTGTAGAGCTAAGAGATAGGTATAGCATATGTACGCAAAATAGCTCAAGGTAGTAAAAAGCAACTGGAATGTCAAGATGCTTTAAAGATTGACCTTCAATAAGAAAGCGTACTGAAACAGATGGTGATTTTGGAGGCATTGCATAGCGCTGTATTATTCTGCGTCAATATTTGATATATTCGCAGATCTCGTCTTCGTTTGCGTCTAGCACCCAATTCGGCCAGTTCAATTCAGATTGATCTAGGCCATCATCCTAGATACAAATCAATCTTTGATGATTTGGTAGCTTTCAATAAAGAAAATCTCAGCTCAAGTGATGGATATTTGTTATATGTAGTGGAAAAGAGACAGGCTCAAGTCATTCACTGTGGACAGAGGAGTAGATAACATTGGTACCACTTTATTTGATTGAACTTTCCTTACATTGGTGATCGTTATCATGAGCTGAGACAAAAAGTCTTACAGTGACCTGTTTACCAGTTGAAGGGTGTGATGTTGCTATTTTGTAACCTGATTCTGCCTACTCCCTTTTTTTCCATCCTCTTTTTTCTTATTTGAACAATTTGATACAAAATGGAATCTAAGCGTATATCTAGCTTTTTGTCAACAAAGCTTTATCAGTATGAGCTTCAAACTGCCCTTTACATGTTGGAGCCTTGGGAGAAGGCCCTGTTCAGTAAGTTTTTGATGAGCTGATGTTGATGATAAGTTTTGTTCTCAACATAAAATTTTGCTGTTTGTAGACACTATCGTATTGAGCATCATCTCTTTATCTGTCGTTACCATGTACCAATATACACCTGTCTTGTTTAAGCTTCTTCATTAAGCATATAATCAACTGTCTATACATCTCTCGTATTTTTAACAGCTCGTTTCCCTTTTTTCTTACCACTTAACACTCACTCTTCTTTCCTTTTAATACAATCGCTACTACTTATATACAACCACTAATAATAAACATATCAACTCTACAAAAAGACAAATAGAAATGCCAAGAAATAGATTACTCTTTAGTTTGAGTGTAACTGCAGGCTGGTCTTGATACATGTATACAATAATTAATTACAAATTGCACAGCACATGTCAGTTTAGATGTCTCGGATTTGAACTTGAGGATTTTCATGATGATCCGGTTGCTTTTTTGATGGTTTGAACCTCATGCCGTCTGTCTCTCCTTCCCCAAATGCGTAAGGAAGGGGTAAGCATAGATGTATCCAAGGCAATCAGTAGTGCCTCTCACCACCGTTAAGGGAATCATCGCTCTCTATGCTATTCAGATACCGATTTATGCTGCAATCCCAAGCAGGTTACAGCATCTGGAATCTATCAACCTGACTTGACATGCTAATGCACACTGGATGCAAAGCCAACATCGGCTTATCATGGGTTATATGCTTCAGTTCAGAGTCGTTCTTTTGCAAACTGCGTTTATTTACATTATACAAAGAGCTACTATAATATATACACGAAGCAATCTAACGAATGCAGTCAATCTAAAGTGCACCACCGACTTCAATCAAGCTTTGTTGTTGTTCTTTGCAGCAAAGTATTTCTTTGATATCTCTAGAAATGGTTTACCATAGTTCTTGTAAGCTTCCTCCTTCATATTAGTCACTAGCATCAATTCTCGATCTGTCACTGGAAGTTTCTTTGCCTGCATGATGGCATCAGATGGATTAGTATACGCAGCCAATATTTCCCCTTTCTCTACAACTACACTTACAATACTCTTCAATCCTGTGTCGGTTAGAACGGATCCTGGATTTCGAATATTCTTTCTAGCCTGTATGCGTTGTCGCATTGCCTGTAATTCCTTGAGGCATTCCTCTGATGCTTTATCAGCAGCTGATCGAATGATGGGGATGGGTGAGGAAGTGCGACTATGATTAGCAGGGGAAGGAGTATTGTTAGAGGTAGATGGTGTTGCCCTTCGAATGCTGGATATTGTCGTGGCAGGTTTACTCATGGTCGACATCGCTCTACTATTGACTACGGGTAGAACACGTCTACCGGGGATTCTTCCCTGAGCTGTTGAAGCAGTGGGTCTGTTCACCATGGATCCAGCAGATACGAAACCTGACCCCGTCCTGGATGATGGTATTGTTGGCCTTGAACTATTGCTGACTGAGCTGTGAACGATGGGTGATAGATTCTATATAAAATGAAGCGTGTTACATAGGGTGTGCCATGCCAAAGTGGGTTATTTTCACTGTACCTCAGTAGTAAATGATAACAGCAGTTTTTGAGTGCCATTCAGCACAGCATCTGCTTTGTTCCCCAGCTACGTAATACTGTTAGACAAGGCATTAAACCATGATTCCTAGTATAGGACATACTTACCACAATTTGTGTACTAGGATAACCTGCCGCATTACACTCTGACTTTTGCTGAAGAATATCTTCATGCACCATGTTCTTCAAAAGACGGTCTACTTCATGTCGTGTCTCCTTGCTACCCAGCCCGTACCCAATGATTCTGTCTCTTCCTTGTTCCAATAATCGCTTGCTCTTGGATCCACGGTAGATATCAATGGTTTGCGCTATGGTAATAGGATCAGGATTCACGGCCTTGATGATTTTCAACAGTATTTTCGCTTGTTCTGATCGGTCCTTCATCACTGTGGTAGTCGTCATTCGCTTGACACAATTATCGCACATACGTTGGCAATCCATAGGATCAAAGCGTTCACCAAAATAACCCATAATCTGCTTTCTTCTGCAATCAATATCGTTCTCGCAGTACCGGATCATGGTGTTGAGGTTGTCTCGCTGACGCTGCTTTTGCTGCCAGTTGCCTTCGCCTTTCTGGATCAAAAAGTTGTGTGTCTTGGTATCTGCAAAGTTGTAGTAGAGTCTGCATGTGGCTGGGAGACCATCACGACCCGCGCGACCTGTCTCCTGATAGTAACCTTCTAGAGACGATGGCACAGAGTAATGGATCACGAAGCGTACGTCAGGTTTATCGATACCCATACCAAAGGCAATGGTAGCCACAATCACTTGTATGTCATTCGTTTGCCACTCACGTTGGATGATGCTGCGTTCAGCTGGAGCCAGCCCAGCATGATAATGCTTGACAGACAGGCCATGTTCAGATCTCAATTTCTGGGCCACAGTTTCGCAATCGCTTCGCGTACAACAGTAAATGATACCTGATTGTGAGGGCGGAAAGCTGTTGATGAAAAGCTTCATTTCTGCGAGGATGGTTGAGTTTTTCTTGGGCACAATTTGGTATCTAACGGGAACAAGTGGTTAGAGGTATACTGTAAAGGACAAAAAAAAAAGACACTTACGTGAGATTCTTTCTGTTGAAGCTCTGCTTGAGCACTTTACAGCTTGGCATCTTTAGATTGTGGAGAACATCCTTTTGCACAGCTTCGTTCGCGGTGGCAGTCAATGCCATGATGGGCACATTTGGATAGGAATTCTTGAGGGAGCCCAATAACTTGTAATCAGGTCTGAAATCATGGCCCCATTGAGAGACACAATGTGCTTCGTCAATAACAAACCTCGCTAGTCGATTACGCTGATCCAGACGATCCAAGGTGTTTCGCAGCTGATCCGATTTTGTCAGTAGTTCAGGTGTGATATAAACGAGATGTGTCGCTGGTGTGGGTTGATTGAGGTCAGAGTACACCCATTTCCTGTGAGCCGCATCCACAGAGCTGTTGAGCTTGGTAGCAGCAATGCCTTTGCCTACCAACTGCTCTACCTGATCCTCCATCAGTGACAGTAAGGGCGACACAACAAAAGTAACGCCTTGTCTCTCAAAGCGTTGGATGATGGCTGGCAGCTGATAACACAAACTCTTTCCTCCTCCAGTGGGCATCAGCACAAAAACATCGTCTCCTTTCAAGGTCGTATTGATAGCTTCCAGTTGATTGGGGCGAAATTCAGATAGCTTGAAGGTTTGTATCAGTGCCTTTTTCACATCTCGACTCCATGGGTAAGTAGGCTGTGGTGGAACTGCAGGCTGTACATCATTGGCCACCGCGGGTATAGTTTCAGCAGAGGCTCTAGTTGCTGATGTTGTTGGTGCATTTGAAAAGAAAGGCGACACTTCTACCGTGCCACTCTCACCGGCATACTCTTCGTCGTCTGATATAACCAAATGCACATTGTAGTTATCTACAGATTCTGTCTCTGTTTGTAGTGTGCCAGCACTCAAATTGTCTATACGAGTTTGCAGATCAGAAATCTCCTGGACCAGCTCCGCTCTTTCATCCATCAGCTCCTTTTGTTCAGCAACGCTTGCATTCCTCGATATTCCCTCTACAATACTGTTGTTGATCTCGTTCTGCTTCTGCTTGAGCGTGTCCATAATCATCTCCAATTCCTCCCTGGTTGACTGTAGCTGCATCTCCATCGGTGGATGAGACGAAGAGGTAGCAATGTGATCCAGATCCAGTATCTCGTTTTCATCAATAGGAAAGAAATCGCTCTCGTTCTCGACTGTGTTGTTATTAGCCCATGCCATATCTTCCTGAGCTAACATGTCCTCATAGTCTGCATCATCATCAAAGTCTTGGTTTGGTAGATCAGAATCGTCTATGAAATCGGCTTCGTACTCGTTGAGAAAGGCTTCCCTAGGCAGCTCAAAGGTGTCTTGAGGTTGTGTGGTTGAATTACTACCGTTCTTGGATCTCTTGGGCTGGCTACATGTCAAGTCAATCATATCATCGGCGTCGTCATCTGCTCTTCTTTTGACACCTGCGCTGCTGGACGCTCTCACACTGCTGTTGCCTTCAAAAGTGGTACTGTTAGAATGGCTATTGTGATTAGTATAGCTGTTGGCAGTGTTGTAATTGCTGGTGCTACTACTAAAAGTGCTTCGAGTGGTGCTGTTATTGTAAACACTGCCGCTATTACTAGCGTTATTTGTGTAATTGGCAGTACTACTGCTATTGTAATTGAGGTTATTGCTTGGACGATCGTAGTTGCTGCTATGTACGTTGTTGCTGTTGGTGCTTATGCCATTGCTGGCGCCATGAGGAGCTGTACTGCTACTGATCGTCTGCGTTGGCCTTGTATTCGGTGGGTCTATGTATCAACATGTGGGTTCCATGTCCTCTTGCGCACAAAATGAAGGATTACTTACTCGTAGCACCAACAGCAGGAGCAGCAGACGAAGAGGAAGATGGTCTCATGGGTCGTTCTCGCACAGGCTGATAGCTGTATGGCGTCAGGATCTTTGGTTTGATACAACTATTGAACCAGTTTAGCTGTACTTGGTAGTTTTCATTCTTGATATTTCCATTAGAATTAGCCCTCATGGTAACTGACAAAGAAGCGAAACTGTGTGTGCGCAGCTTCTTTTTACCTAAATAAATTTGATTTGTGGATCGCGTATGTTTCGACCCGTTTTTGTAACGCGCACTGCTGATACTCAAAACATCACTTCTTGAGCTGCGCACTATTCAGTGAAACAAAGCATTGCCCAGGTACGTACTTGCGTGATTTGGTATATTGATACCAGTCTGGGCGAGGTGTATTTTGGCCTGTATCATCAATCGCAATGGGCTTATACATGAATAGAGAAACTTGAATGAGAGATAGCATCTTGTGGAATGTCATTGGAAAATGCAAAATGCTATAAGATTAGCCCTATTGCAAATACAACACGCAATTGCCTGCCATCGTGGGTGCTGTGCGCAAGCCATCTCAGAGACCTCTTCCTCGCGCATGTCCACCTGTTCAATTGACAGCTATAGTCCTCTGCCATTTACCATGAGGATCAATTGGAGGAGTTTCAGCATTTGAAGCCCACTGTGCCTTAATTCGAAATTTTTTCCCTTTCTTTCTACTACCAAACACCTCTATCAACATGCTCAAAGCTTCAAGAACTGAAAAGGAGGCCGGCGATCTTTTAGGCACATACTTGCTCCAGGGCTGGGTAAGTCTGTCTCGGTGATTATTACGACCTCATGCTGACCATCCACACTGTAGATCATGACAGACGAGATTTGCAAGATGGAGTCTTGCAGTTTTCCACTTATGCGTTCCAAGGATGGCTCGCTCTCATTCTGTACATACCATGACCAACTTCCCAACAACGGTGCTACATTCAACTACAAGAAATCAGCATCCTCAACTCCTGCTCCTACTGCTACTGCTGATGCCGAGACACAACACGACAAGGCCTTGAAAGATGCAGTTGTTCACCCTGCTGCTGTAGAAACTGCTGTTGATAATGGCGAGGAGGAACTACGCATTCGTCGTGAAAGAAGAGAGCAATCGTCCAAAGCATCACAACTGATTGGACAAAAGATGCTTCAACGTTGGGCATTACTGAATGAGCACTGTCCTAATCCAACATGTTATGCGGTAAACTCATCACAGGGTATATTATATACGGCCCTGATTTAACGCAAATTTGTGTAGGTGCCTTTGATCCGCAACCCAGATACCAAGCAAATGTATTGTGTGATTTGCGAAAACATCATCTTGACAGAAGAAGAGGCATTGGCATTGGAGAAAAAAAAGACATTGGAGCAAGCAGCCGCACCAAAACCCACACAAACAAAGCCTGTCCACTCGCCCATCGTTTCACAAGTTACTGAGGAACGCAAACGACAAAAAACTGAAGCACCAGCTGTCAGCCAAATCAACAACAACAGCAGCAGTAGCAGCACAAGCTCTGGCTTTTATTCATCCAAGATTGTTGTCTCTACCTTGTCCAGCAAAATGAATGAATTGACAGAACGAGTGAAATCATGTCATGACCCCACTGAGCTGATCCAATTGTTCAAGGCCATTAAGCAATGCGCTGGGGCCGTTGAAGCTTGTCTTGCAGCAGGACAAGCTTATGACAAGTCGGTATCAATTTAGCCGATCAAGCAAGGGGTCCTGTTTGTACCTTAAATAGATTTGCAGTAACAGCCAGATGGTATAAAAATTTAGACTTGCTCAATAAAGTGCCTTTTTTGTATTGCATTCACCAATTTGTTACATTTGAATATAAATTTGTATCGCCAAATTTAGCCTTTCTTTCTTTCTCTCTTTTATTTTTTTTTTTCACTCCACTCACTTCCCTACTCTTATACAGACTCCCATTGTGATACGACGAGGTATCCAATCCAAGGTTCCACTTGCAATGTTTCAGCATTTTCTACAAAGACAATCCACTCGTATCTTCAGCAGACAACCACTCTCTTTGTGCTCTGGATGCTACCGACAGCAGAAAACAACGCTCCTTCCCAAACGATTGCCAGCAACAAGAGGATTTCATACGACCCGACCTACAAAAGTGCCCATTGTGCCCATACCAGCCATCATATTGGGTGCTCTGAAAACTGGAAAATTAGTTAGTCTTGTATCCTTATCATCTAAAACATCATTAACATTATTGCCTCATACCTTCCGTAGAGGCAGTAAAGGTGATTTGATAGCAAAAGTACTAGCTGGTATACCATTGTTTGGTTTTACGTTATTACTGGTGGTTGGCTTGGATCAAGTAGGTTTCTTGGCCATGTGTTTTGTTCCATACTGAACATTCCCTTATTCAGGCACCAAACACATCTCGGTTGAGATTGATCTACCTCAGTGAAGAAGAAGAGGCTGAAATTGTAGAGGCAGAAATAGACACCTTATTAGAAGCGCAGAGTGGATTAGTGGCACCAAAAGATAGCGAAGTCGTCATGTGGTTGCAAACGATTGTGGATAATTTGGCTGGTCCTGCTGTAGACGATATTCGTGACCCTGTCCGTCGCTATGCGGATGATAATCATGCGCTGCAAAGAAGCAGGCAGATACAAGTCGTGCCTTCCAACCTGCCCACAAGCGGCGAAGTGGATGTCATGGTCAGCACAGAGCAAGAAGAGGAAGAGTTCCGTCCAGCCATTCCCAAGCGAGATTTCGAGGTCAATGTGATTTGGGATTCAACGACAGTCAACGCCATGTGCGCAGGATCTCGCTTGATTGTGTACAACTTGCTGATTCACTACATGGACTATGATACCACCAGAATGGCAGTGATACTGTCTCATGAGATTGCTCATTCGCTGCAACGGCATTTTGTGGAGCAGCACGGATTCGCCTCGCTCATGTTCATGTTGGGCGATATTACACGTGGTGTATTTTGGATGATTACCGAGTCTATGGTAACAGTGTGCCTATTATGTAATCCGCTTGGCAAGAAAACTCATCTTTTTCGTGTGCTAAATAGGGCCCCTATGTCAATCAAAAGATCAATGAGTATATATCCACTTTTATCACACTGGAAACGCAGACAACATACAATAGAAAGCTAGAAAAAGAAGTAACTATCCATATGCTCTAAATAGCTACAGAAATAGATCGACTCACGACGCTTGTTTATCAAGGCGGATTTAGTAGGGTTGAAGATATTGGCAAAGGCAGGCTATGATCCTCGAGCAGCTGTCGATGTGTGGCAGCGAATGGCAGACTTGGAATCAGAACTAGGCGAGGATCTCAAGAACAACAAGGACCCTGTAGTGCAAAGTAGAGCGGTCGCAGCAGCCAAGCGATCCATTCCAGCGACCACAACACCGAAAGCCGAGGAAAAATATGAAGATTTGGAATATGGCGTGCGAGAGTTTCTGGATTCGCTTGTCAATTCATGGTTTGGCTCCAGCCATCCACCCAACATAGAGAGAATAGAGTACATGCAAGAGCATTTGGAGGAAGCCATCCTGATATACGAACAAGCACTAAAGATGAACGGACCACCCAAGGAGTTTATATTTAGCGAAGATCTTCAAAACAAGATGGAGTTGACCAACGTATCCAGCCATGGCGTCATTCGCTACGTCGCTAGCTGGTTATCATCGCTTTATTCGTGGTCATCAAACACCAAGAACAACGATACTACATTGGCAATGGATTAGGCATATTACTATTTCCAGGTTGTTTTTAACGGTCATCCGACTTGTAACACCCATTTTGCTGTTGAATAAAGAAGGATGCTTTTTTTTTTTTTAGTCTTTCTTTTTTACTTTTTCTTCTTTTTTTACTTTTGAGAATTTTATTTACAATATGATGCTTTCACCAGACATTCATGTGTTGTCTGGAGATCGAACAGATCAATTACTCCTTCGATTAACTGATTGGAGAAGCGGTATTTGCCCTGACGGAAGACTTGCTCAACAGCCATGCTTTGTTCTAAATCAGAAACCAAGCGTCTACATTCACCCTGATCAACCACTGCCAGCACAGCAAATGCTGACCACAGAGCTCATCACAGAATGGCCCTGGGCAGAGCATCTTGTGGATTGCGGCGCCATAACACACCTTAATGATGATGCCATGATGAAGGTCATGTCTGAATACTTTAAAATATTTCATGCTGCCAGCGATATGCCCAACAATCAAAATACCTTGCACTCACTGCAACTCAGAAAACATGCGTCGATCAAAGTAGACAATATTGAGCGGCCCACAAGAGCACTCTCACTAAAGCTGCAGCAAGTGCTGGCAGAGCCCGATACAGCTATACAATGGATCCAGCTCGTGGATTTGTGGGACACTTTTGGCTACTTTTGGCCTCGAAAACTAGTGTTGGGATATAAAAGACACCACAAGCAGACCTACAAGTTTGCAAATCCTGCTGATAGTATGCATGCCTTCTACAAACACCTCGGATTGATACGAGACAAGTACTCCACAATGCCAAAAATGACAGACTTTGATGCCGATCAATTTCTGATAGACAGCACTGTCATTTCAAGGTTGGAACTCACACCTTTGCATGAATTTCTGGATATGGAATCACAGCAAGCTATCAGCCAAATCATCCATGCCAAATTTGTCCAAATTCCCGCTTACCATCCCATCAAAATATACAACGTTACCACACATAGCTACCTATGTTGGGGTCCTGGTGCTGCCAACCAGCCTGACCCCATCTTTCCAGGAGAAAGGTTGGATTATTTAGTTCGTGCTATTAGTGCTGATCCTACGGAGCTCAACAAGTCACCCGAAACGCAGTATTTATGGCGTTTGACATGGTCACCAACCGCAGTTCATGGCTCGAGCGCAATGGATCCAGTGGAACATCGATCTCAGACAATCAAAGGCTCAGACCGAGTGTATATCTATCCTGCATGCAAATCTCGATCTCCAGTAAAATCAAAAAGCAGTGCCACGCATGACGACAAGGCACATGCGTGGCAAGTCAATGATCGCATGTCGCAAGAACCTGATTTTGTCGAAACCCATAAAATGGTACTGACATGTCGACCGTACCGACATGATGCCAGGTTGTCAGACAGAGATTTCTCAAAGCTCAGAGGCTTGCGATTACTGGCAAGTGGTTCATCACAGTATGCCTGTGAAAAGATTGATTGGACCATTCAGTATCCAGGCAATGGGCTCAAATACATGACTGATGTGCATGCCAACATCAAGCTCAACTTTCACGAGCATGTTCGACGCATTAAACCTGTATTAGAGGGCGATACCATTCAGTTGCAACAGATTGGACTCTTGACAGCATTCGATCATATGGCGAAATCAACACACAACATGCACCAAGAGTCAGAATCACCACCACAAGATGCGCCACCACAAAGTCTGAGAACGACCAAAAAGATTGTAACGCGCAAACCAAGCACCAGATCAAAGTCCAAGAAAAATGTGCTGTGCGTAGATGAAGACATTACAAACAATCGCTTTCAGGAAAACACACATTGGAAGATACAACTGGCTAATTCCTTTGATAAAAAGCGACATTCTAGCAATTTCTACAGATGGCCAGCAAAGAACAATGATCAGCAGTACGGCTATCCCATTGATTATCATCCCATGCTTTCACAAGGTTAGACAGTTGAAAAGAGATGTGTAAAAGAGGGCTTGAATTAAACTGTTCATGTCAAGATGTCAAAAATCATCTAGCTTCACATTTGAATAGGGAAACGGGGTCACTTATAAGCACAACAACGACTGCTTCTTCATTGAGACGAACAAAGTCTCTGGGTTCCTTGCATGACAAACCATCCATGATTCACACTGGCCCTAATTCGGACAAAGCGCCTTATTTCGAGAATCTCTTGACAACCAAGCAGACATCCAATTTGCTCTCACAGTTTGTCAAAAAAGTATCCTTGCAACCCTTGGCTCAACTAGTCAAGCCATTGCGTCCCAAGCCATCACTATCCAACAATCATCTCAGTCCTCCTCCCTTTACATCTCATCACAGTTTTGATTGAATGGCGTATGTATGTGTGTGTGTGTGTGTGTGTGTGTGTGTGTGTGCATTTGGGATTTAATTGATTTACATTTATATATATACTACTCTTACTCCTCATCATCATCCTCATTCTCTCTGAAACGTGGATTCTATATACAATATCAATAAATCTGTACATACTGAAATCACCTCGATATGCATGTACCTGCTCCTTTTGACGTTTACGAGACTCTTCTTCGTTATCATCATATCTGCGTTTTGCGCTGTGTCCGCCTGTAGCAGCTCTACTCTTGTACTCTTCAGCACCTTGAGGGATATCTTTAATGGCTTCATAGTTCTCCTTAATGTTGCGCTCGCGGTCATGTTCAAGTTGCAGACGCATGCGATGACCCCAACCACCTCTGCCAACATCGTATTCTGTACGGTATTCATCTCTCACTTGTCCACCGCTCTTGCCGCGACCAAATTGTCTTCCTTCTTTGAATCCAGGGTCTAAATCACAACGAATAACACGCTCATCTAACTTGGTGCCATTGGTATATTTCATACAGTCAAGTGCATCAGAACGGTGGTAGTATCTATTTCCAAGAAAAAGAGAGCGAGGTGAGCAACATACGTTGACAAGCTTCACTTGTCATATTTACTCTACAAAGCAAAATCCACAAGGTGTCTTTTGATTACGATCAAGACCCATGATGATACGTTTGATCTCTCCACATTTTCCAAATAGTTCGTAGATTTGCTCTTCTGTTGTGAAAAATGATAGGTTACCAACATAAAGGGTGGCTGTTGTTGATAGATCGTCCGTGAGTTGGTTTGAGGATCCCTACAAGTACGCGTTAGTGACGATCGCTATCTTGAAAAGTGCAAGCGTACTTGATATAATTGATCACGATAGCTGGATGGCACAGCGAGTGAATTGATGATGGAAGCCATGATGTTTTAGAGGAGAAAGATGCTGAATGCAAACAATTTTTCAACGTTTGTCTTTTGAGCAATGCTATCCGACCAGTCACATAAAAGATGAGGGAGATGTGTATGCTTTCCACTTTAAATGTTGACATGAATCCTCTATTTTAAAGAGATGTTTATTGGCAATTATGCTCTGTATATAGCGTGCTTATGAATACAATGAGGAAAAAAGAGGAGAAGTGTGAATACTAGAAACAAAAGAGGAACCTAAACGTTGCTATAGTATTATGCAGCCTTTTCTGTATTTTCTTGCTTTTGGTCAGTTGAAGGAAATGGTGCTTCTTTGCGAGAATCATCTAGTAACTTGTCAATGCCTTTGTCCTTCAAGGTAGACTAATGAGAATAAAAGAGTGAGCGAAAGGTATGTAAATAGCAGCTGTCAATAACCTACCATAACACATGCTCTATAATCTTTAAAGAGTTCTTCGCATTCAGGCGTGGTATCACCTTTTAAAAACTTTTCCGAGTACCATTTGTTGAAGCAATTGTCGTATTTTTGCTTGAGTTCGGTACAATTGGGACCAACGCTAGAAGACATAGTAATAAATGGATTAAGTAAAGAGAGATGGACGGAAACAATCAGGGTATGGCTATGTCTATATTCCCCAGGATTTGAAAACCTATGTGACTGGGGGGAAGCAGGGCAAATGCATTTGACATGAATCAATCATTAGTCAAGATGGTCTCTAGATTGAATATAGTGGGTGAGCATTAACTTGAACGGAATAGACTAGCGAAAGGCATGGATTGACCTGATGAGAGTTTTTGAGCGCTAATTCTGACAGTGTTCAGTAGTAGAACAGTTTTTTGATTGAAATTTCAAAGTGATGTCTTGTCACAGTTGCTTTGCAAAAGGTCAAGCTCTTCATTGTATATATATATATATATATATATTATGCATGGAACATAGAGCAATATTTAACTGTCGTGATACTAATTTGTGGCCTAAACACATCATGGCATCTGTCAACAATGCTTTCATAGAGACTTAATCCATGGGAGTGTTCTGTGCAATGTGCATGACTTAAGCAAATGTGTACATCGAATGAGCAACTTCCTCAAGATAAATGAAAGTTTCCATCAATACTTTATATACTAAATGTATTGCCAATTATAAATTTCTTGTATTGGATATTCCCTATTCTAACGTTTTTCAGCTTTGATTAGGCTTGGATAAAGCTCAGCAATTCAAATCGAGCCGTTGGAAAGTAAGTATAAGTCAAGCCATCATGACAACAGAGACAACTTGATCTTACACCTCAAAGCTTTGAAAAGCACGAAATATTTCTTCCAAATATACCCAAAAACAAATGAATATTCCTTAATTATCATAACGAACTTTGATCAACATCGCAAAAGACATAATTGACTGCATTGGCTTAGTTTGAAGAAAAGCTCAATTCATTAGATTAAGCTTTCTCTTTTTCATCTCTATGTACCAACCAAATTCAGAAGAAAGATTAGCCTCAGAGAATCAACTTGACTCAATTAGTAAGCTACTGAAATAAATGCGGTGATAAACACTAACAACCAATAGATCTGCAAGTATGTATTGCTTATTAAAACGATCACTAATAATTTTATATATGGCTTCTATAATATCTGAGTAGTTTGAAGTCAAATCAATCATGATTCTGTGAGTAAAAAAGCTGAAAGGTTTCTTAATGCTATCTAAAATAGCCTAAAAAAGTAGCAAGCAATAGTTGATGGCCATTTTCATGCTTTATTTCTTCTTCTTAATCTGATCTGAATTTTTTCTTTTAGACCTTCTAGGTCTGATCTTTGCCTTCTTATACAGTAGTCGCTCTATATAAGTTTACTTTTTTTGGCGAGGTTTTTTTTAGCCTTATTGCCCGCATAGCCTTAACTGACGCGCGTGACTTCTGTCAAAAAAAAAGTCGTGCGCGTAGAATCTATTACTATAATAGTTGATCGAATAAATCAATTTGATACCTCCCCAGTAACAGTCATTTATGATGTGTCATTTCTAAACCGGATCTCCAAATGCGTAGGAGCAATTAGTTAAAGCACAGATCACATCAGATCATAAACTTTGACATGAAACAGGATTCAGTTACGATCCGAATAATGGCATGTTCAGGATAATAGATTGGATCTATTATCCTATCACCCAAATCAACCCATCTAATACCTTATCCTCACATCAAATCCCTCAATTCGAATAGTATATAAACCCTCTTATTTCCAATGTAATAAACGATATTCTTTACCTGATTAATTTCATACTCTTTTTATAAATAATTTATTTCTGATAAATCAATTTATCTGTTTATTTCACTTCTATTGAACGTAATATCCTATCATGTGCCTTAATCAAAGATCAAGCGATCGCCTCACAATCGAGCAAAAATATCGCATTATTATGCACAACATGCGCTTTCCTAATCTGATGCAAATGCAACTCGGTCAATGGGCTCAAAAGGAATTCAACCTTCATCATTCAATCAAGCAAAAACCTGTATCGAACGTCTTGAATTCATAGGACAAGGTGACCAAAGCTTACGAAGGAGGAAATTTGAAGGGAAAACGCAGCAGAGCCTTAACAATGCCACAATTGGACAATGGCATTTTGGAGTACATTCAAGCTATGAATGCAAAATCACTTCCTGTCAATCGTGGAACTATTGCAGCTTTTGTATAAGTAGTCGCACGCAGAAAGTACCGCATGCATGAATTGCCAAAGAATAAGCAAATCCGTTTCTCAGATGGATGGCTAACCGATGTTTTCAAGAGAATTGGCGTCAAGTCAAGACATTTACCGTGACCCACAAAACTGTCCCAATGTTTAGCAGGTTTTACTTTCAGACCTTACCACCGGACGGGAAATTATCCAATAATAATGAATTTAGTATTTTCTAAGAGCTAAAACTGTTTTCTTTATATTTTTTAATCTTTATAAGCATATAGCTGTAGAATTACAAGCTGTGATTGGCCAATGTCATAAGGTACATTGGGACAGTATTGTGAGATCTTTTGAAAAATCACAAATTCAGTGATAACTCAAACCCACAATTTGGAATAACCTCAAGAGCCTCGTATAAGAAAGCCTCATGTAGCGCAAGTAGTCTCCATTATCCATATCGGAGTTCTAAATATCAGGTACGTCGATTATCAAGCCATGAATGCCATTGCTGTCTCCAAGGTTAATTCTGCAATCACAAAGCTTTGAAGCGGTGTTTCAATTCGGTAAATTGCTAAAAAACCTGTCTTTGGGTAAGTCTACCATCGGACGAATCAGAATCGAGCATTGTCCGGGTGTGAAAACCTCGAAAGGTGGTCGTCCTAGGGTGTTGTCTGAAGCCGACAAGCGCTACCGTGTTCGAAGGGTAAATAAAGAGTGGGTTTTAAGCGTCGTCAAGGTCACAAAAATGTTGGAGAAGAATTTCTAGATGAAGGTTCACCCGGAGACCATTCGTAGAGCACTCCGCATTGTGGGCTTGGGGGCTATCGAGAAGGAAAAGAAGCCTTTGCTTAGTTGTTGCATACAGGCATGCATCTTAGGCTACATTCACTTTCTCCTCAAGCCACCTTTTACAGTGTAGCAGCATAGATGATGTTTATCGTATCACATCACATCTATGTTTACAAGTCTAGTCAATTGTGTGTGCACAGGTGCCTCAGGAACTACTATACATTCAATCTCCCCAATGTCAAGATATCGAGATCCACCTACACTACATGAAACATATCGACTTAGGTGGCCTCTCAACAAGCTATACCAACAATCCATAAGGCCCCAGTGGCCTGCTATTTATATACCATCTCAACGTAGTAGTCATTGACCAGGGATCTACCATATTTAAGCAAGCTAGATGCCTTGTAATAAAGAAGCTCTTTGCTTTCGTTTTAGATACAGTTGACAACTGATTATTACCATCGACTTATTATTACGAATTCATCATTAGTGACATATGCTACTTGCCAGTATATGAAGTAGATACGTGTATATGGATGTAGAGCATCAGATAAGAGTCTGATCCACAGATATTATAAAGGGTTTTCATGTGTAAGTAGAGGGTCAGCTTGAACGTAGTAGTATTATGATAAGATACACAAGGGTAACCGGTAGCTCGAGCTGTCGTTGTGCAGGTTGGTTCTCTACCTTCGCTACGCTTCGGTGAGAACCATCCGAAGCATAAACACTCATATGATTAGTGATTATATATCAATCAACAATCAGGGTTCTTCTTCTAACATTTTAGCTATATTAATACTGGGATATTAGTCAAAGGCCCGCGGCAGCGCGAGCCGTTTGAACGTACGTAAGTTGGTTTCCACCGAAGCGAAGCGTAGGTCAGGAAACCACCCGAAGTGCTGAAAGGCTCGTTTACATAATTAATGTTTATATTTCATATTTTCTTTTGAAACTTTACTTATTGCTATAATATAATTACAGATACTAGAAACTGTCGTGCCTAAATTTAGGTTTAAGCCGGATTTGAAGAAAGCGATTAAAAGGCGCCAGAGTATACTCGAAGATTATGGAAACTGATAGCAGGCATTGGTCTGATTATCAGTTGCTATATCAAGTACTATATCTACTCGAAAGTTCCATTGATTAAGTAATTATCGATTGTAGAGATAGTATAAATATAAGTTGTAAATGCATTCAATAAACAGCATCTTCGAACATAATCTCAATCTATTAGTTACACTCTAAGTTATTTGTTAACTCCTACCATTGGATCTATCTATCAAGACGACAAAATAAGTTGAGGGGCTATGGCCCAATGGATAAGGCGTCTGACTACGAATCAGGAGATTCCAGGTTCGACCCCTGGTAGCCTCAATTTTTTTGTGCTTACGTTACACATATAAACGTCTCATGTATCTTTTGTAATCATATGAACAAAGCATTTTGTTAAATGTAGATTACGATCGTAAGTTTTTATTTAGTGTTAACGACTGACTTTGTAGCAATATTTTCCTTTCATCTTGCTACTTTTTTTTTAAATAGATCAATATCAAAACCAATGTCCGCTTAATGCAACTCAATTTAACAACCTCATTTTTCGATACCCTCTATCAATGCCCGTAAATTCTTTGTCTGTGTAATGAAATAGCCACCCAAACGTAACTTGATTGAAAACCGAAATTTACCAAATAGCACTCATTCAAATTCATGCTATTTGGATCTATTAGTAAAAGCGCTCAAATGTACATCAACAACCATTTAAACATGCTGAAGTAAAGATACACGCTTATATCGCACATCGTGTGAATGAATCACTCCTGATCATAGTGTATTCAATCACACCCATGATGGTCGTAATAAGAGATGTTATCTTTATACAAATAAAATCAAACCAATAACAAGCATATTCAAATATGACAGCTATGCCCTGCTGCCATAGTTGCACAATATCCCAGATAAAGGGTTTCATACTTCAATAACAAACATCACACTTTAAACTATCAAGGTTACTCAAATCGACCCTTATGGCCAGTGCTCTTGCATTAATTACCACTTTAAATCAAACATCAACAACATTTGCCAGATATCGCAATAGCAGCACCTATTGCTCTCTATCATCACTAATCCTACAAGCTAGTTGCAAATGTATAAATACTCTTCTTTTTTTTACTCAATTCCAGGATCTTCAGTTCATTTTATACACAAATAAAATACAGTTGATTTCTATTGTATTTTACTATTGCTTTATTTCTTTTTGTGAAATCTATTCAAATCTGATTTCACTGCAATTATGTCAAGTACCTATTGATAACTTAAAACTAGCAAGTTAATACGGCCCTTTTCGTATGCTCCGATTTTTAAAAATGCTTGGCCAAATGCATGCTTGTGAGGTGTACACATGCGGGAGGTCAATGGAGCTTCAATTTCTATTTTTCTGAATGATAATCCATGGGATTCCGAAATCTATCGACCTTAAAATTACGCGTTTCTTGGTAGTAATCATCTTCAAACTTATATGAAACTTGTAGAGAATTCAAGGGAGAATACAACGGTATTTATATCAAGTCTCCGGTGTACAATGCTCACTTGATATTTGGTACGATTGTTTTTGCAATTTTTTAGCTGTTTTCTAAAGATTAATCAGTATCTGTCATCAAAACATTTTGTTAAGCATTACTAAACATTGTAGACTAAAAAATTTCCTATCGGATGAGCTATTGCTTGAAGCTCTGCCATAAATTTATCATAAAATATTGGCAATATTGTTCTGACCAAAAAGAGATCACCCAAATTTTTCGCTTGCTATCACAAGCAGATTTTGAAGGAAAATCCATGATTTTGCATGATACTCTTTTTTGACCATATCTCGACAAATACTCACTGGATTCACACAAAACAAAGACCATTCAATAGCTCTATGTTATATCCATTATAATATAAGGGTTTTAAGTACCAGATGTACGTTCCCTTCATAAATTTGTTCAAAATCATATATTTTATGAGCTACAAGCAGGGGATATTCATTTTTTTTTCTATTTATCTATAATAACCATACCATCGTATAGAGAATCGAAAAAAAATAGAAGCTACTAAGCTTGAAGCTCATATTCACTTAGTAAGATCAACCGGTACGGCCCTTTGAAAATTGACCATTTTTATCATCTCTCTTCATTACTCACTGACATTATCCTCAACAAGCCCAAATCTAACGCGCTCTAGTCAATCAAAATACCCCCCTACAGCTTTTACTAGACATACAACCAACATTTATATAATATTCTATTGACTTTGACTAGTAGCATCTACTCAAATCTTGCAATTTCCAAAAATCACAATTTCCTCAACGGCAACTCATTCTATCTAAAATCCAATTGCACCATTGTTTAAAGGGCAAAAAACTGGTATAAGAACATGCGAATTTCAAAGAGAATTCAAAAGAGATGAAAAGAGAAAAGTGTAAGAACTAGAGAAAAAGGTGCGCGATGATTCCAAGGTATACCCGCTGACCCTTGCGAGCTTTAGCTCTAACAGTTGGACTAGCGTTTAATCCGTTGTTTATTTATTACTGTATTTTGTTGTAAATCTGAAAGTACGTGAGAATGGATGTAAGTTTATTTTCGTAAAATCAGATGAAGAGGAGAGGGAAGAGTGAATGTCTACTGCTATTTATATGTATGATGTATGGATTGCTTACACACCCGTCTAGAATGGTGTTCTCATGCTAAGTTTTAGTGTCAATCCTCACTTATGCTAAATGGTAATTATTTCAGATATAGATGATCAGTCTAAGTATCTTTAGTTGTTCTTGGCAACGTTAATTACTTACATTCCTTATCTGCTATCTTTTGACATATAGAGAATAGCTTACTGAAACTTAGCTTATGTGAATATCATGGTTATCGTTTACATGTTGATACAGTTTATTTACATATGCTCCATATGTGCATAGTTTATTACTGAATTCAATCTACAATATTGTGATTCAGGAACAGTTAGATGTGTGAATACAACATATTTGTGGATTGCAAATCAAGTTAATTGTCTAAATTGCAGCAATGGTAAAAGCAACCGTTGCAGCAGCTCCAGCCGTAGCACCTACATCCATTCTATCTTGCTCAGGAGGATGATGGGCATCTGCATGCGCATCTGAGCCGGCATGGTTTTGAAATCTTGAGGTCGAGTTGTACATTTTGTTCCATTTTCTCTTTTCCGAGTCTTTGTACCCAAAGTCATTCTCATCCTCGGTCACTTCATCGCCATCGTCATAACCACCACCACCCTTTTTGTTTCTATATCGTTGCACCACAGGCTGATCAGGCTTTGAGTATGTAATCTTCAACAGCTGCAGCTCATCCTTCAGCTCCAACATAAAATTATTATGGCGCATCCATCGACCTCCAGCGTCCTGAAAGTTCTTTGTGTGCTCAACGTAGAACGTCAGTGTGATTCGATTGAGGTTATCAATATCTACGATATTCGCACCACAAGGGTCAGGCATGTACAGTTTGGGATATTGGTTGGCCCATTTGATCATATGTTCTCGCACTGCATGAATCTTCCATGATGGTGTGTTGTAGGAAACCTCAATATCTATAGAACAGAAAGTATGATTAGCGTCGAACTACTGCAAAAAAGAAAGAGTATGTAGCTTACCGAATGATTCTGTAGTACGTCCACTTCTACGGCAATTGATGATATATTGTGTTGCTAGAACAGAGTTTTTGGCGTAAATGACAAATCCATCCCATTTTTTAGATAGAAATGCATGTCAGCTATTGCAGTCAGATATATATATATAAAAGCTGCAACTTACAAGAACGTTGGCACTGAAAGACCAACATTAGCGATGGTCCAATTTTCAGAGCCTATAAGAATACGATCACCGGTATCAAATGGATGCTAACAAGATGATGGTTACTATGGTGTACACTCGCAACTCAGCTATCGTACACTTACTGTAACAAAGACAAAGATGATGGATTCGAACGCGTCTTTAGCACTGTTACCAAAGATAAAACTAGCAGCAATGAAGGCACTCCACAATGGCATCAACTGGGTGCCAATATCAACACCAAACACAGCCATGACAACAATAGCCCAGACATAAGTAAAGAAGACCATCAAGATGATATCCAATTTACCAGAAGCTTGTGACATGTCACGCATAGAGCGAGTCAAATTCTTGCGTTCGCAGTAAATTCTAATACAAGCAGCACGCATCTCTCTTCTGCTGATATCACCATTACTATCCGCATCAAACAACTTAAAGACTTCTTTGGCATCGTCATGGGTTCTAAAGAAGTCGTACAGATCAGCTTCTACCATGTAGTGTCGCACTGGATTGGGTCCCATAATATTGTGATAGATGTACTTGGCTAGGATCTTGGCTTGATGAATGGGATCTTGATTCAATGTATTTTCTTTGAACAGATAGCCAAACGACAAAAACGACTTTTCGATAGAGCTGTTGGTGGATAACGAAGAAATACTAGTGTTTGATCGCATCAACTGCTTAGGACGAGTAGGCTTCTTGCTGAAGGAGGTGCCATCTCCATCGAACAGCTGGCGACGTTGATCACATCCTTCTAAACGCTGTTCCTCACGGACTTCGTCTTTTTCCTCCTCCTCTTCACGCAGCTCTCTTTCTGTCTTCTTTTGCTTCTTCTTTCTGGGTGTTATTCTCTGATAAATGCTGTTGACGGCTCTTGCTTTTCTAGAGCTTGTGTTGTTGTGGCTTTGGCCATTGCCATTTTCTCGTTGTTCCAATTCAATGTCTTGACTCGCTGGACCATCATTGTTTCTTTGCGAGAGAGGTGGAATGGCAATCAAGGTGTCCATGATGCTTGAGGAAGGAAATCTAACATTTTGCTTTTCTCCCTCTTCGTTCAAAGGTATTTCAGACTTCTTGTTGATGATGGACCTGTGTATGTTGGTGTTGCTTTGCTTGTTGGTGGCTGGAAGTTTCTTGTAGTCGGCAGGGCAATAGATATATTCAATTTCTCCACCACTGTATTTGTTGCCAGTAGCAGCACCACTACGCTTAGGCTTTCTAATACGTTTCAGCAAAAAATCTTGAGGGCTTTTTCACTTCGCTTTCTTTAGCTTATCCAAAATCTTCAAGGCTCGTTCATTTTGCTCAAATCGATCACCGTAAGCCTTCTTGTGGAAGGAGATAACAATGAACTGCAAAAGAAATTTTTCGACAAACAGGAACAGGGTCAGTATAAAGAAGCACTCCCTGACATACTCCAGTGTTATGACATGGATGGGTCGAAAGGGCTTGTCAATATATCTGCGAGTGAATGCCCAGGAACCCCAAGCCCATGCTCCCATAGCAACGATCTTTGTGTAGTTCTTCAATGCCATGTAATACTACAAGATATCAATTTTGTCAGCAGGTTGCGCGCAAATAAGTTGACATCAATCCAAAACACATTACTGAGAGCCTTGAGCGCAAATATTCGCTTCTTGTTGGGTAAAACGTGTCTACAATCTTTTTGAGGACAAAAGGGAATAGTTCAATGATACATTGCATTACAAAAGAGATGCAAAACATGAATGCAATAAAGGTGAACCACAAGCACAGATTGTAAGACTTCATGGTATGATCACTGTCAACGGGATGCACAACAATAAACACCCCAACACACACACCAACAGAGATCAATATTAATATAACATAGATGATCCATGATCCCAGGGAGGATCTGCGATCAAGGCATAGAAAGCAATCTCTTCTACTACGCATTTCCTTACCATCGCAACGGCGATCTTCTACTGGGTCTTCATCTTCCCAGTCAAAGTTATCGGCTTGTTCTGAATCGCTGCCATTTCTGAAAGTTTCCACATCACTTTCGGAAGTCTGAGCAGAAGCAGAGTCGTACTTGGTTTCCTCCTTGACAGAAATTTGGTCGTTTTCATCGCACACAGTGCTTGGAATTTCAGAGAAGGAAGCGTCATTCAGTATGCCTGTTCATGGCGTGAGTTGTTATGGTTTGATCTGATCTTGTAGATCTGGTCTTACCTTTCTGCTTGACCTCGCCGGACATTTTTAAAATGTCTTGCAGGATTCAAAAATGAGGAGAGGGAGAGAGGGGGAGAGAGAGAGAGGGAGAGAGGGAGAGAGGGAGAGAGGGAGAGAGGGGTCGGTGTGCTAAGGTAAAAAGTGGGCGATCACCCATGAAACACATCGCCATGCGAGGAGATAACAGTAGGCTTGTTCAACGTCATGAATTGGACGTATTTGATCCTGTCTACTGAATCTTGCCTAATTAGATTCTTTTGACAGCTCGCTGATTTAAATCGACGTGCACATAAAAGGACGCTACACATAGATCTGATCTATCCTACCCTCCAATACCAGCAAACGACAAGCCAACACAGCCTGTCCTCGGCGAATGAACTCTACTAGCAAATTACGAGAAGAATTGCCATGATTTTATTTATGCAAGACGTAAAAGTAGATTTGTATAGAGGCATCTAGAGAGAAAATGCCATTGTAGATATCCCCCCCTCTTCTCTTGCAAAATTTAATCGACATCCATATCTGATAATTCGCCATTACCATTTATAGCCTCAGGGCTATGGTCGTTACTCTTGGAGTTCTCCAATCGAACACACTTACTCAGTAGTCGCTTACGAAGCTCTGCTATTTTGATGGGAGCTCTCTTTACAAAGCCAGGGACAGGTATATGACGGTAATCGTTTGTGTCTCGTTGCCAGGTGTATATCTCTCGCCAATCTTGGTCTCGTGCCAAATAGGACGATTCAAACTTGGCAAACGCCATCTTTTGCTTACTGATATCAATGGAATACGCATTCTAAAAGAGCCGGTTGAATCAACACAAGAGCTGCAAAGAGGAGAGTGCCACACTTACAAGTTCACGTTGTCTATCCTTTTTGTCTTGCTGTCGCCGTATTTGCGATTGTTGGTTGAGCTCTCTTAGCTTATGTAAGCGAGCCTCACTCTGAATACGTTCCTTTTCTAATCGAATCTTTTCATTCTTTTCCCATCTATCTTGTTCTTCTCGTTTCTACAGGAGCAAACGTTAGTTTCAATGCGGCACACACGCAGAGATGTCGATGCTTTACTTGTTGCTCTTTCAACTTTCTCTGATTGTTGATTTGGTTGTAGATGACATTGATGTCAAATGCCTGAGGTTGAGGTTTAGGAGCTGGCGGAGGAGCAGCAGCAGCAGCAGCAGCAGCAGCAGCAGCAGCAGCAGAAGGAGGAGGCGATTGATGGTGTAAGTTGGAGGAAGAGACACTGGGCGAGATTAATTCTTTTGGTTTTTTGCTATGCGTGGTATTATGTGTCTGGTGTGGATGAGGTTTGTGTGGTGTCGTAGTGGCGGCGGTTGCTGAAGCAGGTTCAGCGGGTGATTTCTTGGCAAGTGCGAGCCATTTATCATGATTTTGCAGGACAGTAGGTGTCTAGTCTTGTGTCAATCATCTAGCAACATAAAGGTATATCCTGGCGATACTTACGGATTTCTCTACCTTTTTGTCCTTGATGGGAGATGGTGGTTTGATGCCAATAGCTAGTTTGGGCCCACTGCTAGACATGGCAGCAGTAGCAGAAGGTGGAGGCTCCTTTGACAGGGCTAATCCAGGCACCTTGACCATGGGCTTTGGCTACAAAATTCATCCGTCAGCCAAATGCACAGTGCTTTCTCTCACCCAATCTTACCTTTGGCTGCTCTTCCTCCTTTTTGACGTTTGGACCATTCAACTTTAATCGTAAAATGGTGGATCGGCCTTGGTTATTGCTGTTATTATTAGTATTGATTTTTATGCTGGATGATGATGAGGCAGTGGCATCGCTTCTGGTGGTGGTGGATGCATCTGGAGAGTGTTGTAATGGTTGTATAGTAGGTTGTTGTTGTACAGGAGTCGTATTGGAGGTGGGAGTATCTACAGTGTGTGAAGTACGTCTTCTTTTTGAGGAGTGATGCTTTGAGGATTTCTTTTTGATACCGTGTAATTTCGCCCATTGTCTCTCGAATATCTCTTCAAATTCTTGACCAAGGGTATGTACAAGGTGGTTGGGCGGATTGTACTTGTAGCAGTTGCGAAACATCAGTCGAATATCCTCAGCTAATTCTTCCTCGTTCGAATATTGGTACTCATAGAGTTTTCGTTCGTATGTTGTCATATCCATGGGCTCTTTGATAATGTCGTAGTAGTCTGAAGCTCCCCAAGCATCCGCATCGACAGGATTGAGAAACGGCCAATTCATGCCCTGGTATTTTTCTTTTTTGAGCTCCTTGACGATGGCTTCGCAGCGTTTGAATTGATCTTCTGGCATGACGCCTGTTGTAGGATGAGTTGTTCTAGATGAAGGCTCTGTCATGACTGCATCGACTGGTGCAGTTGGGCCGGATAATGTGTCTGTCTCGATGTCAGGCGTCGGCTGTGTGGGCAATTTCACCTTTATTCGTGGCCTTGATGCCTGTTGCTCTGGTGCAGTATAATCATCCATGTCGATGTCCAAGTGTGTAGACGATATTGAATCTGAATGGTGATGCGGTTGAGGTTGAGGTGGTAGATATTCTGTTGGATAAGTCTATACACAGTCGTCAATACTAGCTTACGATTCAAAAAATGTATATACAAACTAACATGATCATTGTATGGTGTAGTTGTTGTCAATGCAGCAGGCTTAGGAACAGATATCTTTATCTTTGTAGGCGGTTGTGCTGCTGGTGCTGTCGCTTGCATCACAACAGGCTCTTTTTTGCACAGTTTCTGATAGTGTTCCTCAAGTTTTTTAGCATCCTGAGTTACAGGGTCTCCAGGATTGTTATACAGGTAGCAATTCTGAAAGACCAACTGTACATCTGCTTTGAATGCTGCTACATTTGGATACTGATCTGCCTTTAGTTTTTTCTCTATAGTACCGAGATCCATAGGTGATTTGATAATGTCGAAATAATCAGGAATATTGAACAAAACTGGGTCCACAGGTTGGAGGAAAGCGACGGCTCTCTTATGCTTTTTAAGTGATTTGATGGTTTGCAAACACCACTTCTTTTCCGCTGATGACATTAGAACGGATGGTTGTGGTTGTTCAGAGGGTGGAGAAGGTGGAGGAGTCGACTCGGTTCTGAATGATGGTTGTTTATCAGTATTTAGTACAGATGGCTGTATGTTTCATTGCAACTTACTGGTCATCGTCTACAAGACTAGCAAATGGTCTTTTCTGAGCAACACTGGACATGATTTCTTTATCTCTATTTTCTTTAATAATAGTTTATCAAGAAAATGGAACCAAAGAAATACTTCAAGTGCTTTGGAAAACAGAAATTTTTAGTATTTAGAGAAAAAGTTTTCTTTTTGGGTTCGCTATAGAGATGGTTGTGGTGGTGCGTTTGAATGGCCGCCTTGTATCGACTATGTAGTTTCGTGTTGAATGGACAGTGGATGGCGTAGAAAAGGCACTTTGCTACTGAAAAAATGTCAAATAGAAACGTGTGAGTCGATTGATAAATTTTCGGTTGGAATGATGGATTGTGCATTCGTAGCATTGCTGGCTCAGGTTGGATACAATGGCTAAATGAAAGGTGGTAATTCATACGTCATTCCAGATGGAAGCCAATCACACCAGCTTGATTCGCAGTTCCTTGATTCCTCAATCAGTGCATTTTCCATCAAATACGCATCATGGCGTTATATCCATACAGTACTATTTAAGCTTGTAAGGAAATATAACGCACAAAAGAGCTGATTGCAGCGCCTTGTTGAATATCACATGCTTTTAATTGTTTGTAGCAACACATTGGATGGAAAGGACCTGGGCTGTGGTGAGATCACATCAACAATAAGACGCAATGCTGTTTAGACATTGATCGGTTGATCGTTTTGAAATGAAGACTACGCGCATATCTGCAACACTTGCCCTCTGATCGCACACAATGATGAGACTTTAATGTGTCTTCTACCAACATGGAAATGCTGAATGTGTAGATCTCCTCAAACTCATCATGTTACACATTCAATATAAGCTATTTGTCTCCAACAAAGGCCAGCCGCAACAGCAACTCACTTGCCAAGATTCGAAATCAATAGACGGATGCTTATCAGCTGGAATGAGCTAGCGCATGATGAAACTGTTATTGTTTGCAGTCAAATGCCATGTTGATAGCGTTTGCAGACATTGAAATGTGTGTCACGTCGCATTTTTTTTTTTTTTTTTTTTTTTTTGCTTATTTAGGCTTCCAAACTTGTATATCCATTCTTTCTCTTTTTCTTCTTCTTTCCACTTTTCTATACAATGTATAAAGATGAAGAGACCACAGATGGAAAAGCTTCGCCAGACGGCATAGTTGCTACCTTGGCTGAGAACACTCCACATTTGCCGACATCCATCTCCAAACGATCATTCATGGACGACGCTTATTTAGAAGATGGACCACTGTTTCGAGCCACCATCAAGCAGTTGGAAGACCGAACATCTCAATTGAAGCAATCACTCAAAAAGATCATCAAGTCAGCATCAGCCGCACTGGATATCCGTCGTCAACTGTCTCGAGCAGATGAAATCTACTACGATGCCTTGCGTGAAATGCAGTGTGCCGAGCCATTGATGAGCCACTACCTGAACAATGCGTGCCATATCATCCAGCAAGAGCGCATTCGACTGGATCAATCGCTCTGCAGCCAAATGCTAGCACCACTGCGACAAATATACGACCAAGACATCAAGATGGCAGAATTGAAAAGACGACAATTTGAAGAGGAGAGCAAAGAATATTATGCTTCACTTGCCAAATATCTAAAGAGCAAAAAGAAACCCGCAGAGGAGGAGCAAAAGAAGCAGAACCAGCGAAAGAACAGGTTTGATCTAGCAAGGTTTGATTATCTGGGGTTTTTGCTAGATGTGCATGGCGGCAGAAAAGAGAACGAAATCCTGTTTTGTATCACGGATCACACTATTCGAGACTTCAATTATTATGAATCCATTGCGACTAAAATTGAATCTGAAAAACTTGGACTAGATGAATTGGTATCACTCATGACAGCCAATTCATTAGAGCAAGAAGTGGCAACGAACGAAAGAGCTGCTAAACGAAAAGAGTTGCTGTGTAACATTGATAACGTGGATCAACAACTAAAACAGACAGAAGAGAGCAGCGATGAAAGCGCAGCAACTGCACCAGCTATACCTGAATTGAACCTCTCGCATCACAGCAACGAGGATGTCATATTCAAGGGCATTCGAGATATGGAGCAAAGAGATCAAGTGGTGGGACGCAAAAAGGAAGGCTTCTTATTTGCTACCTCGAAACCATCCAAAAGCACAGGTGGGTTTGATGTGACCGGCTCGTCGGTGACATGGCACAAGTAGGTCATTTTTGTCATTGCATCCACAATCAGAGCGCTGACAATTGATGTAGATATTGGTGTGTGTTGAGCGGTGGACAGTTGCACGAATATTCAAACTGGAAGCGACAGCTGGAGCCTCATATCGACCCCATCAATTTGAGATTTGCGACTGTTCGTGAGGCTCGTAATGCAGAGCGTCGGTTCTGTTTTGAAGTCATAACACCTCATATGCGACGTATCTATCAAGCAACATCAGAAGAGGAGACTCAAAGTTGGATTGGCACGATTCACAATTCCATTGAAAGTGTGCTGAATGGAACAAGCGCTTCTTCAGCCAATTTATTCAATCTAGGCGCTGCTACACCTCCCACTGCTACCACATCCACTAAACGGCATGGCAGATCTTTGAGCGGAGCATTCAAAAATGGATTTGCTGCAGTGGCTGCTGCTACTGCTACTGCTACTGCTGGATCGTCTGCAAATCAAGGAGCAGTAGTCAACGCCTCACCTAGTCAATCATCCACAGCGCCATCCAAAGATCGCACGAGTAAACGACAGTCAGTCCTCAACAATTTACATACAAACTCAAATGCAGCAGACGGAAATTCACCTTCAGAAGGTGCAGAATTACTGGTGTCAGCCTCTTCAAGCCCCAATGATAGATTCAGATGGTCTGGATTCAGCTTTGGAAGTCATCATGATAAACACAATGGCACCAACAAACTGTCCAGCATCCAACAAAGTTCCAACAACAATGGCAACTATGTCTTCTCATCGCTACCCGACTCTGAAGCCAACACACGGCTGCTCTCCATTCTGAGAGAGGATACATCAAACCATTATTGTGTGGACTGTGGAGCCAAGAACCCTGATTGGTGTTCCTTAAACTTGGGAGTGCTGCTATGCATAGGTAAGGGCTTTGTATACAATGCAATGTCTATCGCGTCAGTCAATTAATTACATGATGCATAATACAGAGTGTTCTGGTATACACCGCAGTTTAGGAACACACATCTCCAAGATTCGATCTTTGACTCTGGACAGCACCTCATACACGCCAGATATTGTGGAGCTGCTGAAATCCATTGGCAATGAACGGTCCAACGCTATTTGGGATGCACGATTTGGAAAGACACCTTCTGCATCAACTGTAGCGACAACAGCAGCCCATATACCAAGACCCAACCCCACAGATTCCCGTGCTATCAAATTAGCATACATTCAAGCAAAGTATGTGGGCCGCCAATTCGTAAAGAAACCATCAGAGGAAGATAGCAAACTGACAGCGGATGAACTGCTTTTTGAGGCCATTGATCAAGACGATATCCCTAAAGCACTGTTCGCTCTTGCCTCTGGAGGAAACGTCAACTCTTCTCGCCCTGATTCTACAAAGTCCCCGCGTATTTCTCTTCTTTTGCCATCATCACACTACCCACAGCAACAGCAGCAACATGTAGCACAAAAGTTTTTGCCGTTCTTGATGGATTTGGATGACGGATCATCAAAGAAACTCGAAGTGAATGCGTCTGAGGACAAGGATGAAAAGCAAGAGGCAGACGGTCATTATATCGTTCGCTATGCGCTGCACTATGCTCTACTGCATGGACGTGAAGCTACCAGCGATGAATTATTCTATCCATCTCCTGTTGTTTTGCAGAGCAACAGCAGTATCAAGACCAACAATACTGAAACAGACGGTGATGAATCATCTATTATATCAACATCCTCTGAGAATGCACATGCCCCTACTGTTACTTCTTTATCGATATCACCCAGAAGAACCATCTTTCCCATGGCAGAGTTCCTCCTTCAAAATGGCGCTGATACAGGTATCGTTGATCCAGAAACTGGTCTCACGTTAGCAGATCTTGTGGGCATGGGCTCCATCGTAAATGACAATGCAATCGCATACATCAGTATGAAGAACACGGCTCGTGGACAGTCTGCAATCACACGCTCTAGCACAATATTGAACCAGCATTTGCTGAGTCTTCAGCAGCAAAGTATCAAGGAAGAAGAAGCAGCTAGCCGTAATAACTCTACCGAAGATCTATCTCGCATTGAAGAAGTATCCGTCAACGATATACCGCCCCCTTTACCACCCAGAAAAGACAACCAACTCCAAGTGGATCAATAGCCGTATTCACATATATATCCTACCTAATTTTACCATCATTTTACTTTAACTATTAATCTCTTACTCTTTTAATTTATATATATACTAATTTTTACAATTATTTCTTATAAAGGGTCTAAAACCTTAAATGTTTGTTCCAATAATGTCGCCATATCATAACATAATAAATTTATGATTCCTGAACATTTTCAAAGTGTCAAAAAGGAAAGAAGTTGATTGAACAAGTGTTTTAATAGACTGACGTTATTGAAAATAGAATACAAGAAAAATAGCATGATTACCGATAATGCTATGTAATTTGCCACCTACTTTCCGTACGCCTCTATTATTACATTGTATTGCCTTCGTGATGAAAAGGGCATTGAGTTTACCAGCCAGCCTCACCAGCCGCCCTCAACAATTAAAACTCAGTTTATTTTTTTTCTGTTCAAGATTGGACGGATATTGTCTTTTTTCGACCTCTTTAATCTATTTTATGATGTTCGATTATATAAATCGTAATGATCATCCGATGCTTTCTAATACATTCCTGGAGTACTTTTCAAGGCGCATCCAATGGTACCAAGTAATACAAATGTTTTGGATAAACTGATTGGGCAATTTATGAAAATATGAAAAGAAGTTTCTGGACAAAAAGTCGAAATTTTACATATCAAAGCCCCACAAAGATGATTCTAGGGGTTACGTTAGATTGATAGAAACATTTTGATTCAATGTATACCATAGTAAAAGTCTTCATTATCAAGGTGAAAAACGTGATCGTTTGATTTTCGATGAAAACCATGAGGGATACCTCATGCTTTTTGGTCGATTTTTGGCCATATTTTTTTGGTCCCCAAAAAGCTGAGCAAAAATGTCAGCGAGGTAGTGCTAATTGAGAGCAATTGTTTGGTACTATTCTGACCATCGAAAACGACCTTGAACGCGAGAAAACGCAGCTCAAATGCACTCAGGCTTTGCTATATCAGGGACACTAAGGACTAAAAAGGGGAAATACCAGTATGCTGCTTGCCTGTATATGAAGTAGCTACGTGGATATGGATGTAGAGCATCACATAGGAGTCAGATCCACAGATAATATGAAGGGATTTCATGTGTAAGTGGAGGATCAAAATGAAAGTAGCAGTGTTTTGATAAGATACGCAAGGACAATCAGTAGAGCGGGCTGCTGCTGCGTAGGTTGGTTCTCACCGAAATGCAAACACTCGTAACTAATAGTGAAGAGGATTGATGTTCACGTGTCTGCCTAAAATCTCTGATTTGAGTTGTAAATCACATTTGCTGCAGATCAAGGAACCCAGAAACGAAATCCGTATTCCATTTTGTAGTATAACGTCAGTGAAATACTCTAATGCTTGACGCATGATTTTCAAGCTTAAAGCAAGCTTCGTATTTAATGCTAATGGTACTATTAATTTTAGGCTTTATTATGACCTTAAAAAAAAGTCTTGGTTTGTGATACCTTTGGCCAAACCCAATTAAACAATTTGTCTTTCCAGGCCCCTTTTTTCTTCCTTCTTTAATGTATATTTAAACATCAACATGGTATACAATGAATCTATACAATGCAGCATACATCTCATACTAATACAATTATTCTAGCTGCCAATGCTACCAAGACAATCGAGCGAAGATGATAGACCTTTGGGTCTCAAATTCACTCGCACGAATTTCTTCAACTTTCCTAAACGAGAGAATACTACTAATAACAGCAGCAGTAATGAAACCAGCCTGAATAGAGCTACATCAACAGGTAGCAACAGCAGCAGCACGCACCAATCTCCACTCATGATGAGAAATTTCGATGACCCTCATCGCAATCCACAGCAACAACAACAGCAACGCAACAGTAATCAATCTGGTTATAGCCGTTCATCGTCATCTCCGACTCCTGTGCTCTCGCCCACACTACCTGCGAGATCACCGTTTCGTATACGAGACTCTCAGCAAGCCGCTGCTGCTGTTGCTGCTTCTGCTATGGGTTCAAGATCACATGGTAATACCATTATTATTGAGTGTGTGTATATGATACAGATGGCTAATAATACATCCATAGAAGCAAACAATAAATCAAGCTCGAGTCTAGATGAACAACCTACTATATACTCCTCCATATCCTCTTCTTCATCCTCTTCGGTGGCAACAGTGGAAGATGATCTCAGTCAGGAGCTCGAGAATATATGGAAACTCAAGTCAAATACACCACAACAACCTCAAAAAGAAGTGAAAGTAGACATCAACTCTGAGGATATGCTGATGCAGTTGCTTATATCACATGCTGTCATTGATGCTCGAGAATACAAGGTGTTGTCCTTTGAAGAATACGAAACGTTGAAGCAGGTAATGGCACACACACACTTCTTACTCTACAACGGTACTAAATCAATGCTATTAGCACCATGCGAGACTAAAGAAGCGTGTACAAAATTCCATTGCTAAATTGGAGCTGGATAAAAAGATCCAAGAGACATCACATTCACTTTCCAACCTATCATTCAACAAAAACCGAGAATCTGTCATGTTGCTTCTTGACGAAGCTGTGGAAGCAGACAAAAAAGTAAAGATATTGACACAAAGACTCAATGAATTGCAATCAGAAGAAGTAGAAACCCAATACCAAATATTAAAACACACGGCTGGCGTCCTGTGTCTCGGTCTGCAAAAGCTGGAAAACACACACCAACTTACATCGCCCAAGATATCGTCGCCTTTGAAGCCTACCAGTCCAAAGGATCAGCTGCATGATTTGCATTCTCAATTAGATACCATCACGCAAACACTAAAAAAGATGCTATTAAAGTATGATGTGCACGCTGTTATTGGCCCCCATTTATCTGCAAATGCCCTTCTCAATCAACTGGAGTCGCAATTAAGCAACTACAAGACAGAATCAAAGCAGCTTGAATCCAAATTAGCATCTGCACAAGAGAAATCTCGATTGGAATCCATGTCAGAAAAAAAACTCGCTATTCAACTGAAAGCAGCGCATGAAAAGAATATGTCTGCCGAAGCAAAAGTATCGCAACTACAACAAAAAATCGACAAGATGATGACCAAAACCGCCTGGCTACCTCAAGATGATTTTGGTTTCGCAGATGATCGCAATGGCCGCATCGAGCAGCTCGAGTCAGAGCTATCCATCACCAAGGAAAGTCAGCAAAGGGTCGAAAGAGAGCTTGAGCTGGGCTATGCTCAAATTGCTGAACTGAAAGCTAATGTTGCCAACATGGAGCTCCAAGCAAGCAAGATCAAGTCTCAAGCAACTGTATTCCAAAACAAGGAACAAGAGCTTAAATTGGAAGTGCAGCAGTATCGAGATGAAGTAACTCAATTGCGTACAGACAAGGAAAAATGGGAGCGAACTATGAAGCGAAAAACAGTGATGCAAGTCTTGAACAACGAAGGTCCAGCCCCTGGTGAGCTAGAAGCCAAGTACGAGCAGCAATTGGAAGAACAAGAGCAAGAATACCAAGCACAATTGAAAGAGCAAGCTGCCTTTTTGGATAAAACCACTCGTCAATGCGAACACTTACAGCAGGAACATGATAAACTCTCAGCTACCTGTAAAGACCTCGAACTGCTTATCAGGGAAAAGCAAAAGACGTTGGATGCCCGAGATGTGCAGATCAACCAACTAGAGTCTGAGATACAACAACAAATGTCTATCGCCAGATCGCATCCAAAGCAAGTGAACGGGAGCCCAGAAGCATTACAGCAATTGCAGGCCATCTTCTCGGAAAAAGAAGCTGCGTGGATCGAGCAAAGCGCTGCCATGGAGGCTAATTTTGAAGGCATTTTGAAAGAATTTGATCGTTTGACTGGTACAGCGATGGAATTTGAAACTGATAAAATGAACTATGAAAGACGCATCGAGAGATTAACGCAGGAAGTCAAGGACCTCGAATCCAGTTTAGCTCAAGAAAAGACCAAGAACTTGGGCCATGAATCAGACACACCCACCACAGCATCGCTTCGAAAAGAGTTCCGCAAGATGATCACTGACATGAAGGCTGATCATCAGCGCACATTGGACAGAGAAGCAGAAGAAAAGAGACGTTTAGAAAAGCAGCTGAAAGATCTCAAGCATGAGCGAGAAATGTCTCGTTATGAGCGCATTAATAAAGGTGTGCAAACCTTCTTTATGGCTTAGCATTATGAAATAAAGCTTTTCTGTTCGTTTTAATGTTTGAATTTGAGGTTGAAGAGAAAATTTTACATCATCACTCTATTTGAGCCATTACTGGATGAAGAGGCTACATTGTTGGTCAAACCGACAGGAGGCTGCGATGGTTGATTTCGTTCTTCAATTGCGTCCCAAGATAATGTCCACTCTCGCTTCACTTTTTGCCATGTTGTGGGGTCGAAAAACACATACACGCCACGATCCAAAACATTAGGTGAGGTCCTTCGGAAGGCTTGCACAGGTCTACCATTCTCATCTGTCTCTTTTGTTAACCATAGCCCTAATTCCTTATGGTAACGCCAATTACGAGCATATCTAGTGGGTCGATAAAAGGGGTAAGCAATAGAATATATCAGGTAATGTCTGTAACATACAATTCCTGTGCTGCTGCCTCCTGGGCAATATCCTTTGGCATACAATAAAACACATAAAACAAGATCTCATCAGAGAAGGTTCGCATGCGTTGGTGAGCTGGTGGTGTTGCTTGCACATTGCGGTAGCAAGCAGGCAGATAATAGCCAGGTTCTACGTTCAAGCCAGGTAATGTCTGTGTATCGGACCAAGGTGATATAAATGTTGAGTATATCGAACTAAGAAATAGCATGTATTCGTCAATACCACAGAAACGCGTAAATCAATACAGGTACACTTACTCTGCTGTATTCAGATCTAAGCCTAATGTAGTCAAATCACTACCAAGCGCCAACATACTACGATCGGGATCAGTCATTCTAATAACCCCTAATAATCCTAGTAAGCCATATGGGTCTGTTGGTTTGCCGTCAGCTGAAGTCAACTCGTCTTGCTTCCTTGGTTGTCCTGCTTGTGTCTAAGCAAGTGAAAATGTTGAATAATCGGATTCGTATCTAAACAATGAATATAAGGAGAGAAGGAGGCTTACCCAAGAGTCTGACGATTCGTTTTTATCTGAGAATGGCTTTCCTATCCATTCATACCAGTGTGAATAACCAGGCAATGCAATCAATTACCCGAGCAAATCATTACCTGCTTGTTGACCTTCTCGTAAATTAGCATAATCTAGCCATTGCTCAGGCTTTCCACCAGACTCTCTGCCTATTGCGTTATCGAATGGTGATGCAGAACTACGAAGCGCTGGGAACTCGTCCATTGAAAATGATCTCGGTGCAAGGTTTCTATTATTCACTGATGGCGGCAGCTCGCCATTGAAGTTGTTTCTGCTGAATGCAAGAGGGTTTTTGTTATGTGCAGAAAAGTCCATGCTATCCATATCTTGCTGCTGTTGTGGAAACCCACTGTTCCCTGCAGTAGAAGCATAACTTGCAAGACGGTTTGGCATGGAAGGTGTTGTCGAGTTGGGGGCTACTGCACTTCGATTCATTGCTGGTGGTGTTCCTAGTGCAGGAAACTCATTCAAATCAGCTGTTGTATTAGGACGGAACATTATAGCGTATATTCACAACCTTTTAATATGTAAAACAAGAGTAAAAAAAAAAAAAAAGAAGACTCGAGTAGGCCATTCAGCGATGCAAAGTATAGCAAAAAAAATTGCATCCAAAGCCGGTGACGTGGTGGGAGATGCAGTAGTGCCAAATAACCAGTTGCTTGTGACTCCAATCTCGGCCATTGAAAGGGAGTGAAGTGGTGGATTAGCCAAATCCCTCCTATCCATCGACATCTAGTGCCTCTTTTCTTTGAATTTTACCCCGGGAAATCAGCAACAATGGCTTCTACAAGCAGTATTTATCTCTTTAGACATGTACAAACAAAGCAAATCTTGGTTAGCTCCAGACAAAACATGAAGGTAAACTTGGCATCAAACCACATGTCAAATGTCAAAAATATTGAAGCATGGTGTTTCTTTGCATTTAGAATAAAGTATTGAATCAACTCGGCACAACACACAAACATCCTCAATTAAGAAAAGATTTATGGCGTCCTCTAGTTGCTTTAACAGGCTTCCAATCACCTCAATCTGCTCAAGCAGTGACCGATGCCCTTCTTCAACGCTCAAAGGCCCGTCAGCTTGATTTACAAAGCAGTGAACAACATATTGCAAAGCCCAAGCGTATCAGACAAATGGAAGAGTTGGATTTAGTAGAAAAGTCGATTGTATCATTACGTGAGGCACTGGAATCAGTTGCTGCATCAAGAAACGAAACCAAATTATTAGCACTTTGGGAACAACCTCATTTCATGGAGTTGAAGGGTGAGAAGGAATGGCCTTCGTTTTTAGAACACGGACAATTAGAATTAAAGAACAACCGTTTTGTAAAGGAGTAAGAAGAAAGTGTCATGTAGTATAGTTTAGAAGCATATGTGTTTAATAAAGATTTAGTTTTATGAATACATCTTGTTCATTGGTGGCTTGCCCTTGAGATTTTACAGGGAGGGTTGTTTGCGGGGATCCTTTTTTTTTTTTTTCAACGTTTGGCAGACATTTTGTTGCTTGCTTGCTTTGAGGTTCGTTGAAACCCAGTTTTTAAGGCAACCCGGACAAGCATATTCTTGTTTCTTTTTCAAATCTATCATACAATCATGTCAAATAATAAGGAGCAAGGTTCAGCTAGAGACTATATCAAATCGTATGTCAAGGAATCCAATACGGAAGATTATCTGCAGCAAGAGCAACCTCGTTATGACCCTACAAAGCCAATCCAATCCCCGCAACCTACACCAGTTGAACAAGAACCATTACCTGAACCTGTTCAAACATCAGAGCATTATAAAGTACATTTACCTACGCAAAATCCTATTCCATCGAATGAAAACACAGAACCTAGAGCCGAGCAACAGCAGCAGCCACCACAGCCTGTATGGGCAGCGCGAGATTTTAAAGAGCAAAGAAGTGAAATCCATGAAACATCGCTCACAGTATGCGCAGATCTTCATGAAAATCTGATGACATGTTTCCAACATGGTAGTTGGTGGGATAAGGCGAAGATGTGTGAAGAACAAAAGCAAAAGTTTTGGAGCTGTTATAATGCTCAAAAGGTATAATCCAGATGTCTGTAAAAAATTGACAGCTTCTTATTGTTTGTTGGTAGAAATTTTTGAAAGAGGTCAATTACAAAGGCCCCATAAATACAGAAAAGGAGGATAACGAGATTTTGCTGAGAGCGTATAAGCTTCGTGATAAAATTGATCAGCAACAGCAAGAAAAGAAGGCAGAAAAGTAGTAGGGGCTTTGCATAGATGTATGGAAATGTAGTTCTGTCAAATGTCATGTTCATTGATGGGCACTATAATAAAATAGGGTCGTTAGATTCAGAACAATATCATTGGCATCAATCTCCTATGTATTTTTTTTCAAGAAAGCAATGGCATGTAACCTATGATTGATAGTCTTACGCTGTCGAGGTTGCTGGTTTTATTATCATGCAATTTAATTAGGATCACAATTTTGCATTTGGCACTGGAATCCTCATTTGATTGCAGCATATGCAATAATTAAGCCAATTAGGTCTAAAGATTTGGAATTACATGAAATAAAAGTTTTTCTGTTAAGCTATAGTGCTGTTCCATTCGCAATTCTCTTTTCATTAGCTTCAAAAACATCGATTGTCTTCATAAGAAGGTATTTTGCTAGCCAAAATCTAGTTGAATCTTCGCTCTCCATTCTGTCCTTTATTTGTTGATTTTCGAAATTTTGGACTCGATTCGACCTATTTTGCTAGATTCGACTGTGTAAATTGTGATGATCATCCCATACTTTCTAATGCATTTTTGAAGTACTTTTTAAAACGCATCCAATGGTGCCAAATAAAGTCAAGGTTTTGAATTAAGGTATTGAGCAATTTTGGAAAACATGAAATGAAGTTTTTGGTGAAAACGTCGAGATTTTCTATACAAAAATCTCACAAACAAGGTATCGGGGGTTGCTTTGGATCGAGAGAAACATTTTGATCTAATATATGCCTTGGTAAAAGTCTGGGCCAAAAACGCGATCGTTTGATTTTTGCTGAAAATCATGAGTGATACCTCATGGTTTTTGGTTGAATACTGTTGATACCAAAAAAATTGAGCAATGGTGCCAGAAAGTAAGTGCTAGATTAGAGCAATCGTTTGGTGCCGCTCTGACAGTCTAAAACGGCTTCTAAAACGAGAAAACGCGACTGAAATGCATACAAATTACGCTGTGTTTTGCTTATTCTTGAGTAGTTGGAGGCAATGCTATCATATTGTTTGTTCGTATATGAATTGTTTCCATGAATTCGGACGTGAAGTATTGTAAAAGAATCAGATCCAGAGCTACAGGTCGCTTTTGAAGGATTCTAATGTGATAATGGAGAGCTATAAAGCAAAACTTCAGTATATAGTAGTAAAATTACAGCTCATCTCAATATCCACTTAACCCGACGAACAAAAACCAACGAGCACAGGAAGGAAAATGTCATTACACACAATCTATCAATCGTTTTGGGTAGTGTGGCAATAGATTGAGAGATGTGTTGGTGTTACATGTAATATTGATTCAGGCACAGCGTATTGAACAGCCTGTATACAGTGCAATTTTAAACGGTAATGCCTCATTTCACTTGATCCCTTGTCGAGATTTGCTGAATTGAGATTGGCATGATGGCGCTATACATGAATTCTCCACTGTTATTGGCACTACTCAAAGTATTTGTGCTCCTCAGTGACATTGCTCTGCATCTGCATATGTAATAGGAGCTGCCTTTTCAAACGATTTGAACGCAAACGCTGTTGAATACATTAACCAACTTCCATTGCTAGTGGCCAGTCATTCGATCACTGCTAAATCGCAAATTCTGCTCAGGTACCACCATGATATAAGCTTTTGTTTCACTTGAGATGGTCACATTTACACATCTCCCCGCCCTCAACTCTGATTACTACAATGATTTGTAATATTATTAAGCGGTCAAATGCATTATATATATTGCGACATTTCAACAGGGATCTCATAATTATTCAGTTTTTTATCATATTAAACAGCACAAAACATGTCTACTGCTACTATCACCACTGCCACCAAGCGAGCTCCTGTATTTTTCATCTCTCATGGAGGTTAGCAACGACATACCCTCTAATTCAGCATATAAAGCCATATGTTTTGTTAACCCACATTTCATGCAGGTCCCAATCTTTTGGAAAATCAGGACAAACCAGGTCATTTTTACAACTGGCTCGGTAATTATCTCAAGAATGAATTGAAGCCAAAGGCCATTGTCATTATCAGTGCTCATTGGCAAGGACAAGGAAATAATGGTGTATTTGGTATGACTTTATTGAGTTTATATATATACCCCTGGTCAGCGAACTCATCTATCATTTCGTTTAGTGGAGACATCTGAAAAGCCGAAGCTCATCTACGATTTCTTCAACTTTCCTCGTCGCTACTACGAAACGAAGTGGGATCACAAGGGATCTCCTGCTATTGCTAATCGTGTTGTCGACTTGTTGAACAAGGTATTTGGGCGATACTTTTGCATGAATGATGTTTGGACTCCATAATTAACTGTTGATGATAAAACACATAGTCGGGAATCAAAGCATCAGGCGAGAGGCACGGCAATGATCATGGTGTTTGGGTACCATTGATGCGTGCTATGAAGTCGAACCCTGATATTCCCGTCATTGAAGTCTCCACTTTTGAACATGAAGATATGGAAATGCATACAAACATGGGCGAAGCGCTAGCACCACTGAGGTAATATCTTGTTTGCTGTGTTACGAGGAAGCATGTATTAATTTAGTCTACACAGAGATGAGAACATTGTCATCATTGGTAGCGGTAGTGCTGTACACAACTTGAGTACACTCTGGAGCTATGGAGATAAGCCTTCACCTAAATTTGTTCATGATTTCGACAAGGATATGGAAAACATTGCTTGTCGCTTTACAGCTGAGGAACGTAACAACTTGGCTAATCAGCTTGACAAACATGCTAGCTTTAGAAAGTGTCATCCAACTGCCGAGGTATGATATCAAGAGAAATAGTCAGATTGCTCTACTTACATTTTATGTCAATAGCATCTCGTTCCCTTCCATGTTGCATTGGGTGCTGCAGGCTCAGATAAGGGCAAGAAATTATTACAGGATTATTACTCGACCCTCAGCTGGGGCTCATACGCATTCGGATTGCCAGAAAATACCACACTACCCACATATGACGGAAGTCAAGCAAAATTCTGATATCTATTGATGGGCCTAATATTGTATTACATGGTATATAACTTTCTTTAATTATGCATTAAATTAATAAATGGTGTCATTTTGTATCATACTCTGCATATTATTTACTACTGAATTATGTTGTGCGTATATTGCACAAGGCAAGAGCGACCTCAATCAACAAAACCTACATCCACCTTGTATGTCTAAGAACGTATGTACACTCTGTGAAACCTATACAGGTTTTCGTGCAGTAAGCAAAATACCTGATTGAGCAGCTTGAGAACATCACTTATTCATAATGGAGTCAAGCCTCAAGCATAAACAGAGCGCCGAACATGTGAAATTTGATATATCATAAACAGAGTGCCCAATATATAAAATTTGATAGATTCAAATCATAAACAATTCAAGGTAAAAGCCAGATAAACTCTCGAACTTGAAACATAAATTGAAAATGTATATAAAAGAAAGCATCTTGATGCAAATCCATTTCAGTTTTTTTCTCATACTTCAAAATGCCAAAGAATCCTATTTCCAAGCCTGAATCTTCTCGCATCCAATCTACTCAAGCTAAGAACAACCAGGACACCGGTAAAGGCTCCTTTGCTTCCCGCGTCCAATCTGCCGCTGACAGAAATGCTAATCAATCTGGTGATGCCAACACTGGTGCCGGGCAAGCTGGTAAACAACAGCAACAAAACAAGTAAACATTTGATGTAGTCATCTAGGTAAGTGAAGCTCCAGCTGGATATATGGCATCCCTGCTAATAGCATTTAGCAAAACAGCAATCTCTATATCTAATTTTGATTCAAATATCATATTTCTTTCAATAAAATCATTCTCTAAAGGTTGCACTATGAGCATATATGCGTTATTATTTTATGTTGCTTGTCTGGGCAACTATTTACTGACTCCAATGGATACCATAGATAGGGTATGAGCGATATTCTGATCACTTCATGGCAGGATGTTATATAGAGCAGTTGCCGATGCTTTTTAGATTGCATAAATATTCAAGCAATGCTCGGTTTTTGGGTATCACGGATACTAGTCGATCTATCTCGCTACGTTCGATGTCGGCGTCGCCCTGTGGGCTCTCGTCAAAGACGTTATAGTAAAATTTTGGTATATCCAGTAGATTTTAAATAACCAATCATTAGTAAAAAAAAAAAAGGTTCTATTAGAACCAAGAGGTGGAGGAGAGGAGGCATTTTTCTCATCACCCTTTTTGTTTATAGACTGATATCAAACGAAGCCTATTATTGGGACAATGTGAAAGAAAATTCAAGTTTTATGCAGCATTTGCTTATCACAATCGTCATTTCTGATAATAGAATTGTCATAACATTCACTGCTGCTGATGCATTTAAGATGGCGGCATAAAGCTGGCCATCTGTAAATATAGGACTTTTGTAAGATCTATAGCGACTTTTTTGAGATATTGTCATTGCAAAAGACATCTTCATGTAACGAAGCTCCCCAAAAAAAAGTATTTGCGCTAAGCAATTGTCCTTTCAATTCCATGATTCCCATTTAATCAGCATCGCAATCATCATTGTCATCAACAGAAAGACATTTAGGTCAGCCAGCAGCAATGCCGACGCCAAAATCGATTCAAACTCAGTTTATTTTTTTCTGTTCAAGATTGGACAGATTTTGTGTTTTTTCGACCTCTTTAATTTTTTTTGTGATATTCGACTATATAAACTTTGATGATCACCCTACGCTTCCTAGTACAACCTTGAAGTGCTTTTCAAGGCGCTTCTAATGGTGCTAATTGTAATAGGTGTTTTGAATGAAATTACTGAGAAATTTGGTAAAATATGAAATGAGGTTTTTAGCGAAAATAGCCATACTTTGCATGTGAAAACCTCATAAAAGTGGTTTCAGAGGTTGCTTTGGATCGAGAGAAACATTTTGATTTGATATATACCATAGTAAAAGTCTTCATTTTCAAGGTGAAAAAAGCGATCGTTTGATTTTCGATGAAAACCATGAGGGGTACCTCATGCTTTTTGATCAATTTTTGGCCATGTTTTTTGGGTCTTCAAAAAGTTGAGCAAAGGTGTCAGGAAGTTACTACTACTCAAGTACAATTGTTTGGCGTTATTCCGGTGGCTCAGAAAGGTTTACATGTCAAAATATGAAGGCTTGAAAACTATTCAATTTAGCTGTATTTTTGCTTTATAGAGTTTATTTACACGGCATAAACCACATCTTTGGTAGCTGCAGTTTACTGGAAAGGCAGTTCTGTAGCTTGAGCAATTTTTAATTCGAAAAAGGGGCATATTGATTTTGGTAAAGCTGATTCATGGAAATTTTGATGCGCTATGTTGCTAGTAAGCTTATTAACAATGGAAATAAAAATCCGAATTTGCTGCTTGAATGCTATGATTTTGCACCTTTGCTTGGCTGCGGTAAAACCTATTAAGACTAATATTACCAAATGCTGAATTAGATGCAATCTCGCTACGCTCCTATATATTAGGTATGCCAGTCTACAGCAACTGATTTAAAATCAATCTGATAAGATTTGACAGATTGATTTGTAAATTGCACTAGTAAGTTTTGAAAATGGATTCATTTTCAATGCAATACATGGTTTATACAGCCTCAAATTAACCCATTTGTTTGAACTCATGAATCTTTTATTGTAAACTAGTGTGTATATGTACTATATATGTATGGATTTGCTTCTCAAAAAATTCCATCTAAAACTTGAAAACTTGATCAGCAAGTTGACTGACAGCGCGAGGCTTGTCATAACCCAGTTCAATCAAGTTTTCAGTCATGGCCTTGACCATAGGCAAAGGACCACAGAGCAAGATCTTGATATCGCTGGCAGGAGCAGGGCAATGCTCACGAATCATATCAGCATTAACGAAACCTGTACCTTGAGTCCAGTTGGCAGGAGGTGTATTTAATACGTGGTAAACATGGATGTTGTCGTGCTTCTTGGCGAGTTCATCTAATTCATCACGGAGCAAGATATCCTCTTCGGAAACATTACCGAAAATAAGATTGACTTGAGTTTTATCGTTAGGATTCTTGCAAATGGCGTGGATAATCTACTCATTATGTAATGATAAATAACCCATTTCCAGAGCACATTACTCCACACAATTACCTGAAGCATAGGAGTGATACCAGTACCACCAGCAATCATACCAATGGCTCTGCACATGTTGGGAGTGTAGTTGAAGTTACCCTTAGGGCCACGAACAGCCATTTCATCACCAATCTTGAGTTCACTAAACAATCTGGAAATGTTACCAGAAGGATAGGACTACAATGCGCTGTTAGTCTCATTTCCTTCTTTAAGCCCCCCCCCCCCCACACACATATCCTTTCATTACCTTGATGAGTAAATCGAAATGACCAAGATCATCATCAGAGCTAGTAGGAGTGTAGCTACGAGAGATCTGCTTACCATTGATCTCTGCCATGACGGACACATGCTGACCAATAGGAAGACCTAAACGAGCATCCTTGCGAGGTAAAGCGAAACGGTAACTGGATAAATGTAAATTTCGATTCTCTGTCTTTTTTTTTTTTTTTTTTTGTTTGTGCGAGGCTATGCAGAGGCGGCTTACTTACATGGCTGTGTTGTGAGAGATGACAATCTTCTCTGCTAGCTTGAAGTTCTTGAACACTTTGGCATCCAACACTTCACCTAATTCAAGAAATTGTGGTCAGCAAATGAAAAATTTTATAGATTTGGGCTTGTTTACTTTGTTTATTGAGGAAGAAGTAGGCACTTCCAGCAGCAATAACAGCAGGAATGAGATAAGGTAAAACAGACTGAACAGAATCCATAACAAATAAAGTATATATATATAAGGAGGAAGAGGAGGTGGAAGAGGAAGAAGAGATTAAACACAGTTTTCACAATAATTAGGGGCCCAACACCGAAACATATTTTTTTTGGGGACAAAACTCGGCGAATCAGAATTTACATGTGAATGCACTCTGATATCAAACTCTCCATCTACCAGCTCTTAGCATTGGTCGAACTCGCAAGAACCAATATCCAGCACCGTAAGCGACACCACCTATATGGGCAGCACTGTCCACAATCCCACCCTGAGTGTATGTTAGCTCCAAGTGCGCAATTCATGCTAAAGACAAATGGCACTGCCTTACCTCCAGCGTGGATGCTTGGTAAATGTCATATGCTGCGAACAAACCCACAACGGCAATGGCCGGCATAGGCACAATGAAAAATACTAGAAATGTAGCTCTTGGATCTGCTTGAAATGTGAGTGGTCTGTGCTTTTGCACTGCGTAGTTATGTAACCTTACATGCGCAGGCAAAGAAGGATGTGATAGCCATGACAGAACCTGGTAGATGTTGGATGCAATTGAGCCCACATGTCATTTAAACCATAACAACGTAAAACAAAGTACCTGATGCCCCCATGGAGCCTCCCATGAGCCTAGGATCTTTGCTGCGACCATATTTCTCCTTCTCCAGCAAGGGCCGAATATACTTTCTGTAGCCCACTCCTACCAATGAAGCAGTGATACCGGCACCTGCATACAAAATCAAGAATCGTGATGCTCCAATTGCCTCAATGACACCTTGTCCAATGCTGTAGAGTACCAGCATGTTGAGACCTAGATGCTCCAACGATTTATGCGAGAATGCAGATGTCAAGAGTGTGTGATATCGCCCATTATGCATAGCTTCTGGCGAACTAATAAAGTGTTTTCCCATGATATTCAACCAGTGCGAATCGCCAAACTGCTTGTATGAATTGATAGCATACTGCCACATGAGGTACACACCCATATTGGTGCCAATAACAGACCATAACACTTTGTTTGGGTCCATGTTATTCATCTTGCGACTAAATCTCTGTAGAGGGTTTGTCTGTGCTCGGACGGCCTTGGATAAGGGCTCATTATTGCTGTAGTAATGGGGCCGTATATACGTTCTTGTTGCTACTATTTTTTGCTGCCATTTTGTGCTAGTAGATTTGCAGATATGCGTCAACCCAATGAATCTTGTCCTCAACATGCCTTTTTAGTGTGTTTTAGTCTAAAGAAGAGGAACCACACATTGCACCCAAGCATGGGGATTTTGATTTGCGAGGTCACAAAAAGCTTCTAATCAAAGCAAGCCAAACTATCCCGTTTGACATTTAAAGCAAGATGCGAATCTTTCTTTTTTTTTTTTTCGTCTTCTCTCTTTTCCCTAACAACTACGCCATTCAAGAAATGATGGACAATCCAAGCGGCAACCAGCAAGATTCGATGAGCTTCAAGGCTGCCAAGATGGCTTACCAACTCGTTGAATCAACTGAACGATTCCTAACTACTGCAGGCGAATTAGACTCTCAATCCATCAACCTTGTGGGGAACAATATCAATGATCACATCACAAGAGTGATTCAGCAGTACGAGAACGTTTGTATGATCGTCAATGCCCTCCAAGCCATCTCGCTGTGTGTGGGTGATCCTCAAAATCGCACCTCGCTGTTAACTGCTGCAACGTCGGCATCCACCTCTTCTTCTACTGCTTTATCCAGAATCTACTCTCAAATCTCATCGCTACAAATTGACGACAATACCGCCAGAGAGAGCTTGAACCAACTCGCTTTGTTGGTGCAACAGTCCAAATTGGTCCATGTCAAGTTGGAGGTAAGTAGTAGTAGTAGCAACGCCAGTTCACAGCCTATGCAAATCAGCCCTCCTCCTCCTCCTTCTTCTTCCTCTTCAACTCAAAACATGGACAATGAAAGGCGTGAATTGGCATTAAAGCGAAAGCAATTTGACGAGGAAAAAGAAGAGTTTGAACGTGAGAGAAAGCGTCTTTTGTTGGACAAAGAAACTGCTAATCAAAGACTAAAGAAGCAACATTTGATTGAGCAACAAGATCAACAACGAAAGCAGCTTGTGCAACAACAACAACAACAACAACAAAAACAAAAAGAGCAACAGCAACACCTTCAACTTCAGCAACAACGGTACGAACAAAGATTACTAGAGTTGCAAAATCAAAAACGAGAAAGGCAGAAACTAGAGCAAGAAAAGAAACAAAAGGAACAGCAAGACAAGAAAAACCTAGCAAAGCAAAAGCAACATATCCACGTTTTGTCCACTGATCAGTTTCTTGAGCAGTTTGAAAAAACTGCCGAAACATTTGCGCAATCAATCAATATGGACATTGACAATGTGTGGGAATCCATGCTGATTCATGCGTTGCCAAAGGATAAACTTCCTTGGGCAAACGAAACCATCATTGGAAAAAAGCATCCCTGGCGATATGCAAAGCAGTTGTATTACATAAAATATGCTGAAAAACTGAACAATGCCCTCTCTTTTCCTACTGACCATCCTGCCGAAACTGGCTCAAGCTCCAGCATCCCAGCTGCCCCTACGGCTGCTTTTGCAGCTACCAATGCTGTTACCCAGGCCACCGCCAGTACTTCTTCTATTGATGTCGTCCCCACCAATGGTGCTCCCACTATCACCACCACAACAACTGTCAATGCTCCTCTTTCTCCATTACGAAAACTACTCGAGCGTCCTGCTCCCTCAACAGCGGACCCACCCAAGGAACGGGATCAACGCCGAATTGCAGACTATTGTCAACATTTGTTGAGCTTGGAAATGAAGTTCTACGACACCATTGAGCAGTACAACAAGCGTTATATGCGCTACTGCACCATCGCTAATGTGGATTTAACTGGAAAAAACTTCATTGATCGGTACATCAGATCGTTAGATCCTAAATACCGTGATATCGTCCGCGCTGCCCTCCAGCTTCACAAACAACCATTGAATCATATCAAGGATGTGATGGCTGTGGCAGAAGAAACTGTGAATGCCTATATTGCTGCGTCTCGAACCCGTAGTAATGCTCCTTACAGCCAAAATTGTGTCCATAACCGTAAAGTCAATCAAACAGTGTAAATTAAGACAAGGCCACATTCTCCCTCTCTCTCTCTACGAACATAGTCAAAAATGACATTATACCCTTTGCTTTACAGTTCCACATCCCCTTTCTTTCCTTTTCAATATATGACTCTAACATAGATATATACCTATACTTACCCCTCCTCCACCTTTATTAGCGTACAAATAACATTATTGTCACCTTTTGCAATAAAACAGTTCTTGATCCAACGATCTATATCAATGCTGATTTGAAGGACTCGAGCTTCGGCTGTTGAATGCTGTCTGTGGTCAGTGATTCCGAATGATTTGTGGTGGCTTGAGATGTCAATATTGCAAAAGAGAAAAGACTGGGACACAGACCTTACATTAACAGCATAAAATTATTTGTCCTTTCACAAATTACACATTGCAAAACATGGCTAAAAATAATAAGGTAGCTAACACATAGAATTATCCTTGAACCAGCAGAATCTAACCGCACAGCAGCACACATCTGAAAAACAAAAAATACCCGCCAAAAAAGATGCCAATATCAAAAAGGCTACTCACAAAAGACGTGTAAAGGGAACATCCGAAGTGGATAATCCTAAATATGCCAATATGGTAATGCATAGATATTGCACCTAGGCAACATTATATGCTAAAAATGGCTCGTTTGTTAATAGGATTTCATGCTGAGTCTGGTGGAATCTGCAGCAAAGAAGGAAGATGAGAAAGTCAATAAGAAATTGGCTAAAAAGGTATATAGTGGATCCATTAGATCGCTGGAAGTGCTGCTCACTCTATATCAACGACATAGGCACTAGTTGCAAAGATCATTGAAGAGAAGGATGCCAAGAAAGATCAGAAAGCAGAGGAAAAGAAGGCCAAATTAGTAAGCAACCATGATCTGCTATAGAGACACTCTGAATACTCATCACATGGCTCGATACTAGGAAAAAGTAAAGCAGGCTTATCTTGAAGCACAAAAGAAGAAAAAGACTGAAGCAAGAAAGCTAAAAGCAAAAGCAAAGATGGAGGCTGCTCGTGCAAAATTACAGCCTGCGGTAAGTTGAATATCGGGCATCAAGAATTACAAAATGCTTAATCTTTTATAATTAGGTGCCGGAAAAGAAAAAGAAAAGTGTTAGATTTGCATAAACTGTCAGTTAGATTCTGTTATATATATGCAATAAATTGAATCACAATATGTATCAACCATCTTTGAATGTGTAAATCAGACATGTCGCATTAGATACAGCACAGTATCAGGAAATCAGTAATGCTATTCGTAATCACATCACACCATAACGACAACATTGGCTTTGAATTGCATTGGATACAATGATCGAGATCAATAACCTGCTAGTATTAACAGTTTGAATACAGCATTAAACGTCAACTCCCTAATTAAAATATTTGGTACTGATTTCATAAAGATTCTGAACAAGAACTATAGTATCTAGTAGCTTCATGCAAAAGTGTGAAGCTTCTTGTGCCAAGTTTTCGCATTTTGAAGAGTACATCCTTACTGGAGCGATTCTGAGCGACTTTGACGTTCACATTGGTGGATGTTTGGGTGGTACTTTTTTCATCCAAAACTCTTAGAGAGAAGGTTTAGGAAGAAAGCACATCGGCTCTGGCTAATTTTGCGCGTTGGGCGATGGCTAAAAGTGTATCAAAATATTCTTTGAAACTACCATTTTAGTTTGATTTCATCTAAAAAGTTAATTCAAGGCACATGCATGACATATCCGGAATGAACTACGTTTTATCTCTGACACATCCGCCTTAGACTCGCCGCTTTTTCATAATTGTAATATACTTGATACAGAGGTTTTCTGATTACCCAGAGACAAAAAAGAATCTAGAAACATGAAACCTGCATCTTTTTAAAACGATAGACGAGAGCGGAAAGCCTTGTTGATTCAGTTCAATAAATTAGCCATCATTATCATTTGGATGATCTTCATAAACACCTCTGCATTCAATTGCGCATTCCTTTCTTACATACGAATGTCAAAATTAAAGTTTTCATACCGACATTTGCACCATGGAAATGAAATTCGAGTGCTCTATTTCTTTGAAAATGAGATAATCATCTCTTAACATGGAACGTATTTTCTTGCATCTGAATTTTCACAATTAAATACAAATTATGGTTTCTCTTCGATATGTCTACAGCTGAAAACGCTCGCAATTCAGGTTAATGATTTTTTTTTTACCCGCCGGAATGCGAAACCACCTTTATTATTATGTAAACCTCTATGCCAAATCTTGGACGGATAATCCTTTGTATTGCCATTCTCACTATATATACTAATCTCTCTTCAGGGTACGGTTAGGGAAAAATGGATCATTACGTTATCTATTGTTTGAGAGATCTATATCTTGAGAATTTGTGGGATGACTGAACGATTTATGCCTGTCAGAACCTGAAGGAATATTTAACATCTACATTTGTGAGTGCAATTCAATACACCACTTTATAGGTAATTACGGCACAAATACGTGCTTGATGTATAGAATGCGTCTTGTCATGGACTAATCTAGACAACGTCGATATCCGGTGTATAGTAAAACTGTTATCGGGACATCAAGTTTTTAAAATTTGGGATTGCTCCTTATTCAGAAAACCTTGACTTTAAGACATCATGTCGAAATGATCTTGGCACACAAACTTTAGCAATCAGGATATTTGTATCTAACGGCTTTGTATTATTGCCTATGTCAAGCTTCTAGCAGGCTAAAATTGCAATGGACTATTGCAAGTAAAATGAGTACACAGTAATTCTGCTCGTTCTTGCTACATGTACAATCAAGATATATGCGAATTTGAAACACATTCGGTTTAAATGTCTCAATAGTCAGTGGCAAAAATCGATAAACCGATTTACAGATACTCGATTGACAATTGTCGATCAATTTGCAATCGTGTTTCGCTGGCTAATACGTCAAGAGTCTGAAATTGATGACGATACAGTGTATTATATATGTGGTTGCTATCATTTGTTTAATCAACTGCCATTTTTAATAATACAGGTTTCATAAACTGCACATGTATAAATCGTACCAGAAAGACTTTTTCGCTTTAAACCAATGAATCCATACTACATAGTATACATGAAGAAAAAGAATATTTGGAGTCTGTTTATTTGTAAATTCTAGGTCATGTTCTTGCATGAGTGTCTCTCAATCAAGTTATTGGCTCACACTATCCATATGATTCAAAAAAAAAAAAAAAAAAAAAAAAAGATAAATTTCATTTGTCGCACAAACGTCAAAATTGCCAAAAAAGTAGTTATCGCATCACATCATACCATGAATTAACATTTGTATTATTCGAGTTCATCAAGCAAAAAGCATATTTAAAGTAGAAAAAAAAGAAAGGAAAAGACACTACAGAACAAGGTTCTCGGTAGAATATGCTGCACACTACCTTGCTAGACAAAGGTTTACCAACACAAGTAATTGTTTACGGATTACACATAAAATGATCATAGAATTACATGCACATGAAAATTTCCCACTAAAACTGTTGGGATTTACCTCATGGTTATGTAGACTGTTTTGTTAGTACACGCACCATAGAATTAGGTCAGAATAGAAAACAGAATGTGATTTTTAATGTGTTTGATGCGATGATTAGTGCGAAATATTTACTGTAAAAATGAAAACTGTACAAAGAGGGATAATTAAATTAAAATTTACAAGAGTGCAGAGGCAGCTTTCTTGGCTCTTCTCTTTCTTAAAGTGCCATTGGCGACCTTTTCTTGACGTGTGACACGACGAGATCTCATTTCAGCATGACGATTACGATAAGAGTCCACAGCACGTTGAATTAGACCACGGCGACCGCAGAGTTGTTCTTGATTCAACCAACAGAGTTCCCAGCCTAACTTGTTGCAACTAGTTTCATATTCCCAACGGTTACCGTCGTATTCTTCTCTGGACACATTAGCTCGAGGATAAATCTATCATTACATGTTAATTTTAATAATTTTAATTTTACAGTTGTTACAACTTACAGCATTCTGCACTCGAAATCCAGCAGGAATATCATCTAAATTGACGGTATCCACATTAGTTCGTACAGTGTATTCTTTGACCAGACGATCATGAGAGTATAAAAATGTAATGTATTCTACACCATCAATGATTCTAGCAACCGGCTCATGAGCAGAAAGAGACACAACAGAGGCAACAGAAGGATGAGATGAAGCTCTACGGCGGTATGTACGAGTAGGCGCAGAGTGGCCATCAGCAGATCTACGGCGACCTGGACCACGCACCTTGTGTACTGCTGGAGCATGTGTCGATGTTGTTGTATTTGCCATAGGAGCTATATTGCTTTGGTTGATGATGTTTGCATAATATAGTTGCTGAGGAAACATTTGTTGCTGCTGTTGCTGTTGTTGTTGCTGAGGAGGCAAATAATAAGCCATTGAAGGTGGTGTTGATACGCTGCTATTTGGCGAATTGCTACCAGAAGCTGATACTGATGAAGGCGGAGTGATTTCTCTAGAAAATTGATGCTGTGGCAGATTGGAATACACTGAATTGCAGCTTTTGAAATTGACGGGCTGTTTGTTGGTTTGCAAAGAAACAAGATTGTTGTTAGGTGTATTCGCTGGAGGAGTGATGGGAAGCATGTTGAGCGACGCCTGAGACTGAGGTGTTGACATTGGAAGGTAAGAAAGAGGTTCATCTTGCAAGATATTGTTATCTGGGAGTGGCCATTCTTCTTTGATAGTAGGAGGCACTTGGACCATATCATTGTTCCATGGAGCAAAGAGATCATCCAACGGATTAATGATGGGCTGCGTCTGTTGTTGCTGCTGCTGCTGCTGCACTGGCCTTTGCTGAGTAGGCTGATCAATGCCGTTTTCCAATGGCCATAATGACATGTCAAGTTCATTGGATCCCAAGACGTCCAGGAAATGGACTTGCTGAGACGGATTGTATGGAGCAGCCGTATTGTTAGTAGCAGCAGTACACCAAGTGGCAGGAAAAGTGGAGTTATTAGTGAATTCACTGTTTGTAGAGGCAAAGGTTTGCTCAGATGATGTATTGAGGTAGGCGGTGGAGTTATTCATTTTATTTTGAAATAGATAGAACCAAATGGAAAAGGAAGAATCTATCAAAATCGAGCTGCTATTTATATAGAAAATCCATGCGTTATTTTTTTTTTCGCTCGCTCGCTCACTTGCGATGAACAACCGGCTATGAGCTGAAGAAATGAAACCAAAGTGGCGCTTGAATTGTAAAACAATCTTGCAAACAAGATGGTGGTTGGCTAACTGAGCTCTTACGATTTGCTAGAATGTAATGTGTAGATGCCATATGTATAGCAATTATCCTAGAACCAAAGGTTGTAAAACGCAGTAAAAAAGCAGGTTAAATTGCCATAGACCATGTACCCGAGATTGTCGATTTCCATGTACTTCCAATTTATTCTTTTGTAGTTTACGGTGAGTCTTGTCCGAGAGCATTGCTCGGATTAACATACTATTTGAACTTGGCCGCTAAAAGCCGATCTGCTCCCGATGACAGATGGTATACGGAGAAATGTAGCTTGACCCCTTCTTACCTTAGGTAATATTCCACCTACGGAATATAATTGTTATAACGGATGCAGTTATAAGTAATAGAAAATGTGCTTAAGCAGAGGTTTTACCAAACATTTCACAAGAGCATTGCAAATCACATCCATTCCATTCTTTCCATAGCTTATGACTGCCATGCCATATTGCCAAATAAATCTCATTGCGTTTACTATCTAGAGTGTTCCGTGGATGAGCGAGCAAATCCTGATACGGTGAAATAAGTGATATGCTCGAATCTAGTTGGTCCATTGGTCTCTGTCATTCAACTTGACCTAAATACCTTTACGCGAAGAGGATTGCCAGCAGGAAGCAGTAATAGAGCTAACATTTAGCCGCTCCTTAATATTTCGACATCTTACACACACCCTTATTGATCGACTGCGTTTTTGATCCAATGTTCTTTTATGTTCTATACAAGCTTATATAGTTGGATGTTGAGGGATGTTTGAGTGCATGCACATACACACATGATAAACATAGCATAAGGAACTGAAAGAATGTATCAATGCGTGTTTTGGGTAATATATTAAACAGCTATAGCAGATTTGTGAAGTGATCAGCAGAACATGGCTCAGCGTAAGTGGAGACGCTCATGATTATATGATTGGCCATAGCTTTCATATACATAAAAGCCAGCATTCAAATTACACGCTGGATGGCGTGTTGTTTGCTAAATGACATCTCTAGCATACCTATCCCATCTATAAGATCGTTTTATTCATAGAGTAATATACCTTCCGTTTTAATTATACTCACAAAACTTAACATTTGATTCAAGGTATTTTGGTACATTACTCAACTGCTTGATTGGGCAAATCGAACCATGATTTGCTACAATGCCCACTAATTTGAAACAAATTCAATACGACAACTTCAATGGATGGATAATATTAGTTGCGATTCTTTTTCTTGTTTGACTTACCAGTTGAATGTGAATCAAATTGCTCTACCACTGTGTCTGCACTCGCTATTATCAATTAGAGTCGCAATTGGCCTAAATCAACGGGGAAGATACACTTACCACGCTTATTTTTGAGTCAATCATGTCTACCATCTCACTCCTAATTTTTTCACTTTTTGGCATGAATCATGCTACGACTATTATTAACTTGTTCACAATGTTTCAAAAATATATTCATAGAGTATTTGAAGTAGCATGAATTTGTGAGAAAACATTTGATTTGCTACCTTTCATTATTACGGATCAAGTTAACTAACGAAACGAACTGATAGGCCTGACTATATCTCAGAAACTGCTAGATCGTCTGTAGCCTCTTGAAATGTCGAGTAGCACTACATGGCAACGGTTTTACCGTCCTGAGATCCTTATAATCGCGTCAGTTTGATTAAATTCTGCCAAGATACATCAAATCATACTCTAAAACCAGGTTCATCCCAGGTCATCCCAGGAGAATTCAAGATGACAATTGAATCCTGGCATCACGGCCATTATTTTTTATCATAATCAGAAGCACAAACATAAGAAATGATGGCTCTGAGGCACTGAAACTACAGTTTGAACTCTAAAAAAACAGCCTTGATAAGGACCACCTTGAAGAATTCTTATAGACTACCTACTGACTCCATACTTATGGCACTTGAGCGCAATATTAAGTATATTGATTCTATAAGATAGAGTTCTATACATCTACAGTTGTCTTTTTCTATGACGGCGCACATGCTTGTGGCCTAGCCTGTCATTGATTTACATTGTTTATATTATGAATGCGAGTGTTTTCGCTTCGGTGAGAACCAACCTGCGCAGCCGCAGCTCGCTTTACCGATTGCCCTTGTGTATCTTATCAAAATACTGCTATTTTCATTTTGATCCTCCATTTACACATGAAAAACCTTCATATTATCTGCGGATCTGGCTCTTATGTGATGCTCTACATTTATATACTCGTAGCTACTTGATATACGGGCAGGCAGCATACTAGTATTTCCACTTTTAAGTCCTTAGTGTCCCTAATACAGCAAAATATGAGTACATTTGAGCTGCGTTTTCTCAAGTTTAAGGCCGTTTTAGATAGTCAGAATAGCACCAAACGGTCGCCCTCATGTGGTAGTTACTTTCTGACACCTTTGCTCAACTTTTTGGGGAACAAAAAAAACATGGTCAAAAATCGACCAAAAAAGCATGAGATACCCCTCATGTTTTTCATCGAAAATCAAACGATTGCGTTTTTGACCTTCAAAATGAAGACTTTTATTATGACTTATGTTAATTCAAAATGCTTCCCTTGATCCAAAGCAACCTCTGAAACCACTTTTATGAGGTCTTCGTATACAAAATTTTGACATTTTGGTCTAAAACCTTATTTCATATTCTACCAAATTTCTCAGTAATTTCAGTCAAAATACTTATTACAATTAGCATCATTGGAAGCGCCTTGAAAAGTACTTCAAGAATGTATTAGGAAGCGTAGGGTGATCTTCACAATCGATATAGTCGAATCTCGCAAAAGAGTTCGATCAAGTCGAAAAAGGACGATATCTGACCAATCTTGAATAGAAAAAATAATCTGAGTTTAAATTAATTTTGGCGGCAGGCGTCGCTGCTGCTGGCTGGCCCAAATGTCTTTCTGATGATGACAATATCGCAAAAAAATCGTTGTAGATCTTACGCAAGTCCTGTATTTACCTATGGTCAGCTTTATGCCGCCATCTTATTAAGATAAGCAGCAGCATCGAATGGTACGACAATTCTACTAGTAGAAAATGGGGATTGTGATGTACAAATGCTGCATAAAACCTGAACTTTCTTTCACATCGTCTTAATAATAGGCTTCGTTTGATACCTCCCCTTCTCCTCTTCCTGGCTCTGATATAATCTTTCTTTTGCTAATAATTGATTGTTAAAATTTACTTGGTATACCAAAATTCTATTATATCTGATTTGAAATGTCTTCTGCGAGAGCCCGCAGGATGACGCCGACATTGAGCAGCGTAGCGAGATAGATCGGTTAATACAGTATATACTTTAATTGCTTTGACGAAAGCTTCAATACCGCTTGAATCAAGAATACACTCATACGACTAACTGATGAAAGTAACATGGCAAAAATAGATCGAACAAAGATAAAGGCATGCTATTCTATACAGATTACTTATCAAGCGCTGACTGTATCAGTAACATGTCAATTGCTGACCATTTGAGGTATATAGAGTGGGTAAATTCGATTAATGACAAACTTCAGGTACACAAATACTCCTGTGTTTGGCCTAATCAATGGTGCTATTGTCCTGAGCGATGGTGTGGATAGCAAATATTGATATCTACCATGCTGGAACTAAGCAATTCATGCTCCACTTAAGATCATCATTGAGATTTTCCAGCTTATAGTCCAGTGGGTGAATGATATCATATGAGAACATTTGTATGTCATTTTAAATCATGTATACAACCCCAAGGTGTTATGATTTCACTCATACAGCATTACTTGTTCATCTTCACGGAAAGAAACACAAAATGGAAGTTTCATTGTATACTATAACAGATGTTTTTTGCAGTGTGCCAATAGCACTTATAATCAGGTCTTTGTAAAAACTAAGAAATTTCTTTCAGAATGCGGCCAGGATAACATCAGAGAATGTAGATATTTATGTGAATGAATGAATGAATGAATGAATGAATGAATGAATGAATGAATGAACATCTGTACAGAATTATTATATCTATATTTAAAATGCTATACTTCTACATAGAAGCTTAGCCTCTTAGCGTACTTTGTTTGCTTGTGTGATATGAATTCGTTTGCTGTTACACGTACGATGATGCTGATCGGGGTAACTGATTCTGCGATGAGCCATCGTTTGATGCTACTGCCGCTGCTTCTGTGGATGTTGCTATTTTTAACTGCGGCGACGAAGAGGAATATACCATGTTACCAAGTGAATTACTACTGTTATGATTGTGCTTTACAAGGGAAAATGAGTGGTAATCAAAATGCTCAATAAAGCGACTTGTTTTGGGCTTCTTTGATGGCGGCTTTTCTTGTTGGCGTTCTTCTTGTACCGGCGTTAGTTTCGCAGTGGCAGCAGCAGGAAACAAATCAATGGGTGATAGACTTTTGATAGGTGATAGCACATAGGGATGTGTCTTGGATGATGCCTCAGCCATATTTGGAGTAGAATTATTTTGAAATCCTAGAATAAAGCAGATAATTTAATATAATTGGATTTGTTTGCGACCATACAAGTAATTTAATTGTGTACCTGGATTTGCTACTTCTTTGTTAGACATGGACGGAAACAGAGCCTTTCTATGTTTCTTGCCACCAGCACGCCCTAGCCTTTCACGGCTGCGCGTTCTTCTGATACAACACCATACAAACAAAATACAAAGAGCTATAAATAAAATACTTCCCATTACGGATCCCAGAATAATAGCCAGTTTATTGTCGCTGTCGGTACTGGACGTTTGCTCTTGTTGCATGATAGGATCAGAGGTGGATAGCCATACAGGTGGTGGCAGAAACTTTAATTCAGTTGTATTAAAAAATAGTATGTTTTCTTGCTGATCTGTTGTTGTTGCTGTCCCTCCATAAAAAACCGCCAAATCTGCGGCAATCAGTGTAACGGTGCCTCCCGAGACAGGTTTATACGATTGGGAGGAGGTCTGCATTCCATCTCTCTTTTGTTGACTTGACTTACTTCTGTCAATATTATTTATTATTATAGGTGTAATAGTGATATTGTTATAAAGCCATTTGGATACATCTAATCTCCAAAATGTGGTTTGGTCAGCTTGATCCTTTGTTGCTGTCTCGCTAGGGTTGAATCCATTTTGTGTAGCAATAGGTGAGGTTAAGGTTGGTAGAATGAGTAGAGAGTCCGACTCTTTGCTTGTAGGAGCCGAGGGTATCGCTTTGAGTGAATTAGTCGTTGTATTAAATGATGTGATGGTGCCAAGCCATAGAAATGTATAGGGATCGAAACAGTCTACAAATGTAATGTACTGATCTTGTCTCATCTCGGTTCGAAAATGCAAAATCCATCTCGACGTCGCATACAAGGCAGTATCCGAACTAGTTGATGCTGGAGGCGTCAGTGATGTCGCTTGCAGCTCATACCACACACCCAATGATGGATACCGTAAGTCGAGAATATATGTGAGCTGCGATTTGGTGTGATTTGCATCTTGTCCGCCTTGTATCAGGATGAAATCATTGAAGGATGTCACTGTAGGATTTGTCAAATATGTTGATCTATTGACAAATTTCTCAATTGCGGCTCGAGAACCACCAAATGTCATGTTTGTATCAGTTGTAGCCGTTAGATTTGGTGTTATAGTTTGTATTATTTGTATTGAGTCTTGTACCAAAACGACTTTGCCTGATCTTGTGATGGTACATGCAGGATCTGTGTTGATTTGGCGGCTTTGTTGTTGTTGTTGTTGTTGTGATATAATTTGAGGCGGATTTACGTAAATATCATCAGTATCAAAAGTGATGGATACATTTTTTGTAGCCCCTATAATGTATAAGGTGCTGTTCTTTGCAAACGCGCAATTGCTTTGATTCGGCAATCCCAGATCCTGGAGACCCAATGCATCTATCCTCTTTAACAGTATCAACAGGCACAACATCCACCACCACCATTTAAGTCTAATGACATGCATGATTCAGAAACGCAGGCGCTTTAGAGTGAAAGAGTAAAGAGAGAGTGAGAGAGTAAGAATAAGAGTAAGAAAGAAAGAGACAGAAGAAAAGAGAACAGAAAGCAAAAAAAAAAAAAATGGGATTACCACAAATCCATATTTGAAAGAAGAAAGCGCATTATTTATAGTAGTACTACTACAACAGACAAAAATAAATAGAAACAAATGTTGGCTTGTCTGTATATATCATTCGAGTGTACAAAATAGCTTTTCCTGGCTAATTTTTATTATAGCAAGCGCCCTCTTTATTTTTGATTTTGGATGCTCATTTGAAAGTGTTGTTGTATAGTTGGGTTTATATAAATTCAAGGTCGTTCAAGATGTTTTGATTTGACATTTTAACCGGCCTTATAGCTAAACAAATTAAAACAATGGGTCAGTCAACCATCCCAATACTCTCGCTATCTCTCTACACTTACAATTGCCAAGCAGCACCTATTCAATTGTTATAATAAAAGATAGATTAAGGTTCTTTAGTTAGAAAACGTCATTCTGTCGCAAAAAAGTAGCACAAATGCTGGATGTACTTACCAAGGAAAGGGGCACCGAAACCAAGACCCAAGTACAAGGTCATCTTGATAGCAAGACCAGCTCTGTTCTTGGTGTTGAAAGGAACGTTCTAATACAAATGTCGAAATTAACATCCGAGTTTGCAATGTTGCATGTAAAATTCATCATCAAATCCTTACTTGACCGTTAGCATTGGAGAAGTGGTAAAGATCAGAGCGAACCACTTGACGAGTAGAAGCACGCATGGCAGAACGAGCAAGGACGTTGGAGATCATTTGAAATTAATAAATAATGGGAGAGAGTGGGGTTAAAGAGAAGAGAGAAAACAAATTATGTGTTTGCGCGGACACAAAAAAAAAAACTATACACCATGGCAGGGTACTGAGACAGCCAAAATAGAGCCCCACACAGAGGTGTAATTGATATGGCTTCTGACATCATCAACATCATCGAAAGGAAGGTTCCAAATCAATAGCCAGCAGGGACATCCAATTCGCTATTTAGTCCGGGTATTTGAAAAAGATTAGGTTACATATGTTGACGATACCCGCAGAAGGAATTCTGGCCGGCATCGTACGATTTTTTTTCTCATTGCTACTCATGTTCATATCTCCATTTGCAACGCCTAGATCAAACATGTCATTTGCAAATCCAAAATCTTAGAGCTGCAGCTATAACTCAATCTCTGGCATAAAGCGCCATGATATTGAGATGATAATCCTAGAATTCATTCTAACAAATTGAGTAAGAAATAGGCTGACCCTTTCACTTGTTTTCGGTCAGACTTCGACGCTGAAGCAACATTTGAGGTGATGATTTGAGGTAAACAGTTAAATATGTGTCTTACAGTTTAGCTGATTTCTATGAGGACTCATGTTTCGCTCAAGATAAACTCTTTAAATAGAAAATAAAGCTTTCATGTTTAAATCAACCTCTAAAGATCAGACTTCGAACATTTCTTCATGTTGTTTATGAAGAATTGCCGATTTTGATGAGAAAATTTTTGATTGAGCGATTCTGATCCATTTATAGCCCCCCCCCAAAATGCTTGAGAAAAGTCGCTCAAGTTTTAATCCCGTACACCTTGCTATATTACAATGCTTCCAACGCTGAAACTGGAGTTGTAAGATAGGAATTAAGTCCATCAAGCATCACTCTATTCAACGGTTTATATCGCTGGCTACTAAAAAGATCCGATTTGAGACGCAGAAGTAGGCTTTTGAGGCGGCTTTATTATGGTGATTGTCGATCAAATGCGTTGCGAATATAAATTCGAATCCAAAGACGTAGCCCAAGCTCATCACATGGGCGCCATCATTATTTGCTTTAAGGTAATGCATTGGCATAAAGACCGTTGTTACATAAACATTGATCATTCAAACATGTATATACATATCAGTGATTTAATTATCGCTAATAATAGTTTATGGTATAAACCGGTAGACGCGTCGATTCGTATTTTATCGCGTACAACTCGGAATGAATGAATACTAGAATCCTCTACAACAAGGTACATTTTAAGTCGACATCTAAATATACTTGATACATATTACTCTTGAATCTCTTCCGATATACTACCTGATTACACCAAACAGAATAGCCGCGTCAGTTTTTCTCAGTGAATGGACTACATTAGTTCCCTTTGACTGACAAATTATTATATATTACTACAAGCAGCTTCAAATGCTGTTATTAATAGTCATGTTTTAGTGCAAAAGTCGTGTTCGCATGTATAACTTTTGCAGCTCAAATTAATTGCCATTTTCTGTAATAAATCTCAAGATAAACTCCAACAGGAAGCAGCCTGGATTGCGCTTGGTAAAGCTCAAACAGAGCATCAGTAATTAGTACACAAAGATATTGATTTGTGCAACTCAACGAGGAGAGCAGATCAAGAATAATGCATCCACGTTCATATATGATACTCGAGGTGGGTTTATTATCAATGCATGCGATCCTCATAGAAATTATCGCCAAAGATCAGTGTATTGCACCTTGTGCACAATAGTGTAACATTACGTGTTGTATTGTATAATCTTGTACAAGCTGAAGTGTAATAACCTCAGTTTAGAATAGCCTTTTAAAGGTGTATTATTCGTTCAAAATGTATCTATTCTTTATTTATAGTAATTTCCAGCTCGTCAATGAGTACATGCAATCTAAAGCACTCATTATCACAGTAATCGTTGGGTTAACGTTCAAGCAGTTGACGCGGACCTCGGGCTCATTCAAATATTAAGTAATATAAATCTGTTAAGCTAAAAGAGCTATTTATATACGACGAAATGATAAAGAGAAATCAACAAGAAAACCGAGAAAGAGGAATGAAAAAACAAGATTATGGTACCTCTTCAATTGCAACTGTGAGACTTACTTTATATACGAATTGGACATCAATGCCAAGGTATGTGTACTCATATTTTTGGTAGGTAAAACTTTAAACCTGTTACAGAAGAACGAGTTACACATCTGCGATGAAGCCTTTGGAAGATGCTGATTTGTGATCTCTTTACTATCATGCTCCATTTCCTTTGATCTACCCCTTAAAAAAACAAGTCGTCATATAGTCTACAATGGATAAAACAAGGTGGCTTTCCTACAAAAGTAATACTTCCTCACAGGCACGCACGGCAAGAATCCTCCCCTCGTTCTTTATCCTTAAATTGGACAGATTATCAGAATAAGGTAAGGCTCTCTTTAATGGAAATATTATAAAAAAAGATTGTAGTTTCACAAACTAAATTATATAACGAAAATGGCGAATTAAACCAATTCCCGCTTTTTAATGTCAAATGTGATGTCCCTCATATAAAAAGAACATCATCTCTCCTTCAACATCTAGTACTTTGTTTATTCCATATACACCCATTTACATTCATTTTTAAACTTCTTATTCACCCATCAATCGCTCCTTCCTAAAAAAAAATGTATATCAAAATCTCTGCTATTGCAGTCGCTGTTCTTCAAGTCTCTAGCTTTGTTCAAGCTGCCACTTCCACCAAATCCGCCTCTACATCAACTGCATCAACATTGGCAAAGCCTCAAGATTACTGGAAGAGCTTTAAGTCTTTAGTTGACCCTTTGAACATTACTATTGAGGCAATTCCTCAAACTACATCCAATGATCCTTCCGTTGAATGTACTTACTATCAACCTCCTTCCAACTTCAAGTTCAACGAGAAGGAATGGCCCACACTCTGGGAAACTGCTACCTCTAACGGTATGACCAACACTGCCGAGTTCAAGGCTCTCTACAACTCCATTGACTGGACTAAGGCCCCCAACATCACCGTTCGCAAGTTGAACTCTGATGGTTCCATCAACATGAGTGGTTACGATCAAGCCAAGGACCCCGATTGTTGGTGGTCTGCTTCCACTTGTACCAAGCCCAAGCTCGAGGGCGTTAATGAGGATATCTACACTTGTCCTGAGCCCGAGACTTGGGGTCTTACCTATGATGATGGTCCCAACTGTTCTCACAATGCTTTCTATGACTACCTCGAAGCTGAGAAGATCAAGGCTTCCATGTTCTACATTGGTTCCAACGTTGTTAACTGGCCCTACGGTGCTCAACGTGGTCAAAAGGCTGGCCATCACATTGCTGATCACACCTGGTCTCATCAATTGATGACTACTCTTACCAACACTGAGGTTTTGGCTGAACTCTACTATACTCAAAAGGCCATCAAGATGGTTACTGGTGTCACCCCTATTCACTGGCGTCCCGTAAGTTGATTAGTCTAAAACGCAATGCATTTTCTGTATTCTGGAGACTAACCCCCTACTTCTTTTTATCGCTAGGCTTTCGGTGATGTTGATGATCGTGTTCGTTGGATTGCCACTCAACTCGGTCTGACTACTATTCTCTGGAACTTGGATACTGATGATTGGGCTGCTGGTACTTCTGAAACTTTGGATACTGTCAAGAAGACTTATGAAGATTTCGTTGAAATGGGTTCTAACGGTACTTTCAAGAACAGTGGTCAAATCGTCTTGACTCACGAAATTGATAACACCACCATGACTCTTGCTATGGAATTCTTGCCCAAGATCAGAGCTGCTTACAAGAACGTTCTTGATGTCGCCACCTGTATGAACATCACCAACCCTTACCACGAATCCACTGTCACCATTGCTGCTTTCAACGCCACCGGTGCTACTAGCTCTGTCGCCGCTGCCTCATCTACTGCTTCCGCCGCTGCTGCTTCTGTTTCATCTGCTGCTGCTCCTGCTGTTTCCCAAGCTGCCTCTGCTGCTGCTGTTGTCAACAACGCTAGTGCCACCTCTGCTGGTGTCCAAGTTGGCCCCAATGCTTTGCTCATGGCTGTCTTTGCCGTTGCTGCTTACATTTTCTAAATTGCTTATAAGCGATAACTTATAAACTTCTCATATCCTGTGTAATAAAAGAAAACTGTAATCTGCTCCATACTTATAATATTTATCTACATCCATAGACTGTTCATTAAAGCAACTATTATGCTCTTAATAAAATTTAAAGTTAACCCCAATATAACATTGTGCTACATTGATCTATGTCGAAACACATGTCGTTTGACTGAGAATCTGTATTACACTTAACAACTGTGCCAGGGTACTCCTCTGACTACTGCATATAGACTCTTCCCTTTAAGTGTCTGTTGATAAGATGGCGTCGCAGTTAACGTGTGGTTTTGGCTATGCGCTGAAGCAAATGCAGAAATGTTGATGATGCTTTCTATTACCTGATCTGCGAACACTGTGAGTGCCGATATCTAATAATTAGATTTTAATCCCTATAGATCTGCATTAATTTATTTACAAAGTCAAGCAAAACGACTTCTGTCAGAAAAGCTTATTTTTAAAGCAGTGGAGTGGCATTCAAACATGTGGCATTAGGCTCGACTTTGAATACGCAATTCGCCACAATACAACCTATGGGATTAAAAATGTACAGAAAAGATTATAGGCAGGTATCCTGGCTAAGCTTTTAATACTTTTGATTAGCAAATTTCATCTCAATAGCATCACAAACATCGATAGTTTTCATGAAAAAGTATATTGTCATCAAGCAGCAGCCAAATTAAATTTAAGCTCAGATTCACACATTTTGTTCTGATTTGTTACATATCAATCAACTTTCGATTTGTTTGATTTATTTTCAAGAATTCGACTATATAAAAAGTGATAATTACCCCCATGCTCTTTTATGCTTTTTAAGAGTACTTTTTAAGACGCATCTAATGGTGCTAATTATAAATAATGTTTTAAGTAAACTTACTGAGCAATACCTGAAGATAGGAAATGAGGTTTTTGGCCAGAATGTCGAGATTTTACATATAAATATCCAACAAACAAGTTTTCAGAGTCTGCTTTTGATCGATAGAAACATTTTCATATAATATATGCTATAGTAGAAGTCTTCATTTTCAAGATGAAAAATGCAATCGTTTGATTTTTGGTGAAAATCATGGGTGATACCTCATGGTTTTTGGTCGAATTTTGGCCATTTTTTTTTAGGTCCTAAAAAAGTTGAGCAAAGGTGTCAGTAAGCAAGTGCTAAATGAAAGCAACTGTTTGGTACTATTTTGGCAGCCTAAAACGGCTTGTGGCACTAGAAAACACGACTCAAATATACCAAATGTCGCGCATTTTGAGGTAGTAAGAGGCATTGCTAGCATGCTATCTGCTCTTACATGCATTGTTCCCATCTTACATACATATGACATCGCAAGAGAGTCAGGTTCACTACCACAGGCCATCTATAAAGGGGCTTCAAGCAATAGTGGAGAGTTGGATAGTGGAATGTCAGAGAATATTATTAGAATGAGCTACGCTAAACTATTTAACCGAAGCACGCCAAAATTCGAAAGGTACAAATCATTCTGCGCATGTTGACAAGAGGCAAAACAGAGAGATGGGCATATATATACAAAGCGCATTGTCAAGAAATTAAAAGTAAAATCATACGACAAATCAGAACAAGAGCAAACGTGGTCTGAATATGATTCAGTGGTCCATAATGTTGATTGAATAGAACATTCATGCAATCCACCATTATTTGAAAGAAGGCGGGGACACTTGCCCAACCATCTGCAATCTGGATGTCAATAAATGCATAGACCATGACATAAGGGAATATGAAGATGATACAGTCCAACGTCCCAAAAGAACTAGACACTCTGAAATGCTTACTCCATAATAAGAGAGGGTATACTCAACAGGGCCAGGGCCATCATGAAATCAGCGGCATTTCATTTTCATCAGCACTGAGTTATTCAGCAACATTGTTTCCTAGCCAACGAATGCGGGCGCGTGGTGGAGATGTGATTAGCAGTGGTTCGCTTTAAATGAAAACGAGAGAACACAATACACAACTTTGTGGTAACGGATCCCTTACAGTCACAAAACTCTGTATTTGTATACTATTTTTTTTCCCTTTCAAACAGCATTTCATTCCTTTCTTCCCTGCAAATCATCACTCTACACGACCCACATGAAGGTAAGGGAATCAAAGCCTAGAAGGGTAGATGTGTTGCTCATCAAAAGCAGTTTGGAAAACAAATCCAAAGCCAACAATTTACAGAATGGAGTCCGTATTATCTCGACTACAAAGGCCTGAAAAAGTTTATTAGTTCTCTGTTAAACACACCAGCAGATAGCTTAAAGGCTTTGGGATTACCGCCTATCGGTATTGAAGAGGATCGTGCCAAACTGTTGCAGTCTCAGAAAGCTGCCTTCTTTTTCAAGCTGGAGCGTGAGCTCGAAAAGGTAGGTTTGTCCATTCCCTTTTATGCGCACGGATCTCTCATCCAATGTATACGCAGATCAATTCATTTTATCTTCAAAAAGAGAATGAGCTCAAAGTGAGATTAAGGACCTTGATTGACAAGAAGAAGGTGCTTCAATCAGACACACGCCGACTCAAACACGCATCCACACTCTTCAAAGCCATCCAAGAAGCATTTGTGCAATTTGAACAAGAGTTGACAAAGATCCAGGTAACTCATAGATACAGACTTGGCAGCTCAGCGCAGACCGAGGTATTGATACCGCCTTATTAGAAATATGTCGAATTGAACAATGAAGGGTTCCGAAAGATCTTGAAGAAATGGGACAAGCGATCCAAATCGTCAACCAAGGAGCTTTATCTCTCACGTCAAATCGACATTCAGCCTTGTTTCAATACGCAAGTTTTGTGCGAATTATCCGACATGGCATCTGCCAACCGCATTGAGCTTTCCAATATCCAGGAAGGCATACCCATCAGCCCTGTGTCCAGCACACACAACAACAATGCAGATAGCACTCAGTTTGCCAACAGTGGTGATGAAATTGACGATGTTGAATTGGAACTTGTAAAGGCAGTGTCCAGCAATCAAGGCTCACTGGTACGAGAGATTTTGACCCGCATTATGCAAAACCCATCACCTGAAGATCATGGTCGACTCACGCGTGTATTCTGGCATGCTTGTTCAGAAGCACCCAAGGAGATCACAGACATGTTGATTGAAACACAGCTTGTCAATTTTGAATATGTAGATGATATCATTGAGCGATCATGTCTGCATGTAGCTGCCATGAATGGCAAATTAGATTTACTAGAGATTTGCACCAAGCATGGGGCTAATGTCGAAGCAACAGATGCGTATGGAAGAACTGCACTCCACTACGCCACGATGAATGGCTTTACCGACTGCGTCTCCTTCTTGCTCACTCGCCAAACTGATATCGAATGTCGTGACCATGATGGTTTTAGTCCCTTGATCTATGCTATCATGAATGGCCATACACCTTGCGTAGAAATATTGATTCAAGCAAAGGCCAATATCGAGCCTCGCCATGAAGGTGATCACATTCCATTGTCGCTGGCCTGTCATTTTGGACACACAGATATTGCTCTCATGTTGTATAACCAAGGCGCCAAGAACTTACCTAATGCTGAATCGCTGTATCCACTTCATCTCGCTGCGCGTCAAGGCCATGCTGAGTTGTGTCGTGTGCTCTCACAGAACAAGCAAGATCTCGATAAGCCTGACAAATACAATACATGGACGCCCCTCTTTTGGGCTGCCAATGATGGACATGTCGACTGTGTTCGCATTTTGATCAATGCTGGCTGTAAGGTAAATGCAAAGGATGAGAATGGGAAAACTGCTCTCTACTATGCTGCGTGGGAGGGCCACATGGACTGTGTTCAGCTGTTGTTGGACGCTGGCTGCGAGGTTGAGCCTGTTACTGAAATCATAAGCGCTTCTGCTCCTCAAAGCCCACCTACTGCCAAAACTACTGAAGAAGACGACATGGAGCTGGACGTGATACCCTCCTTGTCTCTGCCTCCGCCCATCATCCCCTTCCGCATTTATGGCCACAACTATTTGGACCGCAAATACCAAATTCAAATCAGTCTTCGTCAGCCACCTATTCGCCTCTACGACAATGCTCAGATCTCTTCATTGCGCTTGATCATCTCCTCCAAGCCAGATACAGGCATGATTCCCCACAGCGTTATTCTCCCGCTGGTCGATGATAGGGACGTCTTCAACTTTCAAGTGGACAAACTGGATGATTTTCTGTTGGAGTTTGATATATTGGCTACATTTGGCTCCAAGGTATTGGGACGCGGCGTTGCTCTACCTCAGTCGTTCTCTTTGGTTGATTTCAAGATTGCAGAGGGTCATCGCACCATTCCTTTGCTCGATGGCCATCTCAAGGTGATTGGTGAGCTTTCTTATGATTATTCTGTGATCAACCCATTTCGTGGTGTCCAACTGGAAATTGGTGGTCGTATCGAAACCTACTGGAAATCTACAAATACCGTGCTGCCTGCTCCTGTGACAAATGGCATTGAGGTCAGCTCCACTGAAGCAACTGTAGAATCTTCATCGGCAGCCACCACCACCACCACTGCTACTACTACCCTAACCACCACTACCGTTTCTACCGCCACCACTACGCCTACAATCAATACTAACATTCAACCCGCCAATGCCAATGCCAATGCTGCTACAACAACAACCAGCTCTCTTTCGTCAACTGTACCTTCCTTTATCACTGCTTCCTCCTTGTCAGGCGATTATGTCCAGGTAGTCATCCAGCTTACCAAGGATCTTGTGCCTGTCGTGTTCTCCAACTGGCTTGTGCCATTCCAAGGCTTGGACTTGGCCGTTTCCGACTTGACATTGAAGCAGTTTCTTCGTATTGGCGAAAGCATACTCAAGGACAACCAGCCTTATTCACCCAACAATACAGACGACATATGCCCCATCACAGGAAACAGTTTTATCATTCAAAAACTCAACAATTACAAATCATTCCTCTCCCTCGAACAGGTGCTGGAGGTAAGTGTTTGTAAGCGTGGTTGTGTGTGCTCTTCACTGATCGTATTAACCACAGAAACTCCCATTGACTATGGGACTCCACCTTGAACTGAAATACCCTTCTCCTTGCGATCAAAACTTATACTCATTCACTAATATAGCTGGACGAAACACATTTGTAGATACTATCCTTCAATGCATCTATGATCATGTTCGTTCTCTCTCGCCTGACACAGCCAGTCGAAGCTTATTCTTCTCATCCTATAATCCAGCCATCTGCATGGTGGTTAATTGGAAACAACCTAATTGTAAGTAGGCATGCTATCATCAAACGAACGGATTTCCTAATGCCATGTCTAGATGCCGTATTCTTTGGTACATATTGCGGGCTCAATATGCATCGAGGTTTCAAGCGTCGTTCAACTGATGATGATGATGCTAGTGAAGACAATGCAAGTCAATCCACAACTGTATATAAAAATGACGATGTGCGATGTTCTTCATTAAAAGAAGCTGTCAAATTCGCCAAGCAAAACAATTTGTTGGGCGTGATTTGCGGTGCACAGACGATTGTACAGGTACCTTCACTTATCAAGACTGCCAAGGAAAGTGGGTTGATTTTAGTCACTGCTGGCAAGGTCAATTCAGATATAAGATACCGTCATATTCAGGAACGCTATGGTGTGGATGCCATGATGATCAATCAAGTGGTTCATTTCAACATGTCCATGGCTGGTGCTGGATTCTAAAGATATTTACTACTACTATACAAATATATATGCCCTCATTCCCTTTATAAATAAATCACAATTACATCAACCTATGCAAATTATATCGGCAGGAACAATCGAGTAACGAAACCTTGTTTGATGCAATAGTGATGGATACATTACTTGCAATGTACATTTATACCAAAACCAAGCAGATGTTTCGCCATTTCCCATGCCTCTCACACATTCAGAACTCGCGATCTCTGATGCCTCTCATCTACACATAAGATATGCCAACCTCGCGTCTATTATACTATGATGAAAAAAGTGCAATAAAATGGTTTTATTTCGTTTGTAGAGGTACAAGTAGTTGTAAATGGATTCCACGAGACTCAAACACCTTAGACGACGGTACCAGAGGCGGAAGCAATACGGGGCCACAAATCGGCACACTCCTTGGCAACAGGACCAGTGATGGCAGAACTATATACATAAGATTAAGTTGACATATCCAACCAACATCTCATTCACTTGACTTACCCCTTCATTTCACCCTTAGGGTTAACAATGACACCAGCGTTATCCTCAAAGTAAAGGAAAACACCGTCTCTACGGCGCCAGGCCTTGCGTTGACGGATGACAACAGCAGCCATAACCTTCTTTCTCAACTCGGGCTTACCCTTCTTGACGGTAGCGACAACCATGTCACCACAACCAGCAGCAGGAAGTCTGTTCAAACGACCCTTGATGTTACGGACAGCAATGACGTACAAGTTCTTGGCACCAGAGTTATCGGCACAATTCATGACGGCACCAACGGGCAAACCGAGAGTCATACGGTACTTAGTTCCGGAAACGCTAACTAGAAACCAAGATGTTAGTTTTTGGAAAGTTTCTTCTAGACGACATGGCTGACAAAAGACTCGAGATGATGACCAGAAAAGATGATGACCACATGAAATAACCCTTCGCCATGCTTGCATTCGTTCGCTCTATTCATTGCTAGCATTCATTTCTTGCTAATGAATGAAAAAGTTGAAAGTTGACATAAAATGACACTTTTTTTTTCCCTCCACCAAATATGAGAAAAAGAAAAGATCCATCCATCGCTATTCATCCATGTTGTAGTCATCCAGTTGATCATCCAAGCCATCATCTCATTCATCTTTTGCCATGACCTTGTGTTTTCGTATGAGACATGTATACTTTACCCTTAGGCATTATGCAGAAATATAGAGAGAGAGGAGGATTGAACCATTTGCAAGATAATTTTACCTCTTTACCCACTTTCCCAAATGAAAAAAAAAAAAAATCAGACTATAATTTGGATCTCCCCGGGTCAAATCAGACTTTATTTACATTACCGGACCGCACAGGAGGACATCAAACTACATCAAATCCGCCAGTGTTACTCTTGATCGTGGTAGATGCGATGGAGGTGGTGCCTGGTGCTTCACTGGTGCTGATGATTGCTCAGCCAAGTCAGACAACTTCAAATTGGGTTGATAGGATGTGTGGATTATGTCTGAAAGTTTTACTACAATCTCTATAGGCTCTTTGTATGTTGTAAGCTGAGAATTGTTTTGTTCGATTCTGATACATGGAGTTTCTCTTCCATGGACATTTACTTTCAGCTCTTGCTTACTACAAACAACATTTCGTTGATCCTGCTCCTTCTTCGCCATGCTATTCACTTCTCGCTCTTGCATGACATATACACCACTCCTTTCCTCTTTCAGCTTGTCATTCATCATACTGACCGTTTTCTCTTCTTGATCACCATCGACAAGCTTTAGTTCCTCAGTAATCTTATCTTGTACATTGTCAGTAACCTCTGACTCTGGCGAATCTGATAATTTGATACAATTTTTGTCATTTTTCTTCAAATCAGCAATTTGTGTATAGCCTTGGCTAGTAGCTTGGTACTCTTGAGCAACGACTTCAGCCTCTACTTTGTTTCCATATACTATTACTGGATCGACTGTTTCTGTCATACTTCCAAGGATTTCATCGATTTTGATGACATTGAGATAATCTAAGCTTGAAGTGAGAAAGGCCATTCTGTGGGCGCATAATGGCTTTACCTTGGCCGTTTAGTTGGTCTTGCTTGCTTGGACTTACTACTGTTGGGGTGGCGCAACCACAATGTTGTTGGATTCATACTCATTGATATACTCTACATGGCATTTATCAGTCTAATGTCTCTAGGGATTGAGTTCTATCATACCTTTGTCTTCATCTTGCTCACTAATTGTAGACAAAACTGCGGAGAGTGTTGCAGTTCTTGAAGAGGAGGCTACTGAAGCTTGGAATTGACTCCAAAATGATGTCTGTGGTTCATCATCTTCAGGTGCGTGTGGTTCCAGGTCTGCTTCAGTTATCATGCCTTTCAGTGCTTCACAACAGGCTTCAGGCCTCACCCAGAAATCGTTTATTGGATTCATTCTGCGGAGGATGTACAAACTTCCAGTCTTTACATACTCTTGAGTAGCCCAAGGATTACCTGAGTTGTTGAATGAAAAATCATTCTTTGAAGCAGAATCAGCCCGTACATACTGACGCCATGGACTTGATGTTGTTGATAACGATTCGCAGCTTGTTGGTAATGACCGAGCTTGACGTCTGTGCTTCTGTCCATAATCTTTCCACATGGGATCCTGACACAATGACATATCAGCATCTCTGAATGGCAACTTGCCTTGGACCTTAGAATCCTCTCCAGAGCGAAATGTATAGTTGTCTTTACCAATATCCCACCACAGCTCTGTAACAGTCTTCATGCCGTTCTTGTTGTCGTCTAGAAACTCGCTCCAAGGTGCTACACATCTTTGGCTAGTAGCTGGTTTCATGCTTCTGTTGCGTTTTACGTGAAGAGGTATCAAATCGCCCATCTTGCTTGCTGTATCAGTTTGAAGAAAAAAGAGGAAAGAAAGAGGAAAGAAAGAGGAAAGAGAATCATCTCAACCGCTTGTTATATGCATTTTTTTTTCTGTTGTTATTTCCACAGCAATGCTTTCCATTGATAAATACTACAAAAAACTTGCTTTTCAAACAAGCTATAGGCAAGTTTTTAGACCCTGTTTTCAGGTTTTTGGATACTTTTTTTTTAGTGTATTAGAGCCACCAGGAGGAGGAGAGGAGATATCTCCGTTAGCATCGTTTTTGCTTACACTGATATCAAACGAAGCCTATTATTGGGTCAATGTGAAAGAAAATTCAAGTTTTATGCAGCATTTGTACACCACAATTCCCATTTTCTGATAGTAGAATTGTCGTACCATTAGATGCTGCTGCTTCTTTTAATAAGATGGCGGCACAAAGCTGACCATAAGTAAATACAGGACTTGTGTAAAATCTAAAGCGACTTTTGAGATATTGTCATTGCAAAAGACATCTTCATGTGGCGAAGCTCCCCAAAAAATTGTTTGCGCTAAGTAACTGTCTTTTCGATTCCATGGTTCCCGTTTAATCAGCATCGCAATCATCATTGTCATCAATAGAAAGACATTTAGGTCAGCCAGCAGCAATGCCGACGCCAAAACCGATTCAAACTCAGTTTATTTTTTTCTGTTCAAGATTGGACAGATATTGTCTTTTTTCGACTTCTTTAATTTTTTTTGCGATATTCGACTATATAAACTTTGATGATCACCCTACGCTTCCTAGTACATCCTTGAAGTGCTTTTCAAGGCGCTTCTAATGGTGCTAATTGTAATAGGTGTTTTGAATGAAATTACTGAGAAATTTGGTAAAATATGAAATGAGGTTTTTAGCGAAAATAACCATATTTTGCATATGAAAACCTCATAAAAGTGGTTTCAGAGGTTGCTTTGGATTGAGAGAAACATTTTGATTTGATATATACCATAGCAAAAGTCTTTATTTTCAAGGTGAAAAAAGCGATCGTTTGATTTTCGATGAAAACCATGAGGGGTACCTCATGCTTTTTGATCAATTTTTGGCCATGTTTTGTAGGCCTTCAAAAAGTTGAGCAAAGGTGTCAGGAAGTTACTACTACTCAAGTACAACTGTTTGGCGTTATTCCTGTGGCTCATAAAGGCCTACATGTCAAGATATGAAGGCTTGAAAGCTGTCAAATTTGGTTATGTATTGCTTTATAAAGTTTATTTACACGGCATGAATCACAGCTTTAATAGCTAACTTCTTCTGGACGGGCAGTTCTGTAGCCTGTGCAACTTCTAATTCGAACAGGAGGCATATTGGTTTTGGTAGAGCTGATTCATGCAAATTTTGATGCGATATGTTGCTGGTAAGCTTATTTACAATGGAAATGAAAAACCGAATTTGCTGCTGAATACTGTGGTTTTGAACCTTCGCTTCGTTGCGATTAAGCCCTCATATAGATCAATATTATCAAGTGTTGAGTTAGTTGCATTATTACGTTCTTGTATATATAATGATAGACCACATCTTTGACATCGATGGCACCTTGAAAGCATGTTTAGTTTGCTGTTCGAGTTTTCATGATTCATCAATGCAGTAAATATGCTGAATACGATTTTCTGAATACCGCAATGCATAATCTTTTGATCTACATCGATCTCCACCGAGCAATCATTTGAACAACATTTGATATGATTGTAGATCGACTGAAAGAGATAAAATGTCCATCTGATTCATAACATGTACAACACGCCAAGGAGTGCAACAATGTGTAGTACTGGTGCTGCTCATATATTGCTTGCTGGGGAGCTTAGCTTTCATCTTACAGACAATCCACTTAAATTATTAAGTGAGCTATGAATAATGCTTACTTTTGCTCAACGTAGAGGCTAATAAAAAAACAAAATGTGTACAACTGAGGAGGTGGTATTGACTCGAATTAATGAATTAATGCTGTATTCCCCTCTATTCCTCCTTAGAGCGTGTGTATTTGAGGGGGTTCTCATAAATGTCTAATTTTTATGTGCAACATGTAGCCACTTTTGTGTTTGCACAACTATATAAATAGTGTGTCTTATCTGAATAAATAGAAAAAAGGCGCATCTCTTCCTTTTATTCTCTTTTATTCTCATTTCCTGTAAATAGCAGCTATTTCGCCCTTACAAGCAACACTAGAAGATATCAATTGACTTGCTATACAACACTTGAATTGTTGAAAAGCACTCGTTTTCTCCATAGATCTCTTATGAGTAGCCTGCTTCCAAATTAAGAAATTAAATGGCTCATTATCAACAACAACAACAACAGCAGCAACGCTCACAGTTGAATGAAAATATCCCTTTAACATCGATACCACCATCAGAAAAGACATGGAAAGATGAAATTCCGTCTGACTTGGAAATGTATCTCGATACAAAACCACTATTTGGACTGACAGATGCTCAAGTGTCTGAAAGATTAGCAAAGTTTGGCAAAAATGAACTGCAAGAGCATAAGCGAAGCAAAATTAAGCACTTTTTATCATTTTGTAAGTGTGAGTATGCTGAAACAGTTGATGGTCTCTAACAACATTTCATCCAGTCACCGGAGCAATTGCTTATCTGATGGAAATCTCCATCATCCTCACTGCTGTTACCCAGGATTGGGTTGACTTCGGTATTATTCTAGCCATGCTTATCATCAATGCATTGATTGGTTACAGCGAGGAAGCCAAAGCAGACTCGGCTGTAGCTGCACTCAAGAATAGCTTGGCACTTCATACCAGATGTTGGCGAAATGGGCAATTGATTGAAATCAATGCAACAGAAATCGTCGTTGGCGATGTGATTGTGATACGTCTGGGCGATATTGTTCCCGCCGATGTGCGGCTGTTGGGTATTGGTGCCACGGGTGAAGCGATTGATGGCGATTTGCAAATAGATCAAAGTGCTCTCACTGGCGAGTCTTTGCCTATTCGTAAGCGCAAAGGCGATCTAGTGTACTCGTCGAGTACAGTCAAGCAAGGCCAGCAATTAAGCATTGTTGTGCGCACTGGTGCTGATACTTTTATTGGAAAGGCTGCCAACTTGATCTCCATTACTACAGACGCTGGTCATTTCCAAAAGGTTGTAAACTACATTGGTAACTTTTTGATTGCGCTTTCGGTCTTGCTAGTGATTATCATCTTTATCTATGATTTGGTTGAAAAGAAGGTGAAAACTGGCACTGTAACCAAAGATGATGCATTGGAAGCCTTAAAAGAGATGGTTGTGCTCACAATTGCAGCGTAAGTAGCCCTAAAATGTAGGCATTTCCATGGATTACTCACACCCTGCATGTTTATTAGTATACCCGTGGGGCTGCCGACTGTCATGTCGGTCACCATGGCTATTGGAGCCAAGCAGTTGGCAAAGAAACAAGTGATTGTAAAGCGCCTTACTGCAGTTGAGGAGTTGGCTTCCGTGTCCATTCTGTGCAGTGACAAGACTGGTACACTGACATTGAACGAACTCACATTTGATGAGCCTTATCTTGCTACATCATACACCAAGAATGATATACTATTGTACGCGTATCTTTCTTCTGAGCCTGCCACAAGTGACCCTATCGAATTTGCTATCCGCACAGCTGCTATCAAGGATCACCCTCAGATTACTGGAGAAAAGCACGAGGTGTTTGGCTACAAGGTCAAATCATTTAGACCCTTTGACCCTACAGAGAAAATGTCTCGAGCCACCATCCTGGACCACAGCAATCAATCCACATTCAAGGTAGCCAAAGGGGCCCCTCAAGTCATTTTAGACTTAGTCAAACAGCATGGTGGTGGTACTATGGACGTGGCTGAAGGCATAGTCGTGGAATTTGCCAATCGAGGACTGCGTGCACTAGGTGTTGCAAGAACTAAGCCCAAGTCCATGCTGGATGACACAGATGAAGAATGGGAGTTAGTTGGTATTTTTAGCTTGATTGATCCGCCTCGTCATGACTCTGCTGAAACGATCAAAGACTGTAACGACTATGGTATCTCTGTAAAGATGATCACAGGCGACCAAACCATCATTGCCAAAGAAGTTGCTCAGCGTTTGGACATGGGCCAAGATATCTTGGATGCCAATTGCTTGGTAGACCCTTCTCAGACAGATGATCAGGTTGCGGAAAAGTGTCTGCAGGTGGACGGCTTTGCTCGCGTTATTCCAGAGCATAAATACAGAGTGGTTGAGCTCTTGCAAAACAAGGGCTACTTTGTCGCCATGACAGGTGACGGTGTGAATGATGCTCCTGCTCTAAAGAAGGCCAATGTTGGTATTGCAGTTCATGGAAGTACAGATGCTGCTCGCACCGCTTCAGACATTGTTCTGCTGGCTCCCGGTTTAGCAGCTATCATTGACGGAATCAAAACATCCAGAGCCATTTTCCAGCGCTTGCAGTCTTACGCACTGTACAGAATTGCTTCAACTATCCATTTTCTGATTTTTTTCTTTGTCATCACATTGGCTGAAGACTGGTCTATGCCTCCTATTTTCTTGATCTTGATTTCTGTCCTAAATGATGCTGCTACCATGATCATGACAGTCGATAACGTTACCATCTCAAAGAGGCCGAATGTTTGGCGTCTTCGTTTGTTAGTGGTGCTTTCAACTGTGTTAGCTTTATTCTTGTCACTGTTCTCGTTTGCCCACTTTTACATTTTCCGAGACGTCCTGAAAGTTACTGAAGGCCAACTTTATACAATCATGTATTTGCATATTTCATGTGGTATGATGGTAGTTTGATACGTTGAATCATCATCTTGTTCTAACTCTGGCAATAGCTCCTCACTTTATCATCTTTTCAACTCGCATTGAGGATTTCTGTTGGAAGAGTGTCCCGTCTTGGCCCTTCACCGTGGTAGTGTTAGGTACACAGGTCATTGCCTTGATTTTATCCGTTTATGGCGTTGTGGGTGATGCTCGAGTCGAAGGAATCGGTTGGGTTCGTGGCATTATTATCATTGCTATTGCTTTAGTTACATTTGTGTTGGTAGATCTAGTTAAAGTGGCTACCATTCGTTTATGGAACAAACACCATAGCTACAGCAATATCATCAAGAAGAAGCCCACCGTATCATTGAAAAAGTTCAAGCAAAAGACCAAACCAACCCGAGCTCAAAAGTTCATTCAGGATCAACATCAAAATTCGCATTCTGGATCATCAGAACAGCAGATTTACTATTAGGAAGAATAAAGCAGAAGCGTTCTTTTTTTTATAAAGTATCTGTAACCATCTCTAGGCTTCCGTTTTGCAAGCACTCGAATACGTAGAAAGCTATTTCTGTGGTTTATAACAGATAGGTTCGATATGCACTGAGGTTTTGCTTTCCAGCCCTTCACAGTCATGTAAAACTCGGCCATCAGCAACCTGTATATGTGGACCTGATTTCTCTACGGCGATTTACATCTGGCTCAATAAAACAGCTCATATATAGACAGACAGCACACTTGCACTGACGCTTACGATCCAAAAATATGCAAAACACAGCGAAAATTGGATGCATTTGAACTGTGCTTTCTCGTATTAGAAGCCGTTTTAAGTGCCAGAATAGCACCAAACACTTGCTCTTAGCTAGTAGTTACCTTTTGACACCATTGCTCAACTTTTTAGAGACCAAGAAGACATAGCCAAAAATCAACCAAAAAGCATGAGGGATACCTCATGGTTTTCATCGAAAATCAAACGATCGCATTTTTCATCCCAAAAATGAAGACTTTTCCTATAGTATATATTAAATCAAAATGATTGTATCGATCCAAGGCAACCCTTGAAATCACTTTGATGAGGTGTTCATATGCAAAATATGGCTATTTTCGCCAAAAACCTTATTTCATATTTTTTAAAATTGCTCAATGAGTTCATTCAAAACAGATTGTTTATTTAGCTCCATCGAATGCGCCTTGAAAAGTACTTCTAGGGAGCTTAATGGAGTATAGCGAGATTATTACGACTTATATAGTCAAATATGGCAAAGCAGATTGTTCAAGTCGCATTTGGATCACAATTTTGCCATTTCGAGCAAAAAACAAATAATCGGAATGTCAATTATTCTGGCTGGCAAAATGTCTTTCTTGCAGACAGCCAGTGTTTGCAAAGCTACTTATTATTAGAAGGGGATTGCAAATGAAAAAGCGCTATAGCTTAGCCTGGATACTTTCCATTGCTGGGCACATTTCTATATTCGTCAGATAGTTCTAGTAGTCGCTGTGAATTGCATAATCAAAGAGTTAATAACTGCCGTACATGATTCCACATGGTTGAGCTGTATATTTACTGCAATGCGAGAGAGTCTATAACACGGTAACCTACGAACGGGAGACAGACTGTAAGTACTGCTATCTATGCCAAGCTGCAATGCTCATGGCTTCATCTGTCAAGTATAATAATTTGTAATTTATTATTAATTTTGTCTGCCAGAGCAACTATCCCACAGTGATGGTGAGATGGCATATTAATGCAAGATCTAATAATTCGAAAAATGATAATTTAAAAAAAGAAAAAATTACATGATATTTACATAAGGTTATAGTGGTTGATGGAAAAGTAGTAAATGATATCTAGTTGTGGAAAGCGTCTCTCCAAGACTTCAAATTTGATGGAATACGCTTCCAAGTAGAAGGCTTGAACACGCTGACACCTTCAAGTGGATCGTTCTTCTTGTCATTATCGTCATCAAAATTATGTCCCCTACAAAAGAAAAAGTAGGCGAGCAATGTTAGCTCTGCAGTTCTCTCTCATTGCATCATTATATAAAAGACTTACTCGAATTCTTCACGACCAGAGATCAAATCGATTTCCACTAAAGGAATGACCTTGCTCCTCTTTACAATTTTGTATCCCAAGTAGATAATCAAGACAACAGGCACACCAATATAGCATGCAATAATATCACTTGCACTGATAGGATCAGCAAACCAGGCATCGTATCCTTGACCGACAATTACAAATGAACAGATACCAAAGGCAAAGATGGGACCTACGGGGAAAAGTCTGGCCTTGAAGGGAAGATCCTCTACCTTGTACCCCTGAGCAACATAGGCACGACGGAATCTCCAATGCGATGCAGCGATACCCAGCCATGCAATGAAACCAGCAACACCAGAAATGTTCATGAGCCAGCTATACACAACACCGTTGCCAAAGAGAGATGTCAAAAAGGCAAGCATACCAATAGCGGCTGTCAAAAGGACACAGTAAATGGGAATACCATTCTTTGTAATTCTCTTGAAAATCTTGGGAGCTTTTCCTTCAATTGCAAGATCCAACAAGGTACGGCTGGAAGCATACAGACCCGAGTTTCCAGCAGACAAGACAGTTGTCAGAATGACAGCGTTCATAATATGAGCAGCAGGAGCAATACCAGCCTTCAAGAATACTAGAGTAAAGGGACTAATAGAAATGTTTTGTACATCGCTATTCAAGAGTTGAGGATCATCGTAGGGAATAATCAAACCGATAATGAGAATGGAGAGAATGTAAAACAGGACAATACGCCAGAACACTTGCTTGATTGCCTTTGGTACGTTTTTGCGAGGATTTTCGCTTTCACCAGCAGCGACACCAATCAATTCCGTGCCTTGGAAAGAGAAACCAGCCGTCAAAAATGTGCTCAATACACCTAAACCTTGCACGCCACCAGCATTGAATGTAGCAACACCGTAGTAAGTATCGCCCAAAACTGCAGTATCGACCAGGATACCCAAAAAGATAAAGACAATGACTGTCAGTACCTTGATCAAAGCAAACCAATACTCTGCTTCGCCTAATTTCAAAAACATTGTCAATTTCTTGTATCCAAAATAAAATCAGATTTCGACATTTACCATAACCCTTGACAGAAAACAAGTTCAAGGCCAAAATGATCACTAAAAAGATGATTGACCACACGTAACCGGGGACATGAGGTAACCAATACGCCATGACCATGGAACCAGCAGTCTACTCATGAGGCAATGGTAAGTAAAAGGGGGACATATACTCTCGCATTCGCTCTATTCTTACCAATTCTACAGCAACAGTGACAGCCCAATTATACCTACGCATTCACACATTAGCCATCAACCAAAAACCAAATCGCCTTTCCAACTCTTACCAGTAATTCCAACCTAAGGCAAATCCAACAGCTGGGTCGATAAATCTACCAGCATAGTTATTGAAACTACCTGAAATGGGAAGATATGTAGCCTAAAGGAGTAATTTATATGAGATCTTGGCTCTCAAATTTTGTTTCTCAGATGATTTCATTTACCATTTCACCTAAGCATTCCATCATAAAGAAGACCATGATACCGATCAAAGCATAGGCAATCAATGCACCACCTGGACCAGCATTGGCAACAGAAGCACCGGAAGCCAGAAACAGACCTGTACCAATTGTACCACCCAATGAGATCATGGTCAACTGTAGTTTGACAGACATACATTATGAGAAAATGTAACATTTGACAGTGCTATAACTTACATGTCTGGCCTTGAGTCCTCTCTGTAACTTTGGAGTGTCGTCTATCACATCGCCTATGGATCCCGATTGACCTCTGCTATATACTCTATCAATGTCCTCGTTGAATGCTGAGCTGCTTGTGCCAATTTTCTCGGGATTGGATATACGGGATCGCATGGAGTCGAGTTTAATGTCATTCATGTCGATTTCCTCAATTACTTCGTCATTGAAAGTGTTGCTGCGACTGCTGCTTCCTTGATCGTCTTTTCTCTTGCTCTTTCTTCTTCCATGAAACATTTTCGGAAGATTGTATGCGCTATATATATATATATATAGGGAGTAAAAGAGTAAAAAAAAAAAAAAAAAAATTAAAAATTAAAATGAGAAAGAAAAGTTTTTTTTTTTTTTTTTTTTTTTTTTTTTCTTCATCTCGTTTGAATCGGTTTTTTGCAAACTAAAAATCTATATATGTCAAGAAGAGATAGATTATCATTTTTCATATCCGAAACAAGGTGCAACGGATATTAGAAAGGTAAAATCCTATTGTTGACATATGTCAGGTTTCATTATTACACTTTTATGGCAATATTCAGCTAAAGTGGCACTCTATAGAGTGGAGCCCATCTCAAACATCTTTCCAAGAGCTAGTGTCATATACAGAAACCAAGCAATTCACTGGATTCAATGTCTGATTTGGGAGGCCTTGTATTTACAGGCGGAGCCAATCTCATCTAGTGCGCTAAACTTGGATTCTTTACATCACTCTGTCGGCTCGCCTTTTCCGCTAAACTTATTCAGACGTCTGGAGAGACAGATCATGGATTCTCAGGGTAGTGTGAGTTTGTTACATTTATTTGCGTGAGACGAGCCGACATACAACCAGATGCAAGCAGAACGCTGATCTGGAAAAATCTATACTGTATGACTTGAGATCAGATTGCGTGCAGATGTTCACGGTAGCATCCAGTGTCTCCAACACTTGACCTGGATGACACTCCACATCAACAAAACGAGGAGACTGTGCTTGTGTCTTATAAGAAGCATTTCAAGCCCTTTCATATACAGATTGCTTTGTTTTCAAACAAGCTGGATCAAGATGGGGTGCTTTTTCCCTCAACCAAAGAGATGCCATCTCCATTAAGAGTTGCTTAGATGAGTATGATTTCGGAGCGTGTAAATGTTTAACCATTACCAAAGTGTAGGTACTGTCTTAACAATCATTCTGCAGTATTGCTTGTGCTTATCCATAGTCCAAATAAAAAAAAAAAAATGCTATGAATCCAAATGAATTAATCCAACTAATGGGAACAATGTCATTGTCTTTAACTATTCAGATCTTGATTGCATACGGATTAGAGTTTTGTATGGGTGCAATAGCCCAGTTTCGAGGGGCATATCGGCTCAGTTGCTGCCAAAATCACCGTAAATAGGATACAAATAAAACTGACCATTGGTCAAAGGCATTTTTACTAAGCTCAAAACACTATGGACTTTTAAAAGTTCACCATGCTTACAAAAAGAGGGGTTGGTTCCTTGCATAGCATGTCTCTCTTTTTTTTTTTTTTTTTTTTTACAACCTTTGAATCCAATCAACGAACCCCCTTCTCTTGTCTTACATTTCGACTTGATTGTATAAGATGACTACTGATTCCACCTCAAAAACAGTATACCGCATTGGTACTCGCAAATCCAAACTTGCCCTCGTTCAAACAGAGATGGTCAAAAACTACCTTGGCAAGGCATTTCCTCAGTATGAATTCATCGTTGAAGCCATGTCAACCACAGGTGATCGTATTTTGAACCTTGCACTCAGCAAAATTGGTGAAAAATCTTTGTTTACCAAGGAATTGGAGATGGCACTGGAAGACGGAAGAGTGGATTTTGTAGTGCATTGTTTGAAGGATCTGCCTACCACTTTGCCTCAAGGTATGCATTTGGGTGCTGTCATGGAAAGAGAGAATCCAAATGATGCTTTGGTCTTGTCTCCCAAGTACGAGGGATGTACTTCTTTAGCTGATCTGCCTGAGGGATCAGTTGTTGGTACAAGTTCCCTTCGCAGAGTTGCTCAACTGAAGAATAAATATCCTCATTTGGTATATAAGGATGTGGTAAGTTGGCAGTGCAAATCAATGTCCATGCTGTGTGCTAAAATTCTCTTGTGTCTATTGTTGTAGCGAGGCAATCTGTAAGTAAATCCAACTCGAAAATGGCCCCTTGTAAAACTAACACACCGTAATACTTGCAGAAATACTCGTTTGGCTAAATTGGATGATCCCGAAGGTGAGTATGCAGCCATCGTGCTGGCAGTAGCAGGTTTGGTGCGGCTCAATTTGGGACATCGCGTCTCTCAAGTGCTCCCTCTCAGTGATTCATTATATGCTGTGTCTCAGGGCGCTTTGGGTATCGAGTGCCGAGAAAACGACATGGACACTCGCTGTTTGCTGGATTTCCTGAATCATCATCCTACCCGTACAATGTGCTCAGCAGAGCGGTCATTAATGCGTAAATTAGAGGGCGGTTGCAGTGTTCCCATTGGTGTATGCTCCAGTCTTGAAGACAAGATTCTGAGCTTGCGAGGATTAGTAGCTAGTTTAGATGGTCAACAGATGGTAGAGTTTGACAGCAAGATTTCATTGCAAGAATCAGCATCTGTTGAGCAGGATTTGATTTTAGCCAATGAATTAGGTATTACTGTTGCTAATGGTTTGATTGAAAGAGGCGCTGGTGTTATCTTGGCTGAATTGGCTCATTAAGTTATTTGTGTTGATGATCGTACATGCACACACACACACACTCTCTCTTATATTGTTATTACGAATCTGTATTCCCTCCCAACTCTCATCACTCATATCATTAGACAGACCTTAGATAATACCAAAACTCTTTCTCCCCATCTCTACATCCAGCAACAATAGATTTGTATTCAAGCGACTGTATAAGCCTAAATATAACATTGAAAGCTATTTTTCGTGTATAGACAGTGTAGATTTTTTTATTATTCTTGTTTTTGGGGATAAATTTAATCTTCAAATGGGTACTCGAAAGGCTCAAAAGGTGCTGCCTCTTCCTCTGCTGCGTTTCTTGTTGATGCATCTAATAAGCGATATAGATGAGTATCATATGCCACGTGAGCTCCATCATTATGATAACTTACCTCCAGAGGGAACACGAGGCTGAATCAAATCTTCTTCTTCGTCAGGCTTATTGTCTACTAGCATGATGATACCACCAACATTTTGATGCTTGACAGGTGTATAACGTGAATCTTCCTTGAATGCAATGTGTTTGAGTTGTGCAGGAACAACACGAGCCATATTCTCAAGGATTTCAAAGCTCTCTTCCTTCTTTTTCTTTTGTTTGCGTTGTTCTTCCTTCTTGTCATCTTCAGCCATTTCTTCGTCCTTCAAGCTTGCAGGCTTATCTTCATCAATGTCCATTTGATCTCCCTTTTCCTTTTCAATCTTCTTTGCACGGGCCTTGGCTTTGGCAGTTGTAGATAAAACGGCAGTAGCAACCTTCTCAACAACAGTAGCGGATGGTGGCTTCAGAGCAGGAGGATAGGCAAACAAGGATGCCTTGGCGTTAGATACAAATTCAAATCGAGGTGTATCGAGATTCTTATTGAGACCAATGATGGCAGTAGGTGTGAACGCTAAACTGAGCATGTGTGTTAAGGGGTACCAGTACCAGAATTGTGTAAAGACAGCCATACCAACAATGGCAGGCATGTTGGCATGTCCAGTTCGAGATAACAGGGAAATAGTGACATTTCTTCCACCTGCATCAAGAATACCTTGTGCAAGGACAGCACCGAATTTGGCCATGGGATCTTCGTGCTTGTCGCTGATGATCTTTTCATAGAGCTTGCGGACACCAGCTACCTTGGGATTTGTGTTTTCAGTTTGTTGGATCAAAATCATAGCTTGCGACATGAAGGCACCTTGGCGCACAAAGTCGACGGGATCCTTGGTCATGGGTTCAAGAAGCTCGAGAGCATCCAAATAGCCAGTACCAGCACAAGAGATACCCAAGGCAAGGGTAGCACCGTATCTGACATGAGGGTTGTAGCTTTCAGCCAACAGTTGGACAATGCGAGGCACTTGCTTGGGGTTGCGCAATAAGACAAAACCAAGAGAAGTGACAGCAGCACGACGCACATCATCATTGACATCACTGACAGCCACATGAAGCAAACGACGGATAGCCTTGTTGTTACCAGTGCCACTGTAAGCCATAGCAATAGTATAGATACCACCATAACGAATGACAGGGTCCTTGTCTTCCAACATCTTCTTGATCAATTCATCAGCTAACTCCTCCTTACCGTACATGATGAAAGGAATACCGATAGCCAAACCACGAATGATCTTTTCGTGTTGTGTTTCGTGAGCGTATTGGAGCATATCCTCAACAGCCTCCTCGTTACCAGTACCCAGCATGATCAAACCCATGGACAAACCAGCAGCTTCACCGCCCACTGCATTATCACCATACAGGACATTCTTGAGGTCTTCATAGATGGCTTCGTTGGCAGTGGCCATACCAGCAACACCAAGACCGAGACAGGCACCGTGTTGAATCACATCGTCAGAGGTGTCCTTCAAGGCCTTTTTGAGGAAATTCAAAACTTCAGCACCGTGATTAGCGTTGATGAGACCTAATGCGTATAATGAGCCGCCTTCAGAATAGGAGCTGTTGCCGCTGACACCTTCTTGAGGTAAGTAAGGAGCCAACAGATTCATGGATTGAGCCAATTGACCCTATTCGCACACTGTCAATCCACTATTTCTAGGCCAAATGATTTCTTTATCCACAACGTTACCTTGTGAATGACACCGAGAGCAGCAGTGGCACTGAATTTGGACCAATTGGTGGCTCTGGACAACCAATCAAGATTTTGGCGCAAGAACTCATCGCTGGTGGTACCAGCTTGCATAAAAGCGTTAGCAAAGGTGACAGCAGAATGGTAGATGGAGTTTCTTGATTCCAAAGCGTTCTAATGCATTATACATTGCGCTTAATACACACTCTCAACGCATTGCCCAGACAAATTTACCTTTGTGTTCTTCAAGATCAATAAATCAGTGTGGTTGTTGCGATACAAGAATTCGAGATGAAGACGAATGGACTCTTCGCCAGACAAGATAGACTTGATCTTTTTGTAAGGCGTATCGAGCTTAGGCTACACAATAGAAAGGAAATCATGCTACGTTAAAAAAAAAAGTGCTCGTTCATCACATTGACACAAAAACACGTACCTTCTCCTCCTCTGCAGCAGCGCCCTCGGTCTTTTCAGTCTCGGGTTCAACAGGTAATTCAGCAGACACCTTTGACAGGAATTCCTGTGTAGCATTTTCCTCCAAATCAAAAGAGATTTGATAAGCCATCAACTCGTCCTTTTTATCGACCAAACTTTTCAACATGTCTGCGCAGGAAGTGGAGTCGTTCAAGTGCACCAGACATTGGCTGATGGAGATGTAATCAGGGTTCTCCAATGTTTTGTACAGATCCACGAGCAATCTCAAGACCTCGTTACGAAACTCCAAGTTTTGCACCAGTGTCATGCACACATCGAGCACGTACGACAAGAGTTTGCTGGCATCGCCCTTTTGAATGATGGATTTCACAACGTCGAGGCGTCTTGACTCGAGTGCAATACCGATAGCTTGTTCGTATTCGCAATCCTCAGCACAGCGTTGGAACATTCTCTCTACAATGTCTTGCAGTCTAGGATCGATTTCCTCAGGTGTTTCTGAACTGGATCTGAGGTGGATGTACTTGTCGATACATTTAGCTACAAGACAACGTGTCAGCGCAAGCTGCATTCATGTAAAATGTGAGACGACGGGCTTACAAATAATGGTGGTTACGTATTCAGAAGACTCTGAAAGGTCAAAGGCTTGACCTGCACCAAGAGCAAAGGTAAGTGAATCATCTAATTCACCCAAATTGTAATAGACCTAGTGATTGCGTTGCCATGATTACTAAATCACTACGCTTATACACACATATCCGACAACTTACTTTGGAAGCAACTAAAGCAGCTAATTCTCTTTGCGTGAATGAGGCATCTTCGTAGAGGATTTCACTAGAGTAAGGTCAGTACGTAATCTCACACAACACCACGGCCCCGTAACGCCTTACATCTTTGCAATGGAATCAGAGATCTCAGCCCAAAATTCATCAACAAGAGAGTTTAATTGTTGCAAAGCATAAACTTTCAATTCAGGTTGCTTTTCATCGAGTAAAGCGATAATGCCGTCTATTGAAATGCAGATTAGGCTATGGATTGACGATGCTTGGATGTTGTATGGAACTTACTGGCAGATGTAAGTGCTGTCATCTCTATTTTTTTTGATTAAAAAGTGAATAGAAGAAAGAAGTGTTTCTTGATGTATAGGCAAATGATGGACCTACTTGTTGTATGTGCCGCGTAAAGTTACGTGTTATCGAGTGACGTATGTTCTCACTGCAAGGACGACTGTGAACTACAAACACATTGGAATCGGATGTTGGAGGCTTATTTCACCACTGAAATATAAGGCCAAATTCAATTGGTGTCTTTGATGAGCGACAAGTTTTCATTATAATGGCATCTACAAACTATGGGAACAACTATGGTGCTCGATCCAAGACGATTGAAGTGCCTTTGCAACATGAACAAGTGTTGGAAGTCGTCTGCAATGATTTGCCTACCAATCCAACCGAGCTGACAGACATCTTTCGCCAAGAAAGCGTTGGCTTGCCCTACTATCGTATGCTTGCGGTAAGAGTGAAGATAGACTACGTGTATCTACCCTGATGAATACTGATGGCTATTCCAGATTGAATACTACGAGCAAGACAAGATTGAGCAGAGCATCAGTGTGGTCCAAGCTGGTCTAACAACTGGTAAATAGCATGAGTATATCAGTCTCTTATATGACACAATTAACACATCAGTAGCGAGTCAATCACCACATACGACACCTCGACAAAAGCTACCTCTACTGACCTTGATTGCCACGCTTTACATGCGTCTTGCGAAGAAGGAAACCGACAACACGCAACGCCAAAAGTACCTCGAAGACGCTACACAATCCATCAACGCAGCTGACCGCATCTACAACCAGTATGAGCCCACTTTTGTCGTTAAGGGTAATCTTTACATCCTGCTCAAAAAAGTCGATGATGCCTCTCGTTCATTCAACATGGTGCTGGAAAAGAGACCCAACTGCATCCCTGCTCTGTTGGGTAGAGCCAAGATCCAATACCATCTGCAACACTACAAGAATGCGCTCAAAACCTACCAAACTGCTCTCAAGTATTCTCGAGGCAAGTTTTCGGGCGTCGAGATTCGATTAGGCATTGCTCAGTGCTTTGCTCAATTGAAGATGTACACGGAAGCCAAAGCTGCCTTGAAGCGATGCATTGATGTCAGTCCAGTGCCCAACGCTACAGCACTCATCATGCTGGCTATCATTGAGTTGAACGAATCGAAATCAGTCGACAGTGGACTCGTTCAGCAAGAGACAGCTTTACGCCACGGTCTTCAACACATGCAAAAAGCGCACATTGTCAACAAGAAGCACCCCGCAGTACTCAACATGATGGCAAACCACTTCTTCTTGACCCGTGATTTTGAAAAAACCATGACATCTGCTTCGAGAGCCTTGCAGAACGCTTCCAACGATGTGATGAAGGCAGAAGCGTCCTATCAGATTGCTAGAGCGCACCACCAAATGCAGGAATTCGACAATGCCTACAAATTCTACGCACAAGCACTTGAGCTCAACCCGCACCATACATTAGCACAATTCGGTATGGGCCAAATGCAATTGAAAAAGGGCGAAAACAATGCAGCCATCGAGATATTCGAGAAACTACATAAAGCAGAGCCTGAATGCGTGGAGATCATGAAGGTCTTGGGTTCGCTGTATGGTTTGTCTGGAAAGAAGGAGAAATCGCTCGCCTTGTTTAGCAAATTGCTGGAAAATGCCAACGACGATCCTCTGCTGGCTATTGAGATTGCTGAAATGTACGAAGAAAAAGACAGTGCCAAATCATTGAAATGTAAGTCCAGGCCACATGCCAATTGAGGAGCCCCTATATGTAACAGCGTATGTATCGACACTAGACTACGAGCAATCGCTCGCTTTGCTGGAGCATTTGCCCGCAGACGATCTGGTAGCTCAAGATCGAGTCAAGGATATCAAGCCTGAACTGCTCAACAACATTGCTGTGATGCATCAGAAGCTAGGCAACCTGAACGACGCTGAAAACTACTACAGTCTTGCTATCAAAGAAGGCGAATCCAGTGTGGGTACTGAAAAGAATCTCAAACTGACCATGAGCTACAACTTGGCTCGACTCTACGAAGAACGATTAGAGACTGAAAAGGCAGTGTCTATCTACAAGAAACTGGTGGAAGACTATCCTGGATATACGGATGGTAGGTTTTATAACAGTGTACACTTTTTGATCTGTCGAGACTGACTTTGTGCAACAGCTCACTTAAGATTGGGTGCGATAGAGCAATCCCTTGGCAGATCCGCAGATTCTATAGAGTACTATAAAGAAGTGTTTGACACAGAAGCCAACGATGCTAAAGCATGGATCATGATTGGACAAGCACAGGCAACGGATTCCGAGAAACTGAGCAAGAGATCCTACGAGAAAGTGCTCAAGGATTGCGACAAGAACGATCTCTACACACATGTTGCTCTCGGTAATTATCACGCCGCCACAGCAAGAGAACTCAAGGGCGACAAGTCAAAGCAGGCTCGTGCGGATGCCTACAAACTGGCGGTCAATTTCTACTCACAAGCACTGAGACGTGACCCCAATAATGCTTATGCTGCCAATGGTTTGGCCATCATCATTGCTGAGAATGGACATCATGAGCAAGCGAGAGATTTGTTCAATCAGGTGCGTGAAGCTGCTGTCAACAATGCCAGTGTGTGGGTCAATTTGGCTCATGTCTATGTTGAGCTGAAGCTGTACAAGCAAGCGATTGTCATGGTAAGTGGCCGCGCTAGATTGAATGCATTGCGACTAACAGATGGATATACAGTACGAAAATGCCCTCAAGAAATTCTTCAACAACAAGGATACCAATCTGTTGCTATGTCTTGCAAGAACTCAATTCATCCTCTCCAAGGTTGACAAGGACCCCGAGATCATGTATCAATCACTGAAAAGCACAGAAAAAGCATTCCACATTGCACCCTCTGATAAAACCACACAGTACAATATGGCTCTTGTGCAGCAATCCTACGCTCAGCAAATTTCTGATTTAGCCCAGGATCAACGTACTTCAGACAGCATTCGCCGCGCACTGCGATGCTTGGAATGCGGCCAACGCACTTTCCGCATGCTGATCAATGTCACAGAACACACCTTGTACGATAAAAAGATTACTGAACAGCGTGAGCGTTATGGTGAGACTTTGCGCGTGCAATTAGACAGAAAACTAGTAGAGCAAGTGCAGTTTGAGGAAGATAGAGAAAACAAGCTCAACATGGCACGAAAGAAGCGTGAAGAAGAGCGCAACAAACTTAAGCAGGCAGAGGCAGAGAGGATCAGACAGCAACAGCTTGAAAACGAACGCATGGAGGAGAATCGTCGTCGTTTGATGGAAAAGGTCAGAGAAGACAACCTGCTGATGGCAAGTCAGCAGGTCGAGGACGATGATTTTGACGAGGAAAAGAAGGCAAAGAAGCGTGGAAGAAAGAGAAAGGAGATGGAAGAAGAAGAGGAAGAAAATGTAGAAGGCGATGCTGATAATGAGTATCAGAAAATGTTACATAAGAAGGACAAGAAGGTAAGCTGTTGCCTTATCCAAGACTAAATTACGCTATTGATGCATTTTTCTACTGTAGCAATATCGAAGCAAGAGAATCATTGAAGATTCTGACGAGGAGGACAACTGATCAAGGGGGTGGGGGGAGGGAAAACTCACATTCATTTATAAATAAAACGCAGCCATTACAACAATGTATTTCCAGACATGATTTGACAGCGAGCAATTTACAACAGCTCGACTGCAAATAACGGGGAGTACTGTCAATTGCTGGATGTTTATTTTTTAGCCAGTCAGTCGGCAACTCCCTGATATGACGCCTGGCTTAAACAGCAATTCATTTCAGTGGTCAGAGGTCAATTGACAGCATTTCCCTTTTTCTGCGTGCCATGTACCATGTAACACAATCTATGCGACCAGTCAATAGGCCTAATATCATATACAAACAAACAAACAAACAAACAAACAAACAAACAAACAGATGATTTCTCTGGATTCCGTGCATGTCATTCATTTTGGAACACGTCGCTGATTTCTCTGCATTCGCCATAGAGTGTGTTCTTTGGATCCGTGCGTAGAGAGAGATCAGGGATCAGCTCCTAAAGAATGGTTCCTGAATTTCTTTTTTTTTTTTTATAATTGGGACCGAGCAAATTACAGGTCCACACTTGCATTTAGCAAGCACAAATCAAGACGAAAATTTTTCGACATGGAAAATCTGGACCTTTTGGAAGCAACAAAAACAAAACAAATACGTGCGTCAAACACACACAAACACACAATCAATGGATTTTCAAGATTTATCAGACACTAAATCGCTTTCTACTTTTTCCATCAAATTGAATCCTTCATTTACATTGCATCTGAGTCAACAAAACAATACACAAAATCATGGCACCACTGTATGGGATTCGGCCAAATTGCTCGCCTTTTATTTGTTTGATACCATCAAGAAGCCCACATTCAAACAAAGCAAGGTGCAAAATAACAAGACCTGTTTGGAACTGGGCAGCGGATGTGGACTCGGTGGGCTCATCATGGCTTCCTTGGGATTTGACACAGTGTTGACTGATCTGCCTGAAGTGGTGGGTTGCGTGCTCCAGCGAAACTGTGATACAGCGATCGATGCTATTACAGACTGGTGGTATCATCTGCAACACACAACAGACCTCATTGATCCGCCTAAAATCAGTGTGCAGTCGCTGGATTGGCTTCAACTGATGGATCAAGAAAACCAACACTCCTCTCAACCGTATCATTATATCATTGCTTCTGACTGCATCTACGAAATTGAATTGGTGGAACCCCTGCTGAATTGCATTCGCTACTATGCTTCTCCTTCCACCTTGATATTCATTGCCATGGAGAGAAGAGACGACACAGTGGTGGATGGCTTCATCAACAGAGCCAAAGCATTTGGGTTTGAGGCCCGCATGGTTCTCAAGAAGCTTCTCAACAGCAAATCTGTCGGAAACGAAGATGTGGAGATCTGGAAGCTTAAACTTCGAAAGAATAGAATCAGCAATCATGTCATGTTTAATGACAAAAAGTGTAAATAGTAAACATCATGTGTATGCATAAATGTATAAATAAATCGACGTCCTACTCGTCCTGGATTTTTTGTCAATTACTTGATTCGATTTTTCACTATAAAAGAAGGGTGGGGACCCGACCTTGATGGCTTTCTTTTCTCGTTCTCTTCACTTGCAGATCAACAGTAAAAATGAGATTCTCTACTACCAACCCTGTCTCCATGACCCACTCAAGCTCTACATCCACCTTCAAGAAGGTGTTCTCTTCGCTTGTGTCCAAGTTACCACACCAGCAGCCATCCACCGTCGCTCCCACCAAAGTCCGTGTCGTCGTGTCGCCTCAATCACAGCAGCAATTCCACATCCAGAAGCGTAGCAGTGCCATTACCAAGCAAGATGACATCCATCGTAATTTGCGTGATTACTACACTACACAAAACTCGAGAAAGAGACAGTACGAAGAACCACTCATGTCGCCCCATGCAAAGAACACTGCTGAAAGAGAGATTCGTCATAAGGCTGTCAAGCAGTATCAACAAACAAAAGACAAAAAGCAATCATGTCAGCATTGGAAAGAATATTCCAACACATCCTGCAACATTGTAAATAAATCTGCACCGCCCAAATATAAAACGCATGGTTATGTCAGAGACACAAGATCCAATCCCAATCATCTTAGAATCACTGCTATTAGCAACGCTTGTTCTTCAAGCAGCATCATTAGCAAGGAAAAGCCATGCCTTCCAAAGAGAAGAGATGAATTTCAATGGGGATCCAAATCCAAACTAGCCAACGCCTTGTAAATATCACTTTTTGTTTATTTATTATATGCCTTTTTCTCCTTTATTTGTCAAACGAATTAGATCCCCCATTGCAGTTGTAAACCTATCGTATATATATATATATATACATATACATGTTAAATTATTACCTTATTATGCCCCCCCTTTGATTCTTACTTTTCCACTCTGCCACTACCAATCAAATCATGCATCAAGAACTCCATACTAAAACTCGACTTGTTCAACTTCTTTTGTTTCAGCAACTACATTACAATTAATTTGTACATTATGAGCATCATTCTTTTTTTTTCAATTTAAATAAACACAAATGTATAGCAAACCTTTTCCATGATATCCTTGGTGTTTCGTCTTTTCAAAATGCGTAATATTTGTAATCTGCCATTTGACAGACTAGACATAAATGAGCCTTGATTATGTATGGAATACCAGTAAACATCCATTTGAATATGATGCGGAATGAGTAAACCAGATGATACGAGTTGACTATATATATATATATATATATAAACCGTCGTTAGAATGGGATCACATCTTTCATGCAAATGTTTGAATACGCACGATATATTTTGCTCGGTGAAATTGCAAGCTTCCATGAGTGCCTTCTTAGTAACTGAGACTTGACTAAACTGTTCATCATGTGTCACTGTATCCTTGAATTTATCTGTGTATGTTGATTGTTTATGACCGGTATACTCACTCGTGTACACACATACTTACCATATATACTGCCATCAACTTCTGGAGGACTTTGCTGTCTAGCATGATCAATCATATTACAATAGTCAGAGGTCTTCATGAGGACATGTTCATCATCCAAAGCACCAATGATGTGAAATCTTCTCCAGGTACCACTTGTAAATGCTTGTTGCTATGAAGTTCATGCAAATCAGACTAGTGTGTGCCACATATACATTTGCTCACAAGTACTCACTAATTCTCTATCTGTAACTGTATTATGATTTGGCAAGACGCTATATATTTGATGTACAAAACAGGCAGGAATAGATGATTTGGGATTGATTTTTATTAGGTATTCTGCTGCTGATACAGCATCGGAATTCATGACTAGAAGGTCATCGTTGGCATCTCCAAATAACGCATCATCTAGATCATGATGCTTCATCATGGGCGGTTTCTTACGACTCCCATACACTTCTGGTTTCTGAACTTTGCCTTGCTGTATGTTGTACAGCTTTTGTTCTGCCTCAATTCTTTTCTTTCTCGCATACATGATAAATATACAAAAGAGAAAGAGACAGGATATGAATTAGAAATCGGGAATATCATTTATGTGCAGTTGATGAAATTTCTGGCCGCAGTAGAAAAAGATTCCTTTGTAACTTTGACTCATAGAGTCACACATATTTCTGTACCTGTCAAAGATGCGGATAGGTGCAGTGCATGGCATACGATGTTGCCTAGTATTTTCGAAGAAAACGCCGATCCATCCAAGAGAATCTGTATACAGCGCATCTGATCAGATGGAGTAATGCTGGAGTCATCTCTACAACATCCTGATAGTAATGTTAGTCACGAGCTGGAGGTTTGTTCCCAGAAGAAAAAAGGTATAAATACCCCACTTTGACTAACTTGTAATTCAAACAATTATGGCTACTACACTCCCATTTCTATCGAAATCTGCCGAAACAAACACTGACATCAAAAGCGTCTGTGTATTTTGTGGGTCTGGCAGTGGAGCTGATCCTCTCTACGAGCAAGAAGCATATGGTAATCAATCATGTAGCATGGAGTATTTGTTTACAATGAAAAACAAAAGCTAACCATTGCATTATCATTACAGAACTCGGGAAAGTTTTGGCAAAAAACAACATTCGTTTAGTCTATGGTGGTGGATCCGTAGGTTTGATGGGCGCTGTTGCCAAGGGAACACTTGACAATGGTGGGAAGGCTATTGGTATCGTACCTGAGCCTCTTTATCGTCATGGCAGTAAGCAATTGTGTGAGACTGTGATTGTACCTGATATGCACGCTCGCAAGAAGCGTATGGAAGAGGAATGTAATGCTTTTGTGTGCTTGCCTGGTGGCTTTGGATCCTTTGAAGAAGTTCTTGAAATTATTACCTGGTCTCAGCTCAATGTTCATTCCAAACCCATCGTATTACTGAACACCAAAGGCTTCTACAAATTGTTTGTCGATTTCATCAACTTTTCAGCGCAAGGTATGTACTTGATCTATTACTTGTAGTTGACATACTAAATGACATATCTCAGAAAAATTCATCCATGCAACAAATGTCAACATTTTTTCAGTGTGCTCCGAAGCAAAGGACATCATGGAGGCAATAAAATCTTATAGAGCTCCAGAAACTCGTTACAATCTCGATTGGTCAAAGAGCGAAAGAAAGTCGTTAGCCTAAATGTTGCAATTAAATAAACCATCCCAACATAATAAATTTATTATGATCCCTAGACACTTTTAAAGCCTCAAAAAGGAAAGAAGTTGATCTAACAAGTATGATAGACCGGCGTTATTGGATATAGAATGCAAGGAGAATAGCATCACTAACAGCAGTGCTATGTAATTTGACACCTACTTTCCATACGCTTCAAAAGCATATATTACTGTATGCCTTCATAATGAACAGGGCATTGAGTTTGCCTGTCAGCCCCACCAGCCAAAATCAATTCAAATCCAGACTCACAGTCTGTTTCAGATTGGCCAAATCTTGATGATTTTCGACTCGATTGAACTATTTTAGCATATTCGACTATATAAAATATGCTAATCATCTTATGTTTCTTTAAGCTTTCTTGGAATACTTTTCAAAGCGCATTCAATGGTACCAAGTAAAGTAGATGTTTTGAATAAACTTATCGAGTAATTTATGAAATTATGAAAAGAGGTTTCTAGCCAAAAAGTCGAGATTTTGCATATAAAGTCCTCATAAACAAAGTTTCAGAGGTTGCATTGGATCGAGGGAAACATTTTCATATAATATATGCTATAGTAGAAGTCTTCATTTTCAAGATGAAAAATGCGATCGTTTGATTTTCGATGAAAACCGTGAGGGGTACCTCATGCTTTTTGGTCGAATCTTGTCCATATTTTTTTTGGTCCCCAAAAAGTTGAGCAAAGGTGTCAGAAAGTAACTGTCAGATGAGAGCAATTGTTTGGTGCTATTCTGACGATCTAAAACGGCCTTGAACGCGAGAAAACGCAGCTCAAATGCATTCAAATTTTGCTTTATTAGGCACGCTCTTGACTAAAAAGGGATAATATCTATATGATATTTGCCCGTATATGAAATAGCTACATGTATATGGATGTATAGCATCACATAAGAATCAGATCCACAGATAATATGAAGGGCTTTCATGTGTAATTGGAGGATCAACATGAACGTAGCAGCATTTTTGATAAGATACACAAGGGAAATCGGTAGCGCGAGCTGTCGCTGCGCAAGTTGGTTCTCACAGAAGCAAAGCGAAGCTAGAGAGCAATCCAAAGCATAAACACACTCGTAAAAACCTATTGATCGATCAAAGTGAGGAATCACAGCATTTCCTATTTTGGCTCAGCTGTCAAACAGTGATCTATCAAGTATAACAATGCAGTTTAACAATCTAGTGAGGGTATCTTATATGTCACCATCGCATCTATTCCCGTCATTTGCTATTATATACTTCATCTTTTATAATCATGCATTCACGCGATTCATCTTTATGCCATTCTTGATTTGTAATATCTATCTTCATTTAGTTGATCCATCTCAACAAGTATGAATACAGCCAAAAAATCATATATCAATAAAACGGCGCCTTTTAATTACAATTTAATTTTACTGACTATCCGGTTCTGATAAATAACTTATTGTATGATCGTTTTTAAAACTAGGGTTTAAAAGGATGTTACAGGAATGAAATAAAAAGTAAGACTGAAAAATGCAATTATATGCACTGTAATCAGATATGCATCATTCACGCAATGGGAGTAATGGCGATGTTGGATAGATAATAGGAATTACTGTATTATAGTTTATCACTGTACTATAGCTTCAGAATGATAGAAAATATCTGAATGCATCCGGAAGACGCATTTTCAAAAAAAAAAAAGTATGCCATTCTTCGGGAAGCATAATTCCATATTGTATTTTGACATGATAGCAATTAGTAATTACTACGTATTCCAATTTTTATATCTATCAAAGGCATTGTACTCTATGTCAACGAAGATTCCAGGTCCATAGCAATTTTGTACAGTATGAAAATGCACATTGAATAGTACCACACTTGAGAGTAATCTCCCACAATATACTCAGGCAAGCTTACTTTGTGAATATTTTGAGGGTTTCCAAAGGAAAACATCCTGCGCTACATCTGTGCTGATCTACCTCTAGCAATATCCATTGCATCCACTCGGGGCCTACTTATCGTTTAAGGTTTTACATTTAAAGCGGTACCATCAGTTTTAATAGAAGAGCTACACTACCAAAAAGGTCAACTGCAGCCAAACTGTCGAAAATGGATCGCTCAAAGGTAGCATTTGCTACAGTGGCGCATATAACTTTTCTTTTGTGCACCAGCATTCGTCAGCACTAGTCCATGCATGTGCCTTGTGTTTATTTTATAGACTTGAGTACCCTATAGGTGCTTCCGTGCTGTTGTCAATGAAGAAAAATGTGCTTTTGCCACTATCAACTCCAATCTTTGGGGGGGAGAGAGGGGGGGGGGGCTGAAAAATCCATTTTGGAAGAAAAGTATCATAGATAGTTATATGACGCCTTATCTTGTAGAATAAAGAAAGGGGAACAAGATACAATGAATGGGTTAAGCTGATTGAGTTGGGAGATTTATAAAACATGGCATTTGTTTATATAATACATAATCTCTCAACAATAGCCTGCCATCCTATTATCTAACATTCAATTGCACCATTACTATTACTATTACTATTACTATTACTATTATTATTATTATTATTTTCTTTTTATCAACATTTGGTTATAGCAACATGCTACTTTCAATGCTCTAGCACTAGTATTTCAAAACTTGAATTTATATGGCCCAAATCTTGAAGCCAAAAATATTATTGTACTATGTCCAAAATCTTTGGTACGAGGTAAAAGAGAGCAACCCACGAAACTGAAGCTTGTAGGAAGTTGATGATAAACAATGCATGTTTGTTGGGGCATTTGATACTGCTGGGAGAACCCTATGCCTAGTACATTGCTGTATAGCACACACTATTACACAAGCTTTTTTTTTTTTTTTTTTTTTTTTTTTTTACTATAAAATAAATTTAAGATACATCCCTCATATGAAAGTGTTTAATGGATGCTAGATCAAATGGTTGCACCTTGTCTTGCCTTAGAATATATAAAAAGAACTTAAATTGTAACAGTTTAGATACCCTTTTATTACAGAAACAATATAGTGTTAAATGACAGATCAATAGAAGATCAACTAACTAAAACCCTTCGGTGCTTCATCCTCCGAGCCAATCAAATTGCTTGAAAACTCCGCTGACCTAAAAAAAAATTGCGAGGGTTCCCCCCGGTTTTGATGTGAGGCAAAATTTTAAGCGCCGTTATAATAGTAATATAGCCGCTGCTATCATCAAACTTCCCCCAGGTGCTAGAGCATGCCTTACTTACACCACCTAGCTTTAAATACTGGCATTGAGACCCTCAATCATCACTAAAGTAAGTAGCGATAACCAAGTGGAGGCAGCCTATCCACCTCCTAGCCTCGGATAGAGTCTTGTTGAGCTTCAGCGATAGGCACATCCACGCAACGTAAAAAAAGGTATGCTTCAAAGAAACATAATAATAAAAGAAGCGAACATAATAATACTATAGAAGTATAGTACGTTATGAATAAAACATTAAGAATGTTCACGTTATTATATTCTTGTTATTGCAACAAAAATATATACATGAGCAATGTGCATGATAACAGTCTGATGATGTAAAAGAACACAATTGCGCACAATTGCAGGAGCAACAGTAGCAGCAGTATAAGTGTTGTAATACAACATGAAGACCAATGTTGTTTTCATGTGAAGCGACAGAGGCAACACAAACAACAATCCACAGCTATATAACATAGTATCACAAGAAGGGTAATACAATTATATAGCAGTGTGTCATGCTTGTTGTTCGTAAATACAAAGCAACAACGTTGCAAGTATTTGTTGAGCTGATCATATCACAGCCAGCAAAAAAGAAAAAAAAAGGCAATAAAGCAAACAGCATGAATGCATTATCGCGGGAAAGGAAGCAGTAGTACAAACGTTCAAAGAAGTTTATATCATTGCGACCGCAAGAAAAAAAAAAGATACTTACCACTTCTTACCACAGCATCACGACCAGAGACAGACCAGAGAACCAGCATACATCAAAGACAACAGACCACAGGATAAGCAAACATCAGAGAAGAACCACCGAAGCAACGATATAACATCAAAGCAGCCACCGCCAAGTGTGCAGCCAGTGCACAGCAAAAGATCAGAAATAAATCCCTAGTAGAGTTGTTGCAAGTAAAACCACGGTATAAAACGCGTTAACATTGTATCTTACGTCTATTGCATAACTGTCAGTTATACTTGCTTCAATTCTATTCACAAAGGTAGCGTTGTTTCATGAGTAGAGAGCTTGCGAAGTATAATATATATATATATATAAACGAAAAAAGGAAAAAAATGCTAATAAAAGGTTGAGGCTGAAAGACGTCACTTTTATCAATGTACAGCAAGGTAAGTACTAGAATTTGATAGCTTGCTACAAGGCAGCAAAGCAAGATATGAATTAGCGATTTTCACCATGAGGTTCGCCAACACCTTACCTATTAATCCGTTACATGTAATTAAGAGGGTATATTTGACAAGGGTAGCGAATTTACGTTTGAATTGAGCTACATACTAAAAAAAAAAAAAAAAAAAAAAGGCGGTATTTTAAACTATCAATAGCCCAACCTCCATAATACTCAAAATGAGGATTCATGGATTTCTGAAATCGTTCAGCCTTAATATCATGCGATTCTGATAGTAACATTGCTTTCCAGCTAAATAAAGCTTGGAGTAGAATTTAAAGGAAAATCTAATGATACCAATTTTAAGTGTTTTGGCCGACGTTATTAGGTTGGTTTTTGATAGAATAGTTTTTGCGATTTTTTGGCTGTTTTTGACAGATCACCAGGTTTCTGTCATCAGAGCTTTACTTGCAATACTTATCATAGTGTAGAACAGACAAGAACCTATCGAACAAGCCCTGATTCACACCTCTAGTATGGTTCTATCACGAGATATCGCCAATTTTTTACCTCAAAAGAAATTGCTATCCAGATTTTTGCCTTGCTATCACAGGCAAAGTTTGCATAAAAATCGATGATTTTGCAAGATTACATTTTTTTGTCATAT